ATTATCTTTAATAGTTATAAAGTTTATAATAATATTGTTATCGATAATTATATAAATTATAGCTTTATATATAACGCTATCTAAGAAATAAAATATATTATTAATATATTAAAGTAATTGTTATCGATAAGTATTTATATTAGAAGATCTATAATTATATATATTAAAATAGATATTATTTATAGAAAAATACTCGAGAATAGAAAAGTAAATAAAGAAGTATAATTAGAGTAATAATATTTAATAATAAATAATAATTAACTTAGCGTTAATTATTAATAAAAAATTTATTTAATTCGAATAGAGATTATTAGCGAAAATATTATTTAGTTTAAATAGAATATTTAAGTTAAATAGATAGTCGAATTTAAATAGAGATTTAACGCGCTTTAATTTAAATAAATTAAAAACGCGTTAATTAATAGCCCCCCTTTTTAAGTTAATAACTTTCTTTTATTCTTTTATTTTTTTATCTATTTAAATATATTTACTTTTATATTTTATCTATTATTATCTTTAATATTTAATATTAATTTTATTCTAACTTTTAATAATAATAGAAGATTTATAATACTTTATATTCTACTAAGTAAGTCTACTACGTTTAAATTATAGAGATTATAAAAACTTTAAAATAGAACGCGAAAAAGAGAATAGCAATAAAGAGAGTTAAAAACGCTAGAAGAGAGAAGAAAGCTAAGAAGATAGAAAATATAAATTATAATCTACTTATTCGCGAAGATATTATTAATTATATATTAATAGAAAGCGAGTAAAATAAAGAAGATTAATAAGAGAAAAAGATACGTTAAAGAATATAGATAGATAGATTCTAGATCGTCTAAACGTCGTAGAATATATAAGCTTAAGAAGAATATATATATAGTATCTAATTACGATAATAATAAATTCTTAAATAACTCTATTAATTTAGAGAAGATAAAGAAGTTATTAATAATTATAACTATTATATATAACGAAGCTCTCTCTTAATATTAATGATACTCTCTTAATTTTATATACTATTATAGATATTAGAAAAGATTTCTCTTTTAAAGTTGAAGATAAAGGCGAAGATCGTAAACTCGATATATTCTTATTTAATTTATATCTTCTATTAAGCTAATATCTTAATAGAAAGCGATAGAAAAACTTTTATTCGAACCTCGATTAAGTATTAAAATTATTAAATCTAGAATAAAGAGTAATAATATTAATTATTAGTTAATTAGTTTTAAAATTAAGTAATATCGATATAAACTAGCTAATATAAACTATAGAATTTAAAATAATTCTTATTAGCGATAAAGAATTAGAATTAATAAGAGCGAAGTAAGAATATACTATATAACTAAATATCTAAATTAATAAATATATACTAAGTCGAGATAGAAAATAACTTATTAAGAGAAATCGTCTTTATAATAATAAAGCTAGAGTACTTCGTATAAGAGCTTCGATATAAGAATAAGTATATATTTTAAATATAGTAGAATAATAACTAAATCGCTATAGAATAATTTGATATTAAAAAGTATTACGTTAAATAGAGTTATTAGATATTATTATATCGAAGTCGCGTTATTAATATATAGCTCGTTTAAGCCCCTTTATTAATACGCCTATTAAATAAAATAAAGAAATTTAGAGCTTTATTAACGTCTCTAATAATATCAAATTATATATTATTAATAGATTAAAATAAAGAAAGATATATAGATTATACTTTATAAGATAACTTAAATAAAGATAATCGTTAGATCGCGCTTTAAGATAATTTAATATAATAAGAAAAGCGCGATTATAATATTAAGAAAGAGTATCTTAATATATTTGAGGCGATGAAAGAGTTATCTTATTTATAATAATTATAATTAGCGAAAATCTTAAATATCTAAATCTTTAAGAGCTAAGTTTCTAGTTAAAGTATTATATTAACGCGCTTAGTTAAGTAATAATTAAAATATAAAAAAATTAGAGATAATAACTCTATAAGAATACTCGATTTATATAAAGTATCAATAATTAATCTATATATTTCGAGGCGAAGAAAGATATTAATACTCTTAACTAATTATTATTATTAATACTTTAAGCTCTTTCTAATAAGAATATAGCTTTTTGACTATATAGGCAATTTTCGTTTAACTCTAATAAAGAAAATTCGAGATATTATTTAATCTTATCTTAAGGTCTATATAACGTTGTCGCTTAAAGATATAAAGGCGATAGTTAGCGACTTATTAGTCGACCTTTAATTTATATATCGAGATTTATAAAATAAATAGAATATAATATATTTTATAAAACTTAGATTAATCGACTTCTCTAGCTAATAGTCTCTAAAATAAAAAATACTTCTTATCTCTAATTAATAGTTATATTATTATATAAAATTTTCTTTTATAATAAGAGAGTATTTCTCGAATTTAGATAAAGAAGTAAGTATCTTTAATTACTCTTATTTAATAATACTATAATTCTTATAGTAATCGCTCTTTATTATAGTCTAAAGAACTATAATTCTAGATATTTTTATATTAAAAGATAAGATAATAAGAAAGTCGAAGATAAGCTCTTTACTATTATTTTACTACTCGTATAATTATAATACTTCTTAGAAATATACGAGTATATTAAGAAGTTCTAGAGAGATATAAAATAATAGAAAAGGCTTATTATATATCATATATTACGATAGCGTATTCTAAAGATATATCTCTAGATTAATAAGAAAGATATAGAGACTTTCTAAATTAAATAATCTTATATAAGAATTCGCTAAATAATATTATCGAGAAATCGAGCTTCGTAAGCGCCTTAAAAAAAGTTATATTAAGATTCGCTAATATTAAATTATTTAAGAGGTTAAATTTAAGTCTAATCGAAGATAACAAGAAAATCTCGCGAGCTATTAAAAAATAATTGATATATAAAATAACTAAATAAAAAGAAATCGGTTTAATAAATAATAACTAGAACTCGAATCTCTCTAAGCTCGAAGTATAAATACTCCGCGTCTCGATAAGTAGAGAGGATAAGTAAAAAAAGACTAAACTTTAATATATCGTCTATAGCTCTACTATAGTAGATAAGAGAAAGACGATCTATAAAGAGAATAAGTATCTATAGATTAATAAAGTTATACTAGATAAGAAGAAAAATATAAAGAATATATAGCGTAGTAAACTTTAGAATAGAGAAGTTAATCTCTTTATCTACTATGCGACATCTATAAATCTGAAATGTTTCTACTAAATTTCAAATTGCTGATCTTACAAATAGGGCTGAAATTAAGTACATTTCGTAGGTATTAGTAACTATCTTAAATTAATTAGTTAAAATTCCGCCGGTTTAGTATACTATCTCAAAATTAGTAATCAAGTTCCACCTAGTTTAGTTAACTCATTCTAATCTTTTCTATTAGTTCTATTAGTTTAATAGTAATACGTTATCGAAAAAGAAAAGTTCTAATAATCGACGTTACGACGATTAGGTTATACTGCTGTTAAGTATTAATATTAACTCAAATTTAGCTAAGGAATTAAATGATTTAATGAAATTAACGATAAGTAATACTCTAAAATAGCGTATAATAATACGCATATTAATAATAATATATATTAATGCCATATATATTTATGAATAATCTTACTAGTAGAGTATAAATTAGAGTATATTACGCAAAATTTTTAAAGTTAATAAATTTTTTTAAAGTTACTAAATTAATAGAACTAATAAAAAGAATTAGAATAAGAGATAGTAAATAGGGGAAAGAGAATAAATATAGATAAATTAATGAAAATTAGATTAAATCAGAAGAAAAATATAATTATAATATATAGTCGAAGAAAATAGAATACGAAAAGTAATCTCTTTAATTTATTAGATGAAATTAAATAAGAATTAATAAAGAATTAAGTATCGCTATAGCGCTTAAAATTTTAATTATTTAAGAATCTATATCTTAGAGATTATAAATATTATTAATATTATAATAAGATATCGCGATAAATCTTAAATCGATAACTTTTATTAGATATCTAGAGGTATCGAGTTCGATTTAAATCGAATACTCTAGAGATATTATTATAATCGACGATATTATTTAATTCGAATACGCTATAAATATTAATATTACTAGCGAGACTAGTTAATCTAGAATTTTTATAGATATTATTATAATTAATAATACTATCTAGCTCGAATAGTCTCAAAAATCTTTTTAATATATATTTAATTAGTCGAATTAAACTTTTAATAGATATTATTATTACTAATAATATTATCTATCTTAGATAATCTAAAAAATCTATCTTACGTATAGTCCCTCGAATTTTTAAATATATACTATTAAATTAATAGCTTATAGTCGCTTTAAAATCTAGTTAACTCAAATAAATACTATCTTAGCTTATTAAACGCGAAGTTTATTATATTTACTTATTTTTCTAGTTTTAAATTATATTATTGTGAAATAATAAGTTATAAGAATTAGATTTTAAAGATTGCAAACCTAGTAGATTGCAAATCCTAGTGAATACGAGTAGGTAAGGACAATACTTTACACGATCAAAGTAACGCATCCATCTTTCAAAGACTCTGTTCAGCGTGTTATCGCATAGAACCTTCCAACTATCTCCTAATTTCTTGGGTCAAAATCCTTGATTGTGCACGTAGTAGACCACGCCAGCAGACAAACCTGCCACTCCGGTGACTCTTTCTGCCAGCTCGCCGAACCTGGGAAAAGCACATCGGAATTGGCCACGACGGGGACAACAGGCATATTTGCGATAGGAAATTGCCTTCGACTTCGATACATCCACGTGTATCTGTCGCTGATCTATCTGTTTTGCATTAATCAAAAAGCTAGGCATGTCGCTCACTGGCTGTCCTACTCCTTGTCCTTGCTAGCGATTCAGTATCTCTACTATATCCTGATACACAGACACCCTTAGCTGACACTGCTGTCTTTTTGCTAGGCGCTAGCATTTCTGCAAATGCCCCGCAACACTGCTTTCCACTCGCAGCGTCACGAGCCGTTCCGATCCCAAAGCTCCCTTGAGCTTCAGCATGATTGCATCACTGGCCCTTTCTCTTTCCTGAACCCCACTCGCGCTGCATTCAGACATTCCATCCCCGATAGCAAGGGCTCTAACGATCTCGATCTTGGTTTGGAAGAAAAATCCCCCGAGCGGAAGGACGAACAATTGGCATCAAACATCGAGTTGATATGGCGTTCTCGAGACAACCGCAAAGGCCGTCATACTCTCGTCGTGGACCCGTCATCTGATCCCTCCGCCCCTTTTCTGGCGCCCAAATCAACTTCTGGCCTACGAGAAGTCGGTAGAGGCATCATCCGGATGACGAGGCAATACCCTTACTGGGATGTTTCGTGGCTCGTTGCCACAATATTCACTCTGGGCTCAGTAGTCTGGGTAATCAACGCCTTTTTCGCCTACCTGCCTCTTGCGCAGCCCAGTACCTTATTCAATAACGAGGTCCTGGTAGGGGGAGGAGTTTCTGCCTTCGTAGGAGCCACCATTTTCGAGATTGGGTCTGTTCTTCTCATGATAGAGGCTGTGAACGAAAATCAAGCAGGGTGTTTTGGTATGTGTAGTCGGGAGCAAAACCCATGATCGTCGATAGCGCAATCGAAACTTCCCCAAATATATATGGGAAGCAAAAGATAATCTCTTCTCAATATTCATCCCTATATCCTAGCAAGGGAAAGCTGACTCCAAAACGTTCGCTAGGCTGGGCACTGGAGCAAGCCTTCTCAGGCAACGGAGGAGGCAAAGGCAAGCTCAGGATCAGGCCTGACGAGGACAAATGTGTCCATCATCACACAAACAAGGGCAACTTTGTTGGCAAGGGATCTGGTATGGTTCAACAAAAATAAATCTAATCCTCCATGCTCACAAGTCTTCAAAAGTCAAGGCATCCTCCGGCGAGGCTCTTTCAGAATCCCAAGCCTCATCCAATGCCGACTTGGAAAAGTCTGTGGACTCGAATAGTCCCGGCAGATCATGGGTTTGGTTCCCATCAACACATGACCTGAAGACCCATTACGTACGTATTCTCGGAACCCTAATCTCACTCTTAGGATCGGATTCCGAGCCTTGCTGTACATCTCGCGAAAATTCACTTTATAGACGTATTTTCAGGGCTGAAATGCCATCTTGATCAAGCAGCGCTGACTCCAAATTTTTCGATTCAGTTGCGAGAATTGGGTTTCCTTGCGTCGCTTGCTCAATTATGCGGAGCGTAAGTGACACCGAAGCAGCTATTTGTCGATAAAGGGGTACTGATCGCTGCACACTTGGAAAAGTACAATATTCTGGGTTAGTCGCTTACCTTCTATCACAATATTAAAGATCCTGCTTACGCTGATCAGATATCTGGCTTCACTGCTCTCCCTGGCATCAACAACAGAATGTCCCAAGGTCTACTTGATGGCATATATTGGGTACCGCAGATGGTATGTACATCTTTGGAGCAATTACTTCCTATTCCAGAATGTTATTCGATGTGCAAGACATGTGTCGTAACCAAAAGGCTCTAAGAATCCCTTCGAGCTGTTCCACTGCTCGGGCTTTGCCTTTATGAACGAATGCTGACTTTACAGGTTGGGGGATCTGGTACAAGCTGGTATCCATCACTTCGGAACAAAATTAACACGATTTGTTAGGTTTTATCATATCCGGGACGCTTTACATGCTTGAAACGCAACCGAAATGGTACAAGCCGGCATGGGAAGTCCTTGGATGGCACATTGGGCTTTGGAATGTATGCATGTTGTTCAGCGAACTATCCTACTCAATAATTAAAAGGGTCGCAGGACAGGTTTTAGAAGCAGAAAGCTCTATAAACCCCACCTCCCCCCCTTGGAACCTGTCTTGCGACTCAATGTTCCCTTAGAACAGGCAATACTGACATACTTCAGTTGATAGGAGCCCTGGGGTTCACCCTTTGTGGTGCGTTGGGTCCTGCATATGGCAATAGCGGCGCCCAATACGAGGCTTCGTTGGCCACATTTTGGGGGTCATGGGCATTTTTGATTGGTTCCTTGATCCAATGGTACGAAAGTTTGGACAAACATCCCGTGATAGAGCGATCCAGCTACTTGTCGTGAAAGTTGAGAAAGTAAACCTGCGATCCAGGCCATTTTCCGGGGCATTCTCCATTACGATTCTTCAAAAACTATCACATTTAAGCACCCGAGAATGATGATGGAAAACACATGAGTGAGAACAGACCATGGCTGGTAAAGGTAGTTCCCAGCTCTTGATCAGGTACACTACAGGCAAGGTGCCAGAAAGAGTCGCTGTCGAAACTTTATGAACCTCCCACCAATATAGATAGATCTGCATAGCTAATATTCTCGCCATATTGCGAGTATCATATCAAGACCATTCAGATCCAACTCCAACCGCTAACAACGGAGGGTTTCTGCTTACTTGGGGAGTCGTATCGTCTGTGAAGTCTTTGTTGCGTGATGGGTTTTTGGCTATTATACAGTAAATCATATGAAAATTCAAAAGATTATTATCTTCTAAAGTCGCGTGGAAAGAATCATTAAAACCGATGCTTTTTTGATGATCTTTGTCAAGCCTGACAGTATTCAGATTGTGGCACTTTTTGCGTAATGCCTCGTGTACAATCGAAGTGAAAATGGTTGGGAAACCTCCCTACCGTCTTGCAAGCTGTTCGATGAGAAGCCTGAATGCTTTCTTCGCTGAGCAACCAAGACCATTGGAACCTAGGAAAACTTCCCTATGAAACGATAGCGACAGGTTCTGGTGTTGCTGTGTACATAGAACCCCTTCGGAGCGGGTGGGCGGGAAAATGGAGATGGGAAGGGGATGTTTATGTTCAAAAGTCTGTTTTTTCGACCGGACCCAATTCCACCGTGATGCCTGCTATCTACTCGAGGGGGAAAAAAGAAAGAAAGAGCAAAGATGAGAAGGGTGGGATTCGAACCCATGCGGATTTTCATCCAAATGAATGCAGCAACCAGGTCTGATCCACAGGAAAGCATTGCCTCTCTTGTAAACGATGTCCACGAACCACTCAAGCGGAGAGCCACCAATTGTCTAAAACTTGAGAACGTATAACATCGGAGAGAATCAAAAAACAATGTGACTCTTCTGCAAATAGAGTAGCCAACGATTACCGACTCTTCCCTATACGCTGCCCTTTAACTTGTGCCTCAAAGTCTTCCAGCAGCCGCTGCGCGTTCCTTAACTCGCATCTGGGCAGCGACATGTTCCAACGCACCTTGTATTCGTAGCCCATACCCGTCTGTCATTTGCCGACAATTTTTACAATCTCCCATTCCTCTTTATTTAGTGTCAAAGCTCTTCGGTCCCGAGGCTGCTGAGGAAGTGGTGGGGTAACGGTGGAGTGAGAGGTATGTAGATTTTCTGAAGTCAAAAAATGTACTTACGGCGATTGGAAACTACGTACTGAGCTGAATATTGGGCGCTCTCCAACACATAGCCTCCCTTTTCTCTTTTCACTAACCGGCCAAGTAATAAAGTTCGATTTCTCTAAAAGCGCCATGTTTTATAAGAAGAGCTGGTCTCTGATAATCGGCCAGTAAATTCCGACTCGGACGGCGGTTTTGATTCGGATACGAAATTTATATAGGATGGAAAGAGTAATATAATAGGTTTGCATATGAAAAAGGACCGTTCTATTAATACTTCTAAGAGCGAATCTACTTATAACAGTAAGGCAAAAGAGGAAAGAAGAATTAATTAAGGAAATTAAGGAAATTAAGGAAAATAAGAGAAAGGAGAAAAAGGAGAAAAAGGAGAAAAAGGAGAAAAAGGAGAAAAAGAAGGAAAGAAAGAGAAAGAAGAAAAGGAGGAAAAGAAGAGAAGAGAGAGAAGAGAGGAGGAGGAGGAGGAGGAGGAGGAGGAGGAGGAGGAGGAGGAGGGAGGAGGAGGAGGAGGAGGAGGAGGAGCAGTGCAATACAATGCAGGGAGTCTAGTGTAGAGCAGAAGCTAAGGAATATTGCAAACATTGTATCCTTCGAGAAGCGTGTACTTACATGGTCAATAGTTTGCCCATCTGCGCCTTTGAATTACGTTCCCACTGGAACCTTGTCTGTAGCATTAATATGGCTACTCTATTCAATACGTGATCATACATATTGAGCTCGAGCCAGTCGCTTCTCAGTAGGCCAAAATTGACTAAATCTATTGTATACAAGTAAGTACGGTATGTTGATCGTGCAATGATCACCCGGCTCGCGACCGTAGGGCGGCGCTCAACCTAGACTCTAAAAGGGGCGTCTGCAGTGCGAAATACAAAATCCGAACTTTAACTCCAATCGTGAATCTCTGTCATTTCTTTCTACACGCTCATTTTATCAAATTGACTCGGCATTTCTAAAGCCATGTCTTCCAAAGAAAAATACACGGTCATTCTACCAACCTACAATGAAAGAAGGAATCTACCTATCAGTAAGTCAAACCCTAGCTGCCTCTCTCCCCTTTGTCTCCATACTGATGGACGCTTTCATAGTCACTTGGCTCCTCCACCGCACCTTCACGGAGAAGTAATACCTCCTTCTTTCCGCGAGACCTCCTCTGACGAGCTCTCTCCCCTGCAACATGCTAACGCCCTGGCTCTCCTCAGCAAACTTGACTGGGAAATAATCATCGTCGACGACGGCTCCCCTGACGGCACCTTGCAGGTAGCTCAACAACTCCAGAACTTCTACGGCAGCCGCATCGTCCTTAAACCCCGCGCAGGCAAACTTGGACTGGGTACTGCGTACGTCCATGGACTCAAGTACGCTACGGGGTCCTTCGTAATCATCATGGACGCAGATTTCTCACACCACCCTAAATTCATTGCCCCAATGATCGAAAAACAGAAGACCGGCGACTACGACATCGTGACTGGCACTCGATACAGCGGGGACGGTGGAGTTTACGGCTGGGATCTCAAAAGGAAGTTGGTTTCTAGAGGGGCGAACTTGTTTGCGGATACGGTGCTCAGGCCAGGGGTCAGTGATTTGACAGGGAGCTTCCGGCTATACAAGAGGGCGGTGCTGGAGAGTGCGATTGCCCGGACAGAGAGCAAAGGATACACGTTTCAAATGGTACGTATACTCCAGAAGGGTCCATTCACCGGCGAGTGGCAACTTGCGTCGCGAGGCATTTGATGGGACCTACAATGAGGACCCTCGAATCTGTTTTCCAACCCAGCTCGAGGCTTGGAGGCAGACACGCTGATAGTGAAATTGTTTGTAGGAATTAATGGTCAGAGCGAAGGGTATGGGATATAGAGTCGCGGAGGTGCCGATTAGCTTTGTTGACCGAGGTGAGACTCTCGTGCAACTTGGTGCTGACGTTCAAGCGGCTGACAACCTCAAGTTTACGGAGAGTCCAAGCTAGGTGGAGATGAAATCGTTGAGTATGCGAAGGTGAGCCCTGTGAGAAAGTACGATCCTCGAGGCTGTCTGCTAAATCTGATACGTCTAGGGAGTTTTGAATCTCTGGTTGAAGGTCTAAGGCCTGATACGGCGTTGTAATGGGAATATACCCCGTGTCTTGGTTCTTCAAAAGGGTTACTAATGCTGTCCGACAATCATAATATTGGCGTTCAGGCGTTTCTGACATATGAATGTTTCCGAATTTGCAAATCCGAACTGCTAACGTTTGTGTACCATCGCCCTCAAACCTCCCAGAAAACGAATCGAGGACAAACCGTCAGTATTGGTATTAGAAATTGAAGACAGAGTATAATTTATCAGCAGCGGATCTATTAGCATGATTCTATTGAGCAACCAAGGGGTCCAGTTCGGAGTCGAACCCAATTGTAGCTTGCACATGGGTTCGAAGGGGCTAAGGTGCATGTCAAACTACAAACAATGGGGCATCCTACCTACAGTGATATATCGTCCACGTTTGCCGTAGGTTCCAGCAACTTGAACCGCTGGCTATCCTATATCTGTAACAAGTTGTGGTGCTGGGACATGGAGCCGGCGGAGAAGATCCTTATCTCCCCCCCTCCTCCCCCCTTGTTCGGCATATACACGGTCTTGGTTAACAAATGCGTTCGAATTCACCAGAAAGATGCCAGTCTAGGACAGATCTTGTCCGAGCAGATTCCATTGCGTCAGCAGCTTCTCGATGAGATGAAATTAAATTCGACCCCCGATCCCAAAATCATCTCCCCCGGACGCCAGTGCTCAGGGACAAATCCCTTCTATACAGTAATACTCTTACATGTTTCTACCTCCAGTCACCTGTATTTATCAGCCAATACTCCCTCCTATCCAAACCGTAGAATAGAGACCTTACCATGATAGTCTGGCCATTCACATACGAAAATAAAGGACTAGCAACTGCCAAAATTGCACTGGCTGCTTCCGTTGCGGTGCCTGGTCTTCTGAGAGGAATGTCGGCATATGAATTGCTCCCTGCGGCTTCTTTCTGCGCCCTAGGTATTCCAAGGGCAACCTGGTTACCATCCGGGGTCGTCACAAAGGCGCCTTCTTCTTTGGCGGCTGTGAGGCGTGTTAGGATGTGGCCAAAGGCGACGCTGTAATGGCAGGTGGTCAACTGGAAGGAAGCGACAAGGAAGAACAGCGAGGGAGAAATACGTATTTGCACGGACACCAAACGAAGGACCCCATTCTTTCGCTATGACTTTCGAAAGACCGGTCACGCCTGCTTTCGCAAGTCCATAATTGGCTTGTCCTCTAGTGTCTATCAGTGAGATATCTCAACGGTTTTTTTTCTGATCCCATACGCGTTGCCATTAATTCCACTCGTACTGCTGATGTTGATGATATTTCTCGGCTCTCCGTCCTTGACTCTGAAATACGGGGCGGCTGCTCTGACAAGTTTGAACGGTGCGGTATTGTGTAAAGCGATGATGGTGTCCCATTGTTTGTCCGTCATCTGGCCCATACCATTAACAACCATACATTCCCGGTTTCGGACTCAGAATCGGAATCGGCTTCTGGAATAAGGCCCATACCTTGTGTATTACTCCGTCCCAAGTGAAGCCAGCATTGTTGACTATAATGTGGATCTTGCCCCCTCCAAATTCGGCGGCTTTCTTCACAAGCTCGTCAATGTACTGTGCGTTTAACATATCGCCAGGCACAGCTATTGCTTGTCCGCCTGCGTCATTGATGGCTTGTGCGACTGCGTTCGCCTTAGCTATTCATTAAAGGTTCATCAGCGTTCATGCCGGGGAACGGTACAGCAACTTGGCGGAGAAGTACCGGCATCTATATCCTGCACCACAACTTTTGCGCCCTCACGTGCAAACAATTGCGCGGCTTCTGCCCCAATGCCTTGGCCTGAGCCTGTTATGATGGCCACCTGACCACCCAGCATACCCTTGGCAAAGAGGTGCCCGGCAATCTGAGCGACACGCTTCTCTGCCATGGTTAAGGACTTTCAGCAAGTGGATTGACAGAATCTCCAGGCTTGGGGTCGAAAGAAGTTGTAGCCAATTGCGAAGGTCCAAGCAGTCATTGAATGAGGTTTTGAGCGGTATTTCTACGAAGAGTTAGGTTTCTGCGGCAGCCGAGGCATGACGTTGTCAGGAGCCCACTCTGCATACGGGAAAACCTTTCTCCTAGCGCACCGCAAGGTCACCCAGGCAAATTGTTTTGATACATACGAGCAATCGCTTCTCTCCAAAGTTGAGAAATCTTCGAACTGTCCCCTCATGACGGAATGATTTCCCCGAAGCGCCCCTGCTTGCTTATGAAGCCTGTATGCTGGCATCAGAAGCAATACTGCTCGTTGCTCTGCTGGCTCGTAGGATGAACTGTGCTGGTTTCTCGGATAAATGAGGTCCAGAAGAGTCGCATGTTCATATCATTTCCGTTTGATCTGTCTGATAGTAACGACGTCCCCTTCCAGCCGCCAATCCACGTTGCTTTTCTCCTTGAGCTCCCGCCATCGTCGTTGTGCCGACCTCTCTAGAAACCCTGGGTCAACGCTCAAGTAGCTCTTCCCCAAGCACTCTAGAGCGCGCCGTCTCATCCCTTCCTCACTGTACTCCAACAGCCGTTGCTGATGACAGCTCATCAATGTTTTCACTTTCCAGAACGCATACCAGTTATCGTGAACAAGAGCCTTGAGCACTGCTTCAACTCTTACATTCTTATAATTGTAGCGACATTTCACTTCAAATGCTGTAGCTAGATTGTTCTGCCGGCATGACACGTCGAGTATATAGAATCCCATGAACTCGTGGTATTCAGATGCGGTCAATGGAGTTACAGGATGTATATTGCGTAATAGATGCAGCAACGCTGGATGGTAAGATTCCATGTGTCTCATCAGTATAGTAGCGCGGATCAAGAAAGCATATGCTCGTAAGGCAAACATGTCTTTGCGGGCTGAAGCTACGATTGCTTCACGAACTTTTCGCATAGCCATCAATATCACTGACTGTTCTCTCGAGTCTTCTGTTGAGACTTGAGGTGCACTCCCTGAAGCTTTTGCCTCTGAAATGGGGTTGGGCCGATCAGAGCGATTCTCAGAAATCCCATCGATGGAAAGAGAGGCAAATGCTCCGTCGAGAGTGTCGTTATCGCCACCATGAGGATGGCACCGTTCGTATCTGTCAACGACTTTGCGGAAGTATTCTTCTTGCGTCTTGAAATTTAGCAGCCTACGGAACGCGTCAGCGCAACCTGATAACAGAGCAATTTACGGACCTGTTATCGCCTTTCGAGGGTAAGCCTATGCTTTCCAGAGGATCCACGGAAACTTGCTTGAGTCTACTCATCCCCCTAGGTGGACGGTAGGGTTCTAAGCCGGGTTCCATAGCGATAGGGTCAGCTGTTGGACGTGACTGGGTGTCCCATCAATTCGCAGGGAAATTGCCGCGAAGAGTGCAATGCGAGCAGGGAAGGCACTGCGAATAGCATTGAAATACAGTCTTTATGCGAATCGATTGGTAGTTAGCTTGGTGCTTGGTGCTTGGTTGAGCTTGCAAACCGAGGATTGGGCCTTAGCTACGAGAGATCGACCAAGACACCTGAAGCTTGAAAGCCAAGGCCGGAGTGGTGTCTTGGAAATTGTGCGACCATACTACAAGAAACGATCGGTTTTGGGTGGCACGGTTGCAGTCCTTGCAGTTGTTATGTGGGTACGGAGTAGAAAGGTTGAACGCGCAGAAGACACACGCAGGGATTACTTGAAGTTTAGCTGCATGCCTCTGCCGGATGCCCGCCATCCTGACTTGAGTCACGTGACATGGTGAAACAGCATTTGACAACTGCTGGAGCGTGCAATAATAAAAAGTAAAGTATTATAATGGCCACCCGTCGTATCCCTTCACGCGCCAAAACGACACCCATTGAGACCCTTCACAGCCTCCTGACCGTGCAGGAAGCGGATACTGCATTCAGAAGCCGGCCTGTAACCAATTTCCTGCTCAATTATGATGAGCTACCTGCCTGGCGACAAGATAACCATTTCATCTTGACCCATTACCGTCCGACATCGAATTCGGTCTTCACTTCTTTCCAGAGTCTATTTCAACTGCATAACGAATCCGTCAATATCCACTCTCACCTTTCCGCTGCTTGGATTTTTTTCTTCATCGCCCTGTCTCTTTATGCCTTCGAACGACACGCGGTCACATCGGCCGATACCATAGCCTTCTTATTCTTCTTTTCCGGTGCTGTCACATGCTTAGGCATAAGTGCTACCTACCACACGGTATCGAATCATTCACCAAAGGTACGGCTACCCCTGACAGCATGCTTCTTCCCAATCTAAGTTCGCAGATCAATCAATGGGGAAATCAAATCGATTACCTGGGCATCGTCATTCTCATTTCTGGAAGTTTCGTGCCGAGCGTATATTATGGCTTCTATTGTGAGCCAATGCTGCAAAGATTCTACTGGGGCATGGTACGTTTAAATAAAACGTAGAGTAGCCCCGCAACGATCCATTTCTGAACAACGGGTCCGTAGATCTCTACAATCGGCATCGCCTGCGCTGTTGTATCCCTGAACCCAAAATTCCGCTCCCCTCTTTGGCGATCATTTCGAGCAGGCATGTTTCTCGGTTTCGGTCTCTCCGCCATCTTCCCAGTCTTGCATGGAGTGTATATGTATGGACTTGAGCAGATGAGATATTCGATTGGTCTTGATTGGGTCCTGTTGCAAGGTTTCCTCTACATCTTAGGAGCCGCCATTTATGCTGTGTGTTTTCGCTCCTCAAATCTCCGTGTCTGCACTGAAAGGCTGATCCAAGATACAAGGCACGTGTACCTGAGAGGTTCCAGCCTGGGAGATATGATATCTGGGGGAGCTCCCATCAAATATTCCAGTAAGACGCATTTCTGAGTTGTCATTCCCCAATCCGAATTGCTTTCCAAGTCGCAAGATATGTCTCAACAGCAAAACGTTCCGGCAAGCCCCAGCTTACTCCTTCAACGTGTCTCATGACTCCTTTCTGTGTCGTGTTAAGAAAACACTGACTCTGAAATCTACCAGTGTCCTAATAACCCTGGCCGCAATGTCACAACTCATAGGCCTGTTGACCGCTTTCCACCATGCACGGACATCGTCCAAATGCTAGAGCGTGACGGTAACCATATACGCTCATACCTCCCCCTTCGGTAACATGATATTACGCTTCAGGTCCGTCGGATGAGGATCGCTTCTATTTGGCTTCGAACTTGCAACCCTTCTGTACGTGGCTTCCCGTCGTTGTACAGTCTCTAGTACAAATAAATTTTGAGCAGCCAGAGTCAACATTCAAGGAGGAAACGAGAGAGACGACTGTCCATCTGCTCCACTTGCCAAGTGATGTTGGGATGTCGTGAAGACATAATAAATACTGACCCTCGCTAGCTTCCGTATGAAGAAACTAGAGAGCGTGAGAGTAAATGGAAAAGCGGGTGGAAAAACCCCAAAGATCACCACCAGCGTTCGCGTACTTGCCCAGGAAAGACAGGGAGAAGAATAATTTTGCCCGGCGAATGTGTCACCATGGGAGCTTTGTACCGCTTGGCTTGTTCATCTTACAGTTTAGAGTACATCGAGGCAAAGCCTTAAAGGCTTGGAGCCAGCAGGCAGCGTCTGCAAGAATTCCCTAAACCATACCCAGTCTACTGCTTAGCTTGTAGTACAACGCCTTCATACTCCCTGCTCTGGATGTAATCCAGCGTTCTCTGGAAGTGCTTTTTCGGAGCCTCTAAGCTCGAACTTTCCTGGTTCGTTTGCAGATTCGAATGTATGAGCTCGATAAGGCCGTTTAGGTATTTCGTCGTCACCTACTTCACCGTCAGTACGTCTTGATGACGCTGTCATGTTCCTGGAATTAGGCCCACCGTCTCATTTTGCTGATCGAAGTAATATACATATCTATTCAAGATCTCCACGAACAGCTCCACTGACACTGCGGTATCCATACAAGCATCTGCCACGCGGAGCGCGCGCTGTAGACATTCAAGCACGCGCTTGCCGTCTCGATAGAGCTGATCAAATATCAGCCGTCACTCGCCGTGATCGATGCATCGATTCAACCTACATTCTTGGCATCCTCCTCGCCTTTCGCCGGAATCTCCACGGCCCACCAGAGATGACTGGCCAAATATACAGCTCGACACTGATCCGGCTTCTTCAACAGTTTACTGCCATGTAACGCGCATTTGGTAATTAGCGTATCATAATTCTCTTTTCCGAATCCTCTGGTGGAATGCAGCGCGCCTGCAATCACGCAAACGGCTTGGAACTGAGCCCTCGAATCGCTGATAGCTTCCTCATATATTGTAAATGCTTGCGCGAAGAATTCATAGGCCACCTCTTCAAAGCCTGCTTGGTCGGCCACTTGACCGCAGGCCACGAAAAGGCGGAGACATAAATCAGCGGCGCCATTGCGGGTATAAAGCGCAGATATCGACGAGTGCATGAATTTGTAGAGTGCGGAGGATTGGGATTGCCAGCTGTCGTCGTAATGTTCTCTTATTTTGTATCTGCGGGCGAGCTTGAGGGATGAGGTGAGTAAAGCAGGCGTAGTGTACTTGATGCGTTCGTTGCCATCCGAAAAGGCGTTGCGAGCAGCTTGGAGCAGCTTGAACTGTATATCGTTGTCGGGCGATTGGATAAGGTGCACCAGTCTAGCAAGCAATCCTTGCTCTGTTACTGTCTCGTCTGTCTCGGCACCTCGTCGCTGACTTGGGACACCGGGATAGCCAGCGGGCTGCTGGATGCCTTCCTTTATGAGCACTCTCAAAATTTCAAGTACGTCGTCTAGTTGTTCGGATGACGAGATTCTAGTCTGATTGCGGAGGAGGTTTTGAACCACCTCACAAGCGACTGCACGGCGCGTAGGATACGTCTGTACGTGAAGAAGGGGTATGAAGTTTGGGAGAGCTAGGGCTGTGTACAAAGAAACATAGGATTTGATTGGTGCGAGAAGAAGAGCCAAAATGTTCGATTGTGTAGGCGCTGAATGCAGGTCGGCACTGTTCGCAAACTGTGCAACTTTTTCGCTGGCGTACGAAAGTATCTGGTCGACATATTCTGCGCTTCAATTAGCAACAAATCCGAATCTCGAAAAGGGTGAGGCTACCTAGCCGTTCGGGATATATGTTTCTATTATCGTGTTAGCTGCGTTCCATCTGGAAGACACCCTTACTCACAGAGCAAGTTTGGATAAGGAGACGAGCAAAGCGATAGTATCTTGGATGTGTAAACGCTGCGTATTGACCAAGTTGACGACTTGTTCGTAAAAAATCTCATAAAGCTTGACATCTTCAGGTATGCCTCGGTTCTTGCTCAAGGGTGGCTTGTCACCATCTTCTTCAGAGGTGGCGGGTTTTTTTGAGTTCTCGTCTGGCTGACCTTCAATCTCGCTCGACGGTAGTTCTGTCGGCTTATCGCCATTGACTTGCTCGCCATTCGTTTGCTTTGCCTCGGTCCCATCAGCCTTTGCTTGCGGCATCTCGTTCCCTTTCGATACTCGGAGTTTCTCCAGTAATCTGGTAGTGGCTTCTTCTTCTGTTTGCTTGCGGTCTTCGGGTGATTCTAACTCTGCTTCTCGCGCAGCATACGATGATAATCGATCCATCAGGCCAATTACTATCGCTTTGATATTGACGTGTGGATTCAATCGAGCAATTGCAGAGAGCAATTGATCCAAAGTATTAAGATGGAATTCGTCTGGAAATACCTGCGTTATCACTAGATCTCGTATTAGTTGCTGAATGTAAAGCACGCTTGTGCCGGTGTGCAAACCTTCTAGAAGATACTCTTGTGCTAAAACGTCTCTACATTGAACGACTTGCTCCAGAAGCGGTTGCAGAATGACCGTCTTGTATGCATCGAGGTCGACTAGTTGACTCAGTCGTACCAGATTATTTCCCACCAGTAGCTGTAACTCTTGCCTTTCCTTCGTTCTCTGTTCCCTCTCTCTCGAATGTCCCTGGTGTTGCAGCCTTACCCACAACTTGTTCATTTCAACAAAATTTGTCAATATGAACGATATTGAATCCTGAAGATTTCCTTCCGGCCCATCCCCACTCCCTGCAGGCAACGAATCTCTTGCCTGTCCAGAGAGATAATATCGGAGGAACAGACCGCGTATTGGATGTTGTACCCCTCGACTCATTTCCATCATGTCTTTCATAATCTCTTTTACAGGCGCATCTTCAATTCCCATATATACAGTTCCAACAGTGATCATGAGGTACAGTCGAGGTACGATATTTCCTGCATACTGGACTAATTCATACAGATCTGCCAGATGATTGACAGGGTGAGATTCGCGGAGGTAGACGGACAGGTGCCTGAGAGCGTCGAAGACAGACATATAAAGCTCGTAATACTGTTTAGGTCCTAGGCTGCTTGTCCGAAGCTCGGACACAAGTGTGGAGCTTTATGGAGACAGCTTGCAGTCAGCCCTGTTGTCTTTCAAAGCATTGAGAGCATTCATAAGTTTCGAGCTTCATACCTGCACTTCAATGCATCCATGAGCTTGCCTGGGGTCTCCAAGCACTTGCGCATGAGGTGTGTTTGTTGCCGTACCAGGACCAAGGCATCTTCGAGTAGCCTAGCTTGATCCTCAATGGCCGGAGGGGAACCCATGCGGTCGGACATTTTGATGGCGGGATGTTGCAGTTGGCAGCTTGTGCTTTGCTGCAAGCACTTTCACCTATGCAATGCCTGTAAAAACATTCGTGGTTCGTTGTTGAGCATTACTATTTGAGCCGCGCTAAGGGTTTCCGTATATGCCGAGACGGAGCTAAAGCCTGGGGAAAAGACAGCCAACTCAGTTATTTCTGTACACACAGAACATGGTAACTATTTCATTGGCAGGTTCAAGTGATGTGGAAACCACCGGAACGGTTTCTTTAGTTCTGCCATTACTTTCATGTCGTTGCCATTAATCTATTGGTCTAACTCTAGCTCGAGCTCACACGCTTCAAAACGCCCTTCGCTATGTAAGACACTTTTTGGTGCATAAATCGTTAATCGCTCGCGCATTTCATGGCTTTTATTAATCTCGAACCATAGAATCGTCAAGCCATCAAACCATCGTACCACCGAATCATCGTCTTCTTGTCCAGCATTTCCGTAAAATGGGGGATCCTCCAGCCTCTCTGCTACACTCACTGCCAAGAGGCATCGAAAGCTTCTTGTAGAAGTCACTCCATGCAGATCAAATTTGGCCTCGCACAGTCGTGGGGCCCCCGCATGGGTTGCGGCTGTTAATGACTTTCGGGAAGCTACTCGGAGCGGACGTATAACAGACAATTTGTGTGTTCGCAGTCTTACGTCTGAAAGGTGCCGTGTGACATGGTTTCAGCCTTTTTTCCAGAGGTTTTGTGCTCTGCCCGTACCGACTGCCGTTGCTGACGCACCCGAGAGCAATGTTGAGGTCGCATTCCACACCGGATAAGAAGTATGCCACATCCCATCATCGTATGTCTTCGTTGAAGCCGTCGGTAGAGTGCTGGAACTTATGACAGCAGGAGGTGGAGGTTGAAGGGGAGACGGAATGCTCGCAGCGGCTTCTGGGCCTTTTGCTTCCGGATTTTTTGCTTCTGCCGGCTGCGCAACCTCCGAAGCCCGATTTGAGCTTGCCAAGGACATAGAAACAGTCGGAATGGAGGTCCAGGTGGAGGCCGAGGATAGCGTCGAGGTGGAGAACGAAATTACGCATTTCACACTTGAAACACTGGTAAAGGTTTGGCTTGGGGGAGGCACTGTTGACGATGATGTTGGTGTTTCTCCAGGATTGACGACGGTGTAGGACGGAGATGTTGTCGGAGCAGGGTTTTCCGTGATATCTTGAGTAAAAATTATATCCACGGTCTTTGCGGGCTCTTTTTCGCTGACAATTTTCGTCGTTATAATCGTTTCGATCAACGGTGGCGTGCTGCTTGCGGAGGCGGTGACGGTCTTAACGCTGTCCGACGTCTGGATGAGAGTGAGGAGATCTGGTACCGAAGTTGATAAAGGTGTGGAAACTGAGCCTCCATCAACGGCCACAACAGAATATGCGACGCGCCTTCGGACTGCAGGCTGTTTGGGAGGTGCCTGGGGTTTCAGTGGAAACGCATGGGAGATGTGAGTTAGAGAGGAGAGCGCTGATATGACTAGAAGAGACGTGAGACGCATGATTGAGGTGATCAGAGCAAGAGAGTATGAACTGGGAATTGTCGAAGGGAGAACAGAGTGGAAGCACTCGAGAATCGAGATACTTTCGCAACAGGTGGGAATTGCGCAGTATGCAGATGCAAATGCAGCGTGGGGGAGAACGAGAGACAGAGAACTTAAGAAAAACATTTTTCTACCAATTGATAGAAATTGAAGATGGCTGGTGAACATGGTATGTATTTTTGGAATGGAGGTTCGCGAAGGAGGAAAGAGGTTGGGCAACCTGAACGATCACCGGAATTCACGTGGCTGGAGCCCGGACGCGCTAGTTATGTATAGGACCTCCGATTAGCGCATTCTACTATCAGATCCGATAAGGAGTTCGTGAAAATAAGTTGCATCTGACTGCATGTCGCAGTGGAAGTTTTGTATCGGTTGGTGCGCCGGCTTGTGGAAAACCCCAAAACCTTTCAAGACATCTCTAATTCAAGCAAATAAATAATGAAAACAAGAAGCCCAAAACAGACCATCAAGCATTAAGACAACCTCATCAAGACCGCGCAACCATCAGCGACCTCAGATACTCGGCAAAACCTTCCTCAATGCTCGCAGAGAAGTTTACAAAGAATGCCATCGCTTTCGAGCCGGGAATCGGGCAATGCTGCAACAAAGCTTTTACATTCAGGACCTGTAAATCCTTGATCGCGACGACGTGCTTCATCCATTCCATGTCCTCGTCCATTTCGTCCAGTCTTACTATCAAGGCAAAATCCGCCTTGCTGTAGGTGTTTTTTTGTTTCCAGTATAAGGCGGGCTTGTTTGCAAGCGACGGTGTCCCTCCTTCGACATAGAGGTCAAGTTGTACCAAGCGCAAGTTCTGCGAGATGAACGCGCAGGCATTGCGCCATTCGCAGCGATCAAAGTCTTTGGTGTATGGTAGAGAGCGTTTGACAATGTTCATTCGCTTGATGGCGGAGAGAGCGGCAGGCGTCAGGTCTTGTAGGAAGGGGAGGATGCTTTCGATATCCGTGCCAAAATCGAAAGTATGCTCCGAGTACAAGACGTGGGAGGCCTCGGCGTGGATCTGTTGGTTCACACCTAGGATCGAGGAATGTATGTCTCCGGGGCCTCTGTAAAGGCAGTATGTCGATTCGGCACTGCGAGAGCGCATTCGATCGGCTATGTACCTGAACTTGCTTCGTCGTCGCATTTCTCGCTTGCGTCGCCCGTATATGAATTGCTCCTCCGTACGTATGCGTAGAGTCATATCCTTGTGATGCGAAAGCAAGAGCTTGTATATAATGAGACGGATCTCTGCTGGCACCTTCAGGAAGGGCGCCGTGGCCATTGTAGACTCCGACATGCGGGCAACGTCTGCGTGCACAAAGAATCCGAGACTGATTCCCTACTCTGCACCACTAGGTAAGATGAATGTGTGGATGGACCCAGCGAAAACTATGTGTGATGAAGATTAGACCACGACGTGATTAAGATGCGCGGTTAAGAGCTCTTATGCATTTCTGCAAAGAACATCGAGAGAAGGGAAAATTGTTCCCATCTCGAGTCAGCTACTCGTATCATGTTAGATACGTATGTTATCGTCAGATGCGTTTGAATGAATGTACTAGTCCTAGTGTGTCCTTGTGGAATCAGCGGTCAGTGTCGTAATACGACCAATCAGCGTACGATCGCATCCGTTCTTAACCTCCAGGGTGCTCCGTAGTCTAGTAGACTGGGGCCAGGTGGGAAATCCCCCGTACCTCCTGCGCCTCAAGGAAACGATATCTGACTGCATCTGAAGATTATTGATTATCTGGCCTCTTGGACCGAGGGAGCGATGATTGACTGTCAAATGTTTGCGGCCTCGGTGGAATTTTCCTCTTGGCGAAAGCTAAACAGAGGAAATTTTGGCCCGTACCATAAGCTCAGCATCGTTGCCAATACACGGTAACATGAATGAATATGGTCACGGATGAAAGATGGTGATCTGGCTTGGTTCCTAGGACGAAGCCGAAAACAGTGGGATTGCAACAGTTGGGGTATCGTAAATTGAATCCAAGGCAAAGCTTCAAACTTCAAACTTCAAACTTCCACAAAGCGCCTCTCACGATGGGCCCCTTGCTCTTCCTCTTCCACTGCCTATGCCTCTTCCAATACCGCTCCCGGCCCTTCCAGGCGTTGTGCCACCTGCTCTGGCCGTTCCTCTTACTCCTCCTTGACCGCCCACCCCAACATATCCATTGCCCCCTGCTCTGCCGACCCCTCGGCCTACACCTCTACCTCTTCCTCGTGGGCCCTTGGTAGTCAACCCTTCTGTCATCCTCCGTCTTTCCTCTTCCTCCTTTTCCCTCCCTCTCGCTTCCTCCCTCCTTGCCTCTTCTACTTCTCTCCTTTCCTTCTCCTGCCGCCTCAGCACCACCTCGTTCTCCCCATCCGCGATATCCTGACTTGCCCCCTGCCATCGCGGATTCAAGATTAGCCGTTGATTGTGTTCGGTCTGGCTGAGTATGCGCGTCCACGTTGTGAGGAGAGTAGATGCATTTGAGACTGTAGCAGAAACTGTTTCCATGTTACTCTTGGCTTTCTCCAAAGAGTCGACGACCCCTGAGATGACCTGGTTCATGGTGCGGACGGAGGACAGTTCGCGGCGAAGAGATGCTTCGTGGGCGGCAAGGTGGTCTTCTTCAGTATCTGGTGGTTGGGCAGGAGGTTGGGACTTCGAAGTCTCAGGTTCAGGTCTCCGCTTTTTGGTGGGCACGGAGGGTGAGGCGAAGAGGTCTTCTGTGTCGTCGGCGTCGCTGTCCGAGAGGGATAGGGAGTTAAGGTCTGGGGGAGTGACACCATTTCGAGCCATTATTTTGTAACAACAGGAAACACAATGTTTACACGACCGAATCGGAGACCTCTTGCGCTGACTGGTTCAGTTGTCAAGCAGGGCGGGGTTGGAAGACGTGTTGTTGATATTGGAGGGTACTCTACGCGCTTAGGCTTTTCAGCCATTCCCCACTAAATTCCCGCCCTGCCACAGCATTTTGACGACATTCCATCCTCAACCACCAGAACATAACTACAACTTCCTTACCCTCTGCTTCCAATCCCTTCTACTCCAGATATTGTAGCATCATGCATTTGCAGCACATTATTTATTACTGCATTGAATAGCTAGCTCCGCCGAATCCTGTGCTCCAACGGCTTCAATTCGCCCGACGATCAACCATCGTTCCAGCACCCCCTAGCTAATATTCACTTGCTGCGCTCTGAGGTCGACAAAAAGCTAAGCAGTTAGCACCACTAAGCGACCGTGTTGAACGCCTCGGGTTGTACTTGGATATTGCAGTATGGCAACAACGCCTCCGTCAACATTAGCTGTATATACACCACCGACGCCGCTTCACGGTGCAAAGTACGACGAGCATTGCCCGAAACCCACTCGCAAAGCCACGCGCAACTCTTCATCACGCACCCAACGCGCCATTGAGACCCCACCTCCAAACCCGGTTAATTCTCAACACATTTCAGCATCCCTAGATCCGAAGAAGCCGAATACGCTACGTCCTGCCCCTCACACCTATTCTCCTCCGTCTTCGACACATACGTCTCCTCGTAAGAAGTCTTTAAGAGGCCCATTTTCATACCACAACAAGGACGCTAGCGCCATGGATGGTGCCGGTCCATCTTCAGGAGCTCCATCGCTCGATCTGTTCCACAACCCTGACAAAAATCCCACCTTGCAACAACCGTCGTTACATCCTGCTGCAAATATGCTTCCCACACCGGCGAAGACACCACGCAAGAAGCCCGTGCAGCCAGCAGCCGTCCAAGCTGCAGCTAGAGTACTTTTTCCTTCTCGACCAGATACAGTGGAAGATGCAATGCCGAATCCACGCAAGAGAAGAAACAAGAGGCATGTCGGTTTCTCCCTTTATAGCTCCATGGAAGATGATGGCGACGCGGGCTCGGAAAACCAGATCGAAATCTATACGGACTCCAAAGACAAAGTTCCAGAGCTGGATCCGAGTGAGGACAATCCATTCTACGACCAACATGCCCGGACTGTCGCTTCTGTAGAGCCTCGCAAAACGAAAGCTAGCAAGAAGCGGAAAGCGGAGCACAGTATAGATACGAGTACAGAGATCGAGGAGGCATTCAACCGCGAAGAAGGCATGGTCTACGTCTTGTAAGCACTTCCATCCCTTCATCTCACTGAAGGTGGCACTGATTCTTGTGTTCAGTCGCGGCAAGAAGATGTATCGAAAATTTCCCCATGATGGTCTAGAGTATAATGACACCAACAACCGTGGAGACAGTGAGCGCGAGTCCTCTACTATACGTCCATTGACTCGTTCCTCAATCAAACCGCGCCTCCTTTTCCCAACGACGCAACAAATCCACGAGCGTACCGTATCTACCATTGACGATGAAGAAGCTCCCACTGACATCGAAGATCCCCAAGATCATGAGCTGACCGACCCGGAGGACGAGAAACCGATTACCACTCCAATTAAGGCCTCAGTTTTCTCACCTGCAACTCCGCCGACCACTGGCCACGCAACTAGAGCAGTCACCAAGAAGGCAGCACTTGACTCGCCTTCAGGTCGACCGGAGCCGGTCCAAGCCGTTCCGTATGAGCGGCGTGGTAAGAAAGTCAGTCCGTTTGATGCATGGGCACGTACGAAGGCTGGCATGAGTGGGAGTGAAGGCAAAGGGAAGAAGAGGGAGGGAGAGGCTATGGAGAAGAATGAGGGAGTAGCAGGGAGCAAGAAAGTCAGGGGCAATGGAGTGGTTTGAACGTATCTAATAGACATGCTACGGCATGTATCCCACTCAGAGCTTTCGAGCTCGCCAACAACGGACTTCGTCTCCAGCTGTGTTTGCAATTTGGGGTTTTATTCAGCGTTTGTCAACGACAATTGTGATAGCACAGCCGATCTGGCGAGCTGTCGGGGGTGGAATGGCAGAAGTGTCTTCATCCACGGTCATAGAGGCTGCATGAATGCAAAGACCGGGAATTTTTCCATGCTTGTAGCCTAGTCTGGCTAGATTGGCTCTCTGCTTTTGCTCATAACATTGGGTATTCGATAAACATCTCAATATCAAATGCAACACCTGCCGCAACCCTCATAATTTGAAGTCAGCCACACCCCTTTCCCCACCCCCTGTTTCCCCAATACGCTTGGAAACCCTTTCCACCAGCTCCTCTTTCTTTTGGCTGCCTTTTTCACTACAAAGCTCATACACCGTCGCTAGATTGAAAGTCAGCGCGTGGAAGCTCCTGCCCTTCTCAACTAATTGATCCAGCAGCTCCAAAGTCTTATCCACCTTGCCAGTGTAGAACAGACAAACGGCTAAATTCTGTGTAGCGAGATCGCTGCTTGGTAAAGCATTCCACTCCTCCACCGCATCTGCATAGCGGCCATCTGCCATGCTGAGCAACGGTCTCAAGTCTGAGGCGCTGGTATCGGAAAGACACTGCCGTGCTGCATCCACATTTCCAACGTGGATGTAGAGAAGAGCCAGGCGCCCTTCTAGGACTTCATCCTTTCCGGTTTTAGGTCGTAAGCTCTCCAAATGCCTTACGGCAGCTGCAGCATCACCCATCTCAGTCAATGCGTTAGCCACGCACAGTCCCAGTTCCTTCAATCTCTCCTGCCATTTTCGGGTTTCTTCCGGGTCCACAGCTTTCTTCACCTCTGCCCTTGCCTCCCTTGCTAGGTCGTAATAACCTCCGACACCTCTCCTACCATCTCCGTATCCCACTCCTTGTAACCGCACGGCGAGAACCCTCAACTCCCACGGTAAGATGTTCTTTCCAGTAACTTCGTCGCGGTAGAATGGGCTGTTGATGTCTTGCAGCGCTTTTGATTCTTCGGCAGCGAAAGGGAGGTGACTTATGAGAGTCAAACAGGCGAGACGGGTGTAGAGAAGCGGGAAAAGCTCGTTGGGAGGGGGCGCAGGTGGCGTGCAGAGCCGTAAAGCTGCAGCTGTGGCGGCAGAACGAAAATTGTGATTTGCGAGAAGGGTCGGTGTTGGGGTGGAGGGAGGTGGCTGGCGTTTGGGCGTGCGGAATTGAGAGGGTAGATCCTAATGGATGTCGTGAGCTCTGCAGGTTGTATAGAATCCGGGGAGATTGCGTACTAGCTGAGATAAGGGGTGGTAGATGTCTGGCCGGAGCAGGTAAGTGAAATCCTTGCTAGGCGGGGGTGGAGGGGCCGTGACGGCGGGTTGAGCGAATGGGCGCTCTGGACTGAAAGATGTGGTAGGTATAGGGATATTCGCGGCTTCAATGGTGACATGGCTGGGTGTTTGAGGAGATTGGACAGCTAAAGGACTGAGATGTCAATGTCATGCTTCAAGGAGGGACAGGGCAAGCATACTCGTCCGAATCGAGGGGCCCCTTGGTCATACGTCTTGCGAGGGGAGCTGCAGGATTGTTAGTAAGATAAGCTTGAAGACCGACTGGCACAGGTGTGGAAAGTTGTTGTCATGTCGAATTACCTCGATTGTAGGAGGCATTTCTTGAATGCCTTTTGGAGGTCGAGCTACCTTCTAGACGCTGCGGACTTGTCATGTTAGGATTTGCCAATTTAATCAGAGGCTGGGTTGAAGTGGAGATGATGTAAAGAATTCGGGTGTACTCTAGGGCCAAGTTCCGAGGGCATCTACCCTAAAGTATAGGTACTTAACCCCTGGAATCAGTCGGTTCTACGCCCCACCATCTCCCCACTACTCCACTCCCTCAAACATGAGCTCCACTGACACTTATCCTGGACTTTTGCACTCCATCTCCCCACCTCTTGTCGCCTTTGAACATCGCCACAATCCTCAATCTCAGGCTTCTAATACCCTTATTTTCTTAGGCGGCCTCGCCGATGGACTCCTCACAGTTCCATACGTTCCCCACATTCAATTCGCCCTCCCTTCCTCGTGGGCTCTTGTTGAAACCACTCTTTCCTCTTCCTATAGACAATTTGGAATTGCGTCACTGGGTGAAGATGTAGCCGAAATAGCGCGGCTTGTTGAATACTTTCACACATTGCATCCAAAAGGTAAAATTGTTCTGCTTGGTCACTCCACAGGAAGCCAGCAAATTATGCACTACTCCATTGCCCCTGGTTCTCGTCCAACGATCGATGGTGCCCTCTTTCAAGCCAGTGCCAGTGACCGCGAGGCGTTGGCGTCTTGGCTCTCGGCAGATGAATACCAGTCTGCTTGCGCAGTCGCCCAATCTTATATTTCCGAAGGCAGAGGAGAAGATGTCTTGCCCTTCGAGGTGACCGCGTCCTGCTTTCAGACCGCACCCTTGTCGGCAAGTAGATGGATCAGTCTTGCAAGTCCAGGAGACCATGAGGGAGAAGATGATTATTTCAGCAGCGATTTTGACGACGAGAGATTAAGTAAAATATTCGGAGAATTAGGAAAGACGGGCAAAAGAATTGGTTTTTTGTACAGCGGAAGTGATCAGTATGTGCCTAGTACAGTCGACAAGTCGAAGCTCGTGGAGAATTGGCACGAGCACGTTAGGCGTGGAGGAGGTATCATCGACGAAGGAAGTGGAATCGTGCGAGGCGCAAGCCATACGCTTAAAGAAGGTGGAGAGCCGCTTGAAAATCTAGTCGGAAGGGTTATTGGTTTTCTAGAGAGGCTGGAAAAAGAGGACAAGTCGTAGAGTAAGGTGCATGCCAAAAGAGTATACAAAATGCTAGATTCTTATGGAGGTATTTTCTCTTCGACTCGATGGATAAGGGGTGAACCTATGCAGGGGAGCATTGATGTAGGCAAATGATGGTCCGAAAACACGCAGCTTATAGGCAAGTAGGATACGGATACCTTAGAGGTAGCAATTCAAGGCTAATGTTACATCGACGAGCCACAATGTATCTCTAGTATGCAATAGTGATGAGACAAGCACAAAGCTCGCCAAAAGTCTGTGCAACGTGACGTGTTGCATCTGCATGCACGAAAACAATAAGAAAGCTCAAAAGGCCCCAGGCTGCTGGAAAAGCCTCTGACCACCAATTGTTGGCATTGCGCCTCCAACTACAGGACTGCCAATATCAGCTGCTCTCACACTCCCACTTATGGACGAATTTCGTCCGGGCTCGTATCTGATGATCCAACCCGATGGGTCCTGTAAACGAGTAAACGAGCCATCTCCGTTTTGTATGTTACCAGGGATATCGCAAGTTTCGAGCATCTCCAGCAACGAATTGATGGGCGCTTCATGTGACGGCTTCACCAATTGCACTTCGCGGAGCAAATCTTCAGCACGGAGCCAGCCAGAAGCCTGCCCGTTCAAAGGCCTGCCTTCCATCTTCTCGCAGGCTGTGCGCACCGCCATTCTGATTGTCGCAGCTCGGGATGGGTTTGCGCGACTGGCGCTGCCGATAGATCCAAAGGCATTGCTATTGTTCGGTCTACCAAAGCCTGTAGACCTGTCAGCAAAAAGGCGATTCATCGGAAAGAGTCCTCCTCACCAGGCCCATTTGACCAAAGTGGCGGACCTGACGTTGGTGGACCTCCAAACAGCGACTGCTGAGCTGACCAAGTATTCCCATTTCCGTTTTGCATCCCACGAGGAAGATTGTCAGTCCTTGCAGCTGTATCGCGGGTGATCAGCGTTGAAACGCAGAAGTAATAAAGACCGACTTACTACTAGTAGGATCTGAGAACCCCGAGTTGATACCAAATCCTTGCCTTACGGAACGAGGTGCTCCGGGTGCCATACTTCCTCGCCGAGAATCGTTGGAATTAAACGTCAGCGGAACATCAGTATCGTCAAGTAAAGCTTTGCTCCCAAGATGATTACTGAGGTCGTCAACGTCCGTACTGGTAGGCGTTGCGTTTCCCCCTTGCTGGTGAGGAGCGGCACTTGAAGGTCTTTTTATTGGAGCTGGGCGGGCGATGGGTTGTGCTTGCGCAGGCGTAGTTGGAGTCTCAAAACCAGACCTGTCGAAGGAGGCTGAAGCATTTCTTGAGTGGGTATGAGATGGTATGTTGTCTCGAGACAAGCCATAGCGAGAAACATCATTCAAACCGACGCTCGGCAGGCCAATGGGCGATATTTGCGACGGTGGAGGATCCATCATCCCTCGTCCTTGCGGCATCTGCCTCGATCCATTGACCCCAGGCGGGAATGGTATTCCATTTGGTGCCATGAAGTTTCGGTATTGGTGACCGCCAACAGTGGCTTGATTTGAGTACATGGCAGGATGGTGTGGCGCTTGTTGTGTCATTGGTGACAGCGGAGGACCAAAGGTTGACGAAGGAAACGAATTTGCTACCATTGATGGCATGCTAGAGAGGCCTGGAGGCTGTGAGACTTGGCCGGAGTGCACACCAGTTTGAGAGTAGTGAGAGGATGGTTGAGATTGCTGTGTGAGAATGGGTTGAAGTGCTCCTTTTCCTCCGCTCAACGTGTTGTTCGGCCCAGCTGACACACCCGGGGAAGTTGTGGAGCTCGACGAAGCGGGTAGCGAGGTTTTGGGAGAATTATTGCGGGACTCTTGGAATGATGGCTGACGCTGGCGCATCGGCGTGGGAGCCTTGGGGACAACCGGAGTGGCGATCTGAAGATGCGGGGACGCATGGCTGCTTGCTGTAAGAGGGGGATGAAGGCCCGGAGGCACTGAGCCAGCGATAGACGGACCGTTGGCCGGCGATGGTCTCTTTGGAATACTTTGGGCGGTTTGCACGAATTGCTTCGCCGCTGATTCATCTTTTCTGTTTTGGGTTTTTGCCTCCGCTTCGCTCTTCGCTCGAGCATCACGCTCTTTCTTTTCCCTGGCTTCCTTCTCCTTCGATTGTCGCTCTTCACGTTCCTTTTTCTTGCTCTCCTCACGCTTCCTTTTCTCGTGTTCCTTTTGCTCTCGTTGTTTCCGCTCCTGTTCTGCCTGTTGTTCTTTGGCCTCTTGCAGCCGTCTCTGCTTTTCGGCTTCCTTTCGTTGTTTCTCTTCTTCCTGAGCTTTTTTCTCCGCTTCTTTCTTCCTCCGCTGCTGTTCTTTTCTCTGGCGCAGCTCCTCGGCCTTTTGCTCTTCAAGTGCTCTGGCAGCAGCTTCTTCGGCGGCCTTCTCCGCGTCACGTTTGGCTTTCTCCTCATCCTTGGCTTGCTTTTGCTGGCGCTTCTTGTCCTTCTTCTTTTGCGCTTCCTTGGCTTTCTTGGCTTCACGTTGAGCATCGACACGAGACTCGTCGTCTAATTCCTCGAGCAATTTTTGTTGTCGCTCAAGTGCCACTTTCTCTCGGTATGCAGTTAGGACTCGTTGTTCGAACATTCGCGCTGCGAATATTTGGAACATTCTACGTCCTTCTTTCATCCGGTCCTGCTCGCTCATTGACCCCTAAAAGTCGTCAGCACGAGTTCAATGAGTGTTTCATTAGCCATTACCATTTCGTCTTCTTCATCGTCTTCATCGTACTCTTGACTATCGTACTCATCGTCTTCATCGTCATCATAGCCATCATCGTCCAGAGGCGGACCATGATTGTGACCTTGCATTGACGGATGACCCATACCGTTAGCAGCATACTGTGCTTCTTCTTCTCGTTGCATCCGCCGTTCGGCAAGCTGCTCCATCATCTCGATAAACTTCTTGCCATCGTTCTTGATCAGATCATCTGCAACTGTCAGTATCCCATCTGGAAAGCATCAGCACATTGGGAGTAATGACTGCCTGTATGGGCGCGTGGCGTACCTTGCACGGTTAGGTTTTCAGGAAAATTGAAGAAGTCCGCAGCTGGTCCAGCTTGGTCTTCTCCGTCGTCGTCCTCGCTTATCTCATCGTCCTCCTCTTCATCACTGTAGTCATCTTCTTCGACAGCCTCGTCATCTTCGCCGATCTCCTGAATGCGGCCCCTGGAAGACCTTCCGTTGACGATTTGAGGATGCCGATTCGGCGGAGCTCGAGACATTGGATGATGGAATTGAGGAGGTGCCAATATCTTTCCGTCCTCGCCAATGATCTGCTGATTATTGGCATATTGTTCCAGTTCTTCGTAATAAGCGTCGTATAATACCTCCAGCTCCTCCTCAATGGCTGTCCGCTTCCGACCGCACACCGTGCAACTACAAGAATGCTTTTGCTGTTCCTTCATCTTCTTCAAAACGGCTTCCTTTTCAACTTTGACCAAAGATCGCCGGTCTCCTTCACCCAAAGACAGCCAGAACTCTTTGATCCTCTCTCGTTCTTCCGCTGTCGATGTGTTCCAAATGCGGTCTTTGGAGGCATTTTGTGAAGGCTGATGGATTTCTGACGGGAGTTGCTGCCCAAGTGGAGGTGGAGGCGGTGGAGGTGGCTGGAATGATGTGGGGTTAGAGGGTGGCATATGGTTGGCCGCAGAGTAATCTACCTGAGGAGCTGAGATGGACTTTGCCTTCTTCTTCTTCTTGGCTTTGCCACCAGACGGCTCTGGAGGTGCATGATTGTGTGGAGTGTGACCATTAGTTCGGGGTGGAGGGTAATTACTTCTGTATTCCCAAGAGACGTCCTCCCCATCATCAGGTTCATACTGCTCTGGTTCGTCATAATCCGAACCTCCGTAATCATAACCATTGGCCTCTCCTCGAGCTTGTGCCGCAGCCATCTCTTTGACGATGTCCTGATATGCACTGTCTGCTACATTCGCGAATTCCTGTGCGAGCTGGGAACCCGTCATTGCATGCTGCTCTGCGGCCTTTCTCGCGGCTTCCTTTTGACGTCTTTTTTGTTTCTTCTTGTTAACCCCACTACTACCAGGCGCATCATCCAGAAGTTCGTGGTTGATGTTGCTGGTGGACTGTGCAGGCCCTAGGGAGGATATTCGAGCGGTGGCCTTGCCCGCTAGCTGATTAGGCTTCGTAGTCTCCAGAGGCTTCATAATATCCGGTGGGGGTGCACTAGTCTTTATGTCTTTCGCCCCGGTGGCCTTTGACACATTCTTCGTGGCTAACGGCTTGGTTTGATTCTTTGAGCCCGATGTTTTAGTTTGTGCATTTGAAGGCATTTTGCTGCATGCTACCAGCTCTGAGGGAACGTAAGCACTACAATCTGCAGAGCTTGCACAGAAGCCTCCAGAATCCGTGGAGAGTCAAGGAGGGTCTGTCAAAGTAGTGGAGACGAGCATTCGGTGTTGATGAACGGGATCCAGTTCCTAAGCAGGATTGAAGGAACAGGTGGCGGCAGAAAGGTCCGAGGTAGAATTGATTGGTGGTCCGTAGTTTCAACAACCAGAGCTCCAAACTTGAATGTCAGTGCTCGGGAAAGGAAGTTTCCTGGATCATATGCTTTGTTCGAGGATTGAGACGTCCCACCAGCCCCCCAAAATTACCGCTAGTGTATCGAAAACCATCCCGCCAATTGACCGAAATAGATGCAATTGGTATCAATCACTGCTTACTTTCTGTATGGATGATCTATACTGATCAACAGCTCCTATGCCCATCTACCCCATTGCATTGGATTCATGACGGCGGGACTGTCATTGAAGTCCATCTACTTTTCGGATCCAACCATACCCAAAGCTACCTTTCCCGCAAGGCTGATTACACGGCACCTTGTGTTGAAACGACTCTCCTCGGCCGCAGGCAGAGAGCCCCCTTCTCCCGTTCACCATACACCGGGGTAATAAGAGAGAGCGTTACGGATTTGGATACGGCTCCAGTGCTTAAAGCTGCACCGCGCCCAGTTTGCGCTTGTTGGGATTGTATTACCGGGGCGGGACAAGAAGAGGACCGAGACACTCCTACAATGACTCAACAACAAGGGCAGAATGTGATGCGAAGGTACGTTGTGATCATTTCTGGAAAATTCAACACTTGTGATAGCATGGTTCACTCAGCATTCCCAATATGAGGAGAAGCGGAGTCACATTCTCATACGGAAGATCTCAGAGGTTATCATTTTGGAGAGTCCATGCCCGGGAGTTACTCTGTTGGTCAACATGAACGGGCTGTACGTGGAACTTTGCCACGCCAGATTCGAGTCTTCCAGGTTAAGCCAAATTGATACATCTTTACATAGAAATGATACTTCAGTCTCTTCTTAGATGCTGACATTTTTAAACATCCAGGAAGCTGGTAATTATTGGCGACGGTGCCTGCGGAAAGACAAGTCTTCTCAGTGTCTTCACCCTGGGATATTTTCCTACAGTAAGTAGCATCACCACCGAGGCGTGCTCCATGGCTAATTATATGTAGCATTATGTGAGTTCAAAAAAATCTACAGAGATCTGCGGGATGGCAAACGTAAAGATACCTTGAACAGGAGCTAAACCTATTTTTCCTGTTGCAGGTGCCTACGGTATTCGAAAATTATGTCACGGACTGCAGAGTAGACGGAAAATCTGTGCAATTAGCACTGTGGGATACAGCAGGTCAAGAAGACTATGAAAGATTACGGCCTTTGGCGTATTCGAAAGCACACGTTATTCTGATCGGCTTTTCCATTGATACACCAGACTCACTAGATAACGTGAAACACAAGGTACGCTTATGACACTCATGAAAGTGGAGAATGCTCGGATTTGCTGATCCTCGCAGTGGGTCGAAGAAGCCAATGAACGCTGTCCCGGAGTTCCTATCATCCTTGTTGGCCTGAAAAAGGACCTCCGAGAAGACCCCGTGGCTCAAGAAGAAATGCGCAAGAAGTCACTGCATTTCACGAGCGAGAACGAGGGAACAAATGCGGCTCGGGAAATAGGTGCACGGAAGTACCTGGAGTGCTCCTCTCTGACCGGCGAAGGAGTGGATGATGTGTTTGAAGCTGCGACTCGAGCAGCCTTGCTCACTTTCGAGAAGAGCGAAAGAGGAGGATGTTGCGTGATCTTATGAGGATTTGCACGAATACGAACTTTACGCTGCTGTTCATGCGTCTCGATAGAGACTAGCGACTTGGGTCCTACCGGGATCCGACCCTGACTGAACCTGCTTAGCATTTTCTGGCGTTGCTACGGCTTTGTCTGTGTATTTTAGGTTGCTTTTATCGGAGGGAGGGCGGCCATTGAATATGCAGGTTCGAAAAGCGTTAGATGGGGCATTGCGGGACTTCGAAGCATACCTCACAAAATGCATTCTTATTCAACTCGGACATGCGCATTCAAATTAGTTCAGTATCTCCCATCACGAATGGATCGAATGCACACTCTTTCAAGCCATCGGCTGTGCCGTATTACTATCATGTGCCGACGACGATGCATGAAACTGATGGATTCATTTGACAACTGAATATGATACGGTATAGTCAGGCCTCATCATCGTACAGCCTCCTCATCCCCTTGTCCATCCTTCATCCCAGCCTCCGCGACTAGGCCCCTCCGTCTGCGCTCTCGCATACTCAATCGGTATACCCCCATTTCCCACGACCCCTCCCCCTTCCGCGACCCTTGGGCCCCCAAAGATTCCCTTCCTGCTCACGGCCTGCCTATACAACCTCCCTCCATCACCCACACCTAATCGCAATTCCTCGCAGGCGGCGCGCATGGCATTGTATTGGCGTTCTAATTCTCGGTCTCGCAGTAAACGGTCACGGTGCATGACTAGCTGGGCTGCACGGTGAATGGTCCAATGACGAAGGGAGCGCAGGCGGGAGAGGCGGAGGGGGCGAGGATTTAGAGGGTGGTGGAGATGATAGCGTATTAGAGCTGTGGAGACATACGTTTAGTTTGGGGGACAGGAAATGGTTGCAGGGGAGATGCACTTATTCGCGGATCTGTCCTCGGACGTTTGCTGTTGCGAGCCTGAAGTTTTGCAGTTGTAGAGAAGGGCGAAACTGGGTATGTCAGTTGCGTTTGTCCGACAATGGGCTTGGCCAAGCGCATGGCCGAGCTTTCTCGAGTCAAGACTGGGATTCGGAGAGCCGTTGCGAGCGATCTCAGGACCGGGGAGAGCTTCATTATGGTACAACGCAAATTGTTGTATTTCGGTAGTTGACGAGAAGTTGTTTGTCTCATTCCTGCCAAGTTTGCATTGAATTGTACCGCACTAAATTTATGCATACTGTATCACCCGCCAAGCATTAAAGGTAAAATTACCATCTAGTCCTCCCCGAGTTCGACACCTCGCATGGATTATCACTCTCCGGGAGTATTGGGCTGAGTCCATGGCTGCCACGACAATCTCCCCATCCAACCAATTTCTAGGCTCGTTCCTCTTACACATCAATCATCTAAACACAACGAAGGCACCGAACACCTTCTCCACAATCTACTACCGACTTAGTCGCCTTGCACACCTTGCCCTTTGCAAATGTCCAACGCTACGCTTCGTTTCCTATACCCTACGGAATAAGGACGCAATCGAGCTTGAGACTATAAGCGACGTCTCCCAAGGATGACTCCCTTGAAAGGTATGGGGCGTTTGATGGTTTTAGTGGTCAAGTCGTCAATCAAAAGGTATTCAGGCTCTAGTGTCAAGTCTAGCGAGCTCTCTCAAATCGCTTTTTGCGTTTCACACTTTGGAGATCACCTCTATCAAAGTTGTCTAGGTATCTCTTTTGCAAGTCTTTGTGGCATCTCCTCGCTCTGGATGCCAAACGGCTCATCCCGTGTTACAAGAAACAAAGAGCTAGCGCAAATTGGGGCTTCAGCATGATCTTACTCCAAGCCGAACGACTTGACCTTGGAGACAGAATCAAGATTCCAGCAGAGCCTTTCGTTGGCCGACAATTTCCTTGAACCCTGAAGGCTATGTGTCCAGTCCCCGAGCGGTTGATGCAGCCAAGACCTCCGTTCGTTCTGGCAGTCGGCGCGCTATGTATATTCATCACTGGTATCGCGATTCTTGTGCTTTCCTGATTCTTCAATAAAATTTCCTCTGCTTGTCTTGGCTGTCGTGATAGCCTTTGCAGGGGACGACGAAGGCTTGCTTGTAGCAGACTTTCAGCCGTTACAATTTATCAGCATGGTGAAGAACTTCCCTGGAGGATATCTAAGTAAGAATACTTATGCTAATAGGTAATGGCCAATTTTAACTTTGGCGATTATCTTCCGCTGCGCGGGACGGGCTAGAGCGCAGTGGGGTAAGACATCTTAGCGGCACTAATCCCCAGGAAAGATGCATGTAAACCCCGCCCTCAAAACGACCATCTATGACGTCCTCCTACATCTTGTCGGACCGTCTTTGCATTCTTATTCGGCCCTTTCTCCTCTCTTGTTGATAAATACCGCACCTGCTATGCTCATGCTTCACATTGACAACCCTTGAATCATGGCTATATTCACCAAAGGTCGAACAGGAGCGAAAGCCCCATACTTTGGGTTGACTGGAGGATGGCTTACATTCTGGGTGGTAAGCACTCTTTCCGACTCAATTTCTTCCCTTCCCATACCCCTTTTGGAGTCTGAAGACGTGTTCGAGTAGCATGGACACATGTTTTGCTCTTCGAACATGTCTTCAAACTCAGGAATCCGTCTTAAAAAGAGAAGTGCTAACCTCGAAATGGTGTAGTCGGTTGCTTGTGCTACTGACATGACCTTATTTGGATACGACCAAGGTGTTTTTGGTAGATCCCTCCATTGTCAACAGCAATTCAAGACTTCGTTAACCTTAATTCCATGTAGGCGGTGTGATTGTGACCCCGGACTTCCTTGACACATTGAACTTATCTGGACCCGAGCATACTTCGCTCCTGGGAACAGTCACTGCCCTATACGACGTTGGATGCTTTTTCGGCGCCGTGTACGTATTCTCCGGGGCTAGATGTTGGTCGCATCGACTCTCAAGACATCTGTGTCTTGAGGATCCAGAACCGCATACAGGTTTCAAGGCTCGAAATTCCGTCTTGAATGATCAACACTAACTTACAATCCTACTCCAGAGCAGCCTTTTCTCTAGGTGAAAGATTGGGCAGGAAGAAGTCCGTCTTGTTGGGAACGACCGTGATGAGCATAGGAGCCATCCTTCAGATCTCGTCCTTCAGCGTAGCACAAATGATTGTTGGTCGCATTGTTGCAGGTCTCGGCAACGGCTTGAACACCGCGACAGCCCCTGTATGGCAAGCTGAGACGTCCAAGGCCGCCTGGAGAGGCAAACTCGTAGTCATTGAGTTGATTTTGAACATTGCCGGCTTCTCTCTGAGCAATTGGATAACTTACGGCTTCTCCTACGTCAATGGGCCTGTTGCTTGGAGATTCCCATTGGCTTTCCAGTTCATCTTCATATTCATTCTCTATGGAACAGTTCCCTGGCTTCCGGAAAGTCCAAGATGGCTGATTGCACACGGGCAAGTTGAAGAGGCTGAGCACATCATAGCTGATTTAGAGGCGACGACGGTTGACGACGCCTACGTTGTCACGGAGTCCAAGGAAATTCAATGGGCAGTCCAATATGAGCGCGAGAACGGCGTTAGCTGGTGGGACCTGTTGAGAGGCAAATCCGGCAATGGGACATCAACAGTCCGTCGATTGCTTCTTGGAGCTGGAGCCCAGGCAATGCAGCAACTCGCCGGCATCAACGTGACCAGCTATTATTTGCCAACAGTGTTGATCCAATCTGTAGGGCTGAGCGAAAAGCTGGCTCGTTTGCTAGCAGCTTGCAATTCCGTCAGCTACCTCGCGTTTTCCATGATAGGGATTCCTAATGTTGAGAGGTGGGGCCGACGAAAAATGATGATATACGCCTCCATTGGCCAAGCGCTTAGCTATATGCTCATCACCATTCTTCTGCGGTACAATGAATTGCCGGGCTATAGCGGCAGTAAGCAAGTTGCCTCGGCATCAGTGGCCTTTTTCTTTACCTATTACATATGTTTCGGCATCGGGTTTCAAGGTGTTCCTTGGCTGTATCCCACAGAGATCAACTCTTTGTCCATGCGGACGAAAGGTGCCGCTCTTGGCACAGCGTCGAATTGGGCTTTCAACTTCATGGTGGTAGAGATAACGCCAATCGGCATCCAGTCCTTGCACTGGAAATTCTACATCATCTGGACAGTCTTTAACGCATCTTTCGTCCCCATTGTGTACCTCTTCTACCCCGAGACCGCAGATCGGACCCTCGAAGACGTGGACCGTCTTTTCCGCGAAAATCAGAACGTAGGTTTAATATCACTGTTATCTCCCATTGCAACAAATTTGCTGATGTTCCGTCTGCTAGATATTTGTTTTCAGGGATCCAGATGCCATATCTACAAAGAGACCGTTGGCGTACATTGAGCATGAACAGGCCGAGGTGAGGCGAAATAGTAGTGTTGTCAGCGCAAATCCAGAAGCCATTAGGCGGAGGTTGGAGGCTCTGGACAGAGCGAATAAGGAGGTAGACGAAGAAAAAGGGGCAAAGGTATTGGAACAGGAGTAGATGTTTGTTGAAAAGTGAAAGCTCGAGAGTAAGTTGGGGTGGAGTGGATACAGACTTACAGAAGAAACACCGGGCATCTACCGGCTTCCTGCCCAGGAGAATGGGTTTGATTTACAACGGACCCGAGCGATGGCAAATTGCCATTCATGTAGCGCAGTTCAAGGATCAATCTTGTTTCCGAAGAGACTATCTTTTGTCTCTCCATTGTTCGGCACTACCTGCTGGCTCATTCCGCACGTTTCGCAGATTTTGGGGCTGGTTGTCCTTGTTCCGTGCACAGATCAGACAAAGGTTATCAGTAGTCCTTCCTTATAGGAGACCTGCTTTTAAAGTCTCTTCGCTCATTTCCCTACCTAGACAGTTATTGGATACTTCAGTAAAGGCTTTTAAACTTCTTAGCGCCGCTCCACTCCTCACTGCCCATTTAGCCCTCCTCACACCTTCCTTCCACCGTCCATTACCTGGACCCCTTTCCGTCACCACAACCCCTGAATCCCCTTCACCCATGTGGCTGGTCTCCCCCCTCGCAGATGCCACTTACTACTAGCATTGCCGCCGTATTCATTAAGACGACTTGCATTATTGGATCTTCGTGTTCGAGCTTTCCTTCAAGTAGCCGCATCAATATGTCTGCATTGTCTTTCGGCGCGTCTCCCCCTCGGATTGCACTCAGAGGATGAGTTGGGAACCCGAAGTCAGTCGGCTCTAATTGGAAGTGCTCGATCTCGACCTCTGCCTGTTCCGAGCACTCCAATGGCTCATTGACCTTCCAACAATCAGTCATCCCTGCGCAAGAGATTTCATCCAGTCCTTCCCGCCCAGACACAACCATCGCTTTCCGCATACCCTTGGCCTTTTTCAATCCCGATATACGCAATGCTTCTGCGAATACAGGACCGAGCGCTCCTTCCGTAACGCCTATCAAGCGGGCTTCGACCAATTCCTCTATTGGGTGGGCCAGCGGGCCGAGTAGGTTGAAAATCGTGCGTATACCCATCTCCTTGCGTAATGGACCCGCATAGCGCATACCAGGGTGGAAGTTGGGGGCGAAGAGGAAAGCGTAGGAAGACTTTTCATAGATCTGCGGGATGTTCTGGGCGTTGGAGGCTGTCAGGCTTGGCGGGGTTGGTAGTATGGAGGATAGGATGTCTGCTGCGCCAGAGACAGAGGTCTGGGCTCGATTGCCATGTTTGGACATCAAAAGTAGAGAAGAGGCAATGAGTGAGGCGGTAGTGCTGATATTATATGTCTGGAGCGAGGAGCCACCTGTACCGACAATATCACACTGGCTGCCTATGTTAGAGTATGTCGACATCGAACGCAGGCAAATGTACCAGCCCGCCATGATATGTTCCTTCTGTGACTCCTCGGGTCTCCACAATGCTCTTCAGAGCTGGTAAATCCACATGAAAGGCGGCTTTGCGCATGCGATCGGCACATGCTGCGAGAACATCGGCATCCTTGTCTCGTGATGTCAGTGATAGAAGTGTCAGGAATGTTGCGGCTTGAGCTGGTGAGAGTCGATCTTCGAAGATTAGGGAGAAGGCCTCGGCAATGTCATCTGCGCTGGTAGGTGTCTGCGTATTTCGCAGACTCTTGAGGAGGGACGTGATAGGAGTGTATTGGGAGGATGGGTGTCCTGTGGAAGACATGGTTGACTGTACCCTAGTTTCCGGTCTCTGCTACAGAATCAGGGAAGAAATCGTCCTTTTCTGTACATCTTTGAGCCTTGAGACTCGTTCCCACAATATTGACAACTTGACCGTACTTAAGTAAAGGCTAGAAGCCTGCCACTGCCAGTCGAGCCAGTCTAGACGCCGGCCCGGGAGCGCTGCCCGCGCCCCGCGAAGCCACTACTAAGTAAAAGTAGTCTACAACACAAAGGTTTGGGGGTTGATCGATTAAGGTACTCCGTATAGTACAGTAGGTACAGCACATTTTCCCCTATGTACTGTATATTCGCAGCTTTGGAAATGTACTCCTAGGATCTCTTGCCAACGGCATTCTAGCATGAATATATTCTATCTTCTGTCGTAGAGTCTGATTGCGAGACCACCAGGGCTAGCGATGGTTTCACGAGGATGCCTCAAAAACATCAAACCCCTCCACTGCCGGATGACCCAGCCAGACCCCTGAAAGATGATACGCTGACCGACGCCCACGCCTCCGTTTCAGTTACTCCTGGATTGCTACTGCCTGACTTTCTTTCCAGCGAATGGCGTCTTCAACAACAAGCCTCATCTCCTTCGTCATCTCGAAGCCCCCAACTTCATCTTCAGCTGCCTATATCCCCTCAGAATGCTCTTCGGGATTGACACGGAGTGTTTCCTTTCTGACCTCGCACACAAAATTGAGCTGCAAGGAGGACTTTGGCAACACAACCTTCTCCTCACCCTGCTTAACCGTCTTCTCTGTGGCATAAGCAAATGGCTTTGTGCTCGCTTTGACAGGGTTGAACGATAGAGCAGTTTCTTTGTAGACTTCTCTCACCAGCGTTTGGAAGATTTCGGCGTCTGTGTCTGCGACATGGCCGCCTGGGATTTGAAACACATTAGGAAAGAACTTTTCGTTGGCCGCGCGCTGGAGAAGAAGGATTTTGGCGGGAGATCAGGAAGTCGGGTGGAAGATGACCGCGCCCACGATGATCTTATCGTATGGACGACCAGCTGGTGACGAATGATTGATCCGGTATTGTGACTTCGTTAGACTGAGCAAAGCCTGCAAGTCTATTCCGGAAGTCATGGTCGTGAGAAGTGTAGATAAGCTGAACGAGATGCTTGCTTTGAGGCTATGTCTGAGAATTATGTGTGTGTATTTGTGTTCTTAAGCCTAAGGGATAATGAGACGACTCGGCCGAAGAATGGTCTAGGTTAAGCCTTGATGCCTCGAGGTGGTTTACGTTTTACACCAGGTACACTACAACCTCGATGATCTCGATGACATTGTTATGCCATCCCCAGAAAATGAAAGGCAGTATGAGGATAAAGTAGCCTCTCTTGTTGGTCATCTTCGTTCCTTATAATTTGAATGGAACTTACGACGCGGAATCGATACCGACGCTCCAATCGGGGGCATTGTGTATTCGCAGTCATACGGTCTTTTCAAAAAATCGATACAACAAACATCTCACGTAATGTAGTATCTTGCCTTAGCAATTGCGGCATGTTTGGCACGGCCCTAAAATGATACAATATGATACCCAGCCTTAGGTTGCCTCGTTACTACCTCTCATTAGCTGACCAAATTCAAACACGGGGCATTTCAATCTCTTGGCCTGTCAGGCGTTATACGTACTCATCAGTGCTGCCTAGCGCCGATGCCTGCGTACCGTCTACCGTAATCATCATCATCCGTGGTGCCGGCGACTGATATGCCAAATTTGAGCTCATGCATGCAGAAAACCGCTGCTTCGGCCCCCTCCAAAGAATCAGAAAAACCCAACAAAAGCGATATGTATCTAACGAAACTTACGCCTTGTCTACTTCTTATGTTCACCGCCTTATACAGCCCTGACAGCATGGATAAGGGGATAAACATGCTGTCCGTGTGTGGATATGGCCGGTGATATGGATGGCCCAAGCTTCTCCTTACCAGCACCAATCTATATTTGTATATCCAGAGGCACGAATACGATTCATGGGAAGCAACCGGTCGCTATTCCAACGGATTGGCTGACGCAATTCCCGAAGACCTCACCACAAAGACCAGACTCTGAGATGGCACCTTGTGCAGATCACTTGCGTCTCAGGGTGCTGAGGCTGGAGCTATCTGTTGATCTCTTCCCATTTCCTGCAGCAGAGAGGTCTGCGTGAGCCCAAGGAAGATCTAGCTTTTGTATCAGCGGTCAGGCTTGATGTGCTCTCGTGAGGGCAAGTAGCTCGCTTGTTCAATCAGGTATATATCCCGGCGCCGAAAGTTCAAAGCCTGATTCAGTAACGCTCGTGGGTCCAGTCCCGGGACATGATAGGTGGGGAAGGTATGCTGTTTCAGCAGATTTGAGCGATTCACGCTTTGTACATAATCTTCTACCTGTCTTGTGGCATGCACATGGCGGCCAGTCAAACGGCAAGCCTCTAGGCACCTTTGGTGATGGCGCAGTCTGGTCGCTTCATGGGCAGAAAATCGTGACTGGCGGCGAGGGTGGCATTACTTTAACAAAGCGGACTTCCACTATCGGCAGCTACTCTGGGGTCATTACAACAAGAGATGCAAGGCCGAGATTCCGGTAGACCACCCTCTGCGGTCATACAGCTTGACTGGAGCTGGCTTGAAATCCAGAGCACATCCGTTAACTTGCGTGTCCAATGTTCGATGGCCACTCCCGAGCAGAGACTTGACTCGGAACCACCTTTTTACATTTCACTCAACCAAAAGTCCGCGCTTTTCTCGCAATCTTTTTTTGCCCGCTCTCAGTATCCATCTTGCCCCCAGAAACCTGTTGAAGTAGGTCTTAGTGTTGGTGCGGATGTCAAAATCCCTGTCAAGACTCGAACTGGTCTTCAAGTTCACATGCCGTCCATATAATTTATTTCCAATATCCCTTCTGGAAATCAAACCCAAATGCATCAAGGATTGCTGCTTCGCCCTCCATCGTCGCCTAAATTTGCCACTGTCGTCTAGTATCATGTCTGAGTGTTCACTGCAGGTAGACCGAGGATTGAGCCACGGAAAGCTGTTGTGGACAAAGAACGGTTTTGGAGAAGACGCTGGCTGTGTCGAAGCCTCCTAAATGGTTATGCGAAAGTCCTCAACCGGGTGGAACTGCATCATTGCAGATCCAAAACCCTTCCCTTTCTCTTCACTCCAATGGCCGATACTTCGAACACCTTGCCTAGAAGCATGCTCGGTTTCGTTCCATACAGATGCAGCCGCAAGAAAAGTATCCTTGTCGCCTTCGCCAGGTGCACCTTGCACCTTGAGAAAAAAAGTGTAATATTACATTGGCCCGAAGTAATCATGCTGAGTGGACAGAATTAGTGTAAGTTCGTGGCGTTTTCTGGAATAATATATCACCCTACTTTGTTAACTGACGTTCTGGCAAGCGAGGAATGGCTCTCTCTGCTATGTCACAGTATATGTACTAGGTTGAGCTGACCCAATAGTCTGGAAACATCACTAGCTGTTTCGACAGGAAAGGTTCCGAATCGAACACTTCGCTCGGGTCTCCCACTGGCCAACAGTGGGCGTCGGCGAACAAGAGTTCTTCAAGCAACGAGAACAACATCGAAAACGATTTGTATTGAATTATGGGTAACCTATCGGCTGAGGTTTCGAGAAGGATGGACAGTGTTATACATTCAACGTCAGGTAGAACGAGCTCACAGATATGGCTCTCCCCTTACTGTTCCGAGGTCTGAAATACTCCAATAGGCAGCTGGCGTCCAGTCCTTCTGACCATAGGCAGGGAGATGACCAGGAGTGGGAGTCAGTCCCTCCCAACAGAGGAGATTAGATCTCCGAGCCAGGTATATAGCTTATGCTCGAGAGATTCGCTTCGATTGCTTGGACTACGCGCTGATGGGTCTCTCGCATAGTCTAGATACCCTCCTCTGACATTGAGAGGGATTTCTGTCTAGTGAGTTCATTTGACGCCGTAAATTGATCAAAATGGTGGGCGTTTTGCAGAATTGTTCCTTTCTGGTGGCTGGCAATCGGGTGCTGCTGAGGCTAAACTGGCTTGGAATGCGTCGCAAATTCAGTGTACTGGTATCACGGTCGACAACAACAAGACTACCAATTGGTGGTGGCCGGCGGGAGAAATAGACCTTCCATAAGACGATTTCCCCAGCAAAGAGTACGAGACATACTGCCGTTAACATTGGCTTGGCTAGGTCATGTTGAACTTTGCAAAGTCACTTCCATCGATGGATCTGGGACCCAGATGGCAGCTAAGATTATGTTTCCCAAAAAAAAAGGCCACGAGACTTGATCGTTGAGATACTATATGTGGGTACCGAGGTAAGGTACCTTGGCTTGGGAATGGTAGAAACCGTTGAATACTGAATAGCGTGGAGATAAGATTAGGGGTGGTGGCAGTAGCCTATGACACGTTTCGTAAGGCTGATGGCGAAACGCTAAAGTGTAAAGAATCTGGCGGTTCGATCCGTGTCAACTACCTTATCGAGTTTGTACTAAGAACCAACTTGTACGGAAACTCCATACTTCCCATTCCTATAATGCATATACTTGTAATCAATGATGACGGGCCTCCATCGTAAGTACCAAACGTTACATCATCTCAGGGTCAGTGGTAATGTAAAATACTAATGATTTAACAACATGAAAGCAATCAATCCTCCCCATATGTCCACGCATTTGTGCATGCTTTACAGAAAACAGGTCATCATGTATCAGTCATACTACCCCATCAGCAGCGTTCATGGATTGGAAAAGCCCATTTTGTAGGCCATGTGACCAAGCCCACCTACTTTCGTCCGGGAACACTCCACGAGGATGACGGCACTACTCATCCAAGACCTCTGTCGTCTGAAGAAGACGAGGAGGAATGGGTCCTCGTCAATGGAACTCCAGCGACATGCGCTCAACTCGGGCTTCATCATTTCTTCCAAGATAAACCACCAATTGATCTGGTTGTCTCAGGACCCAATTACGGACGGAATTCTACCTCGTTGTTCAGCCTGTCAAGTGGGACCATTGGTGGAGCTATGGAAGCTGCTGTGTGTCGGAAGAAGGCCATTGCCCTCTCCTTCGCCTTCTATTCTCGAGACCATGATCCAGAATTGATTGCTGGAGCTTGTCGTTTGTCTGTCAAACTAGTCGAGCATCTCTACAATCACTGGGATGAGGATGCGGACCTTTACTCTTGCAACGTACCTGTAGTCGCAGATGTTGAGAACCACAAAGTCCTCTATACCCATGCTTTGCAAAATTACTGGACTTCAGGTAGTTCTTTCCAAGAGATTGAAGCTACCGAGGATGATGAAGATCCTCAAAGCCGGGAGCAGGAGATTAGGGAGAGCGAGGAATCACAGAGCGCCAGCGCCCAGGGAAAGACGACGAGACACCAGCATCGGCACTTCAAGTGGGCACCAAAGTTTAGCGATATACAGAAATCTATCGACGAGAGTCCACCAGGCAATGACGGATGGGCGATCCATCAAGGATATACCAGGTGAGTTGCTTGTCGCACCGTAGACATTGTAGTGCAGCCTCGCTAATCTACTTCGCAGTGTGACTCCTTTAAAAGCGAACTACCGGCATGCGTCCAATATATCGATGGGAGAGATTAAGCTGTGAGTAAGTCAAAAATGTATATAATCTCAAAGCCACATAGCCGCACACAAATCCTTACAAAGGTCTAACATAATTATCCACGTGCTCGTTGGCCGCTGTAAAATGACAGCTCGCATTTGATTACCACGAGTTGGAAGTCCATCACTGACCTCTCTTGCTGAGCTTTCTAACATCCTCATGACTAGGTCTCCGGCAAACTCTCGGTCATCAGCTCCAGTATTCTACGCCGTCATCGACGCAGATCCTTATGTGCTCCCACTGATTCACAGCGCTCTCTCAGCGAATTTTCCTACTCAGTCCTATGGATTCCTCGACTCGCCTCGCACAACTACCATCCGATGTCCATAAGTTGCTTCAAATCATGCCGTACGAATCTTTAGACTTCACCCATCTCCTGAAACACCCAACAACTACCTTGGCAAATAGCTACATTATCCGTAAAGCATTGATCCGCAAACACTATTTACACAACACTATAACGAGTTGGTGGAGCAAGCATCCCAACGACACCAGTCTCAAAGGTCATGTGCCGCTGACGGTAGGGTTTGAGGTTGATTATGCAGAATTTTTAGACGAGGCGCTTGTGGAGTGTTGGGAGCTGAAGGAAAGCTGGGAGAAAGACGAAAGGGAGTGGTGGGTCTTGAAGCCCGGCATGAGTGACCAAGGACAAGGTGTGAGGCTTTTTAGCAGTGAGGAGGAGTTGAGGTCTATTTTCGAGGAATGGGACGAGCCTGACAGCGAAGACAATGAAGGTGTGGAGACTCCACCAGCTATCAATGGCCAGGACGTGATCGGTGCAGGAACCATGACTTCGCAGCTTCGACATTTTATTGCCCAACGATACATATATTCACCTCTGCTTTTGTCATCTCATGGAAAGCGGAAATTTCACATTCGCAGCTACGTACTCGCTGTTGGCGCATTGCGTACGTACGTCTATAAGGACATGCTTGCGCTCTTCGCACCGTTGCCATATACCGCCCCTGGCGCCTCATCTTCGGATACACGTTCTACAGCCTCAGACAACCCAATAGATCCAAGGGCCCACCTAACCAATACCTGCCTTCAGGATGGCAGTCGCGAAGGCAGTGTTGTACGTTTCTGGGATCTGCCAGAAGACGCAGACAATCTACCGTATCACTGGAAGAATGACGTTTTGGAGCACATCTGCCGCGCAACGGGCACGCTCTTCGAAGCTGCAGCGAGGGAACAGATGATTCACTTCCAAACACTGGAGAATGCATTCGAGGTTTTTGGGATCGATTGGATGGTGGACGAGAAAGGCGGGCCATGGTTGTTGGAGGTCAATGCCTTTCCCGATTTTAAACAGAGCGGCGAGGCATTGAAAGCTGTCGTTCAGGGGCTATGGAACGGGGTAGTTGGCGTTGCCGTCAAAGGCTTCTTCAATCCTGGGGCTGTGACCGAAGAAGGGATTGAGGAAGAGCGATTCGGAATGCGAAGGGTGTTGGATGTGGATTTGGGAAGGAGATGAGCCTCCCCATGAACGAAAGCTCAAGCCGCACGGTAGGAAGAAGTCCAGCCAGCTCACTAGAATTGAGTTCCAGACCGCGCTGTCCAACCTCCGCGAAGACTGGCCCTATCACTTCTTCTTTGCCGCTGCCGCCTTGCCAAAGAAATCGCTCATCTTCTTCATCCCCTTCGTATCGACCTTCTTAAGGTCCTTGATACCTCTAGACTCGCTAGCTTTCCTTTTCTTCTCTTCCTCTTCCTTCTTCCTCTTCTTCTCTGCTCTTGTCTCTGCGGCATCATCGTCCTCGTACATGCTCCTTTTCCGGCTATAGTCTCCGAGTGATCGCGAAGCAAGCGCTTCGGCGCGCATTTTGGCAATGTTGGCAAGACGCTCGTCGACTAGCTTGAAATCTACTTGACTCTTGCCAGATGAGATCAACGTGTTCAAAGGTTCTGCTATTGCTGGTGGGACGTAGCTTGATATAATGTAAGAAAGAGCTGTGCGCAGCCGCAGAAGGTGGTAGAGCTCGCTTTCGTTTGTCGCGGGAGTGATGTCTTCTGGAGTCGTCATCTCTGTGGTTGTCGAAAGCGCAGAACCCGTCGACTCTGCGGAGGCAGTACTGGCCTGTGAATCAACGGCATCCGATACGATTGACTCCGAGGTCGGCGTTTCGATCTGAGATGTTGTTGCATCAGAAACGGAGGTTTCTGAGTGCTCTACAACCATCACAGGAGTCTCTAGGGCCTTGCGGATAAATCGTTCCTCCATGCTGGCCGGCAACCCCTTGGCAATTATAGTCTTCGCTTTCCGCACCAGTTCACGCAAGAGCTTCTCATCACTGAGACGATACATCTTCTCGCCTCCAGCGTCCACGGTATCGCACACGGCTCCCATCCTCTGCTCCATTACCAAGCGTGTCTGCTCATGACCTGATATATGACCGAAATGTTTTGACTTCTCGGAGAGCTTTTCCAGGAGGTCATCTGCGGAAAGGAACAATCTCTTAGGCGTGGATGATTTTGCTGACGATTCATCAACGAATGAAGGCAACAGCAAGAATAGCTGGTCGATCGGGGTCGCAATCAGCATCTCTGCATTCTTGACTGTGTACCCGTCCGAGATCGGCCTGTCATTGGCTTCCGCGAGTTCTGGCTTAGGCTTCTCCATAGTCCTCGGAGCCTTGCCGGATGATGCATCCTCATTGTGGCTTATAAGCCTGGTTTGGCGACCTATCAGCCAACTTCGGCATGCAGATTTTGGCGCCGTGACACGTGTGAATTCGTAGAGTCCCTTGTCAGGGTCAAAATAATATCGGCTTGGAGTCAACGTCCGCGGATGAGCCAATGTACAAACGCGGGCTTCCGGGGAGGCATGTTCGGGCAAAACGAGGATTTTGGGAGGGCAATCAGCCTGCGGGAAATCCATTTTCGAGTCGCGGACGGTCGATCGAGAGATTACTGCGCTGACCGAGTCTTCGTGGTTCTCAAAGAGCAGCTTCGAGGACGCAGCCACGCGTTAGAGACGTGACAAGCGTCCCGCGACGCGACGCGCTTCTAAGCGCAGGTTTCATCAATCTTGATAAGTTCATGACACAGCGCTGTCATTCCTATTCTTACGAAAACAACTTGGACGCAATTGTGGCCATTAAGTTCGGGAAACTGTTTACAAAAAGGGTCGATGGCTAAGATCTAGCTGCCCACAGGCGAATGCAGAGGCTCCCATTGCATCGACGCGATTTGCAGTACCATGTCTACTGGTATGCTTTCCAATACAGGGAGAAACGAATCCGCTGCTGATCGGGATGTTCAGGGGCCTTCGACCTAAGATGGCCGCCTCGATCGCCGCATGAGGCTCTTCTAAGCTCTCCGACGGGCCGGCAAAAGATCCGGCAGTACTACGATCGGACGTCTCCCTCTCCATCGCCTCTAAAGATTCCATCCACTACAACCATTCTGGGTCCGATGAGACGGAAATTGACCCCTCCGGATTCCCCTGGCGAAGATGGCGGAGAAGAAGATGAAGAGACCTTGCAGTTGAAGTTGGCTGCGATCGAGGCAAAGCTCAAGCTCAAACGATTACAGCAAAAGAAAACTAAAGCCGGTGTATCTAGCTCAAATGTTGACTGCGAGAACCGCGGAAAGGATCAAAGCTCAAGAAAAGAGAACCTTCCGCCGCCATCTCAGAGTCGAGGGACATACGGAAAAGTGCCCTTGGCCCGCCCCAAGTCTGCTACGGACGTTCAGATACCGGTGTCTCCGCAGAGAAAGCACGTCGCGGCTGAAGAAGCACATTCGCCTGGGAGGGTATTGCTAGGCATTGACAAGGGTTTGAAGGGGAAAAACATTTCGTTGCGTCGTCCTCAGGGGGCACAAGCTAAAGACGAGGATCCTTTCCGAAATACAGCGCCACTTAGTAGTGTTCCAAGAAGTGTAGGACTTTCACGCAGCTCCACTGTCCCTCAGTTGGATCAATCGGGTAGATCCAAGTCCTTTAGCGAGAAAATTGCGGAGACGAGGCAGCAAGACAAGGCCCGCAAAGAAAAGGCGGATAAGCTGCAGCGACAGAAGAGTTTAGGGTTCGGGGTCCAGCAACAGGATATTGATGCCTTTAAGACTGCCGCCGACAGTACAGAGCAGGTTACGGAACGTCGATCAAAGCACGACCCTCAGGTTGCGAGCAGCGGCTTCTCGAGAGACGAGGTACTCAAAGCTGTAAATAAACCCAATGGAGGCCTGAATGAACGAAGCAACACCAGTGCTGGTGTAAGACGTGCTCGAGCCCAAGGCAAGTCTTCTAATGATATTTGGATAAACCCCAACGCGCAACCTGAGATGTTGAAACCATCTTATCCCGCATCAAACGATTCGAGGAAAAGGGCGCGATCTCTGTCACCAAAACCCAAAGCTTCAGATCCGCCTCCGAGGGAAGCCAGTCCAGAAACGTCCACCTCTCTCTTCGAGCCCTTCGCATCCCTTCACCTCTCTAAGCGCCTTCTGCCTCACAACTTTTTGACTGGCACCTTTTCCGAGAAACACATCTTCTTGCTCCCGTCACTCCTTAGCGCTGTCAAGTCTCCCGACTTTTTACTTCCAGATGTCCCGGAGCCGGATCACGTTGTCCTCGCTATCATCGCGTCTAAGTCATCGCCTCTAATTCACAAAGGTGCTCACAAATCCACAAGCGCAGAGAGCACCTCCATCGCTGAAGCGGCCGACAGCGAACAGAATACAAATGGCAAATATATGGTCCTTACGCTGACCGACCTGAAATGGACGGTAGACCTCTTTCTCTTCGCGACTGGCTATACAAGATTTCGGAAGCTCACTCCTGGAACGGTTGTTGCTCTTCTAAACCCTGAAATCATGCCACCACCACCCGGTAAAGCGGATACGGGTCGATTTAGTCTCAAGCTTGCGTCCAGTGATGACACCGTCCTTGAGATAGGCACCAGCCGTGATCTGGGATGGTGTAAGAGTGTACGCAAAGATGGTAAGCAATGCGGAAGCTGGATCGACAAGCGCCACACCGACTTCTGTGAATTTCACGTCGACGTTGTTGTTGAGCGTACGCGAAGAGGAAGAATGGAGGTTCAAGGTATGAGCGCGCCCTTTGCGCCTGGCGGAAGGCGGGGAGGGAGGACAGGGCATTTTGGCGACTATAGACGGGGACAGAAGCCCGCACGAGACGACGGACTTTCCAGAGAAGGCCCTCAGTACGATCGCGGTAGTGCTTCCCGATACTTTGTCGCCCCCTCTACCCCAGGTTTTAGTGCCGCTCAGCTACTGGATGCAGATGGTGGGATTGAACGGGGAGGGAGTAAGGAAGAAAGGATACGTAAGCGACTAGCGGAGAGAGAGAAAGAAAATGAGATCGCAAAGAAGCTGGGAGAAGGTGGTAACGGAGCAGGAAGCGAGTATCTGCGCCTGAGGACAGGAGGCGAGACATCAGCGAAGAACGCGGACCCTCAGGCAGCTGATCCCATCGATGCGACATCGCTTGGACTACTGGGAAATAAAGCGAGAAACGTCCACCTGAGTCCCATCAAGAAGAAGAGGAAGGTCAGCGCACTGAGCGTGGATGGCTCCAGAAAGAAGACACGTTTTGTGACTGATCGGGGTATCAAAGAAGCTGGGCGGGAGAGCTTTGGTGGGGACGTCGCCATGGAGGATGCGGACGATGATGATGACGATGACGGATTAGAGGTTGTGTAATCTATATGCGCCCCCATCAAGAATTCGTGATGAAGCTGAGACTCCTTTCCTCAAGATATCAAAAGAACAGGCAGGCTTTATATCCCCAGCAGTCCGTGGGAGTGGTTTTATTCTTCACTCCCCCTTAGCTCTGTACACCATCTGCGCACTAGCATAACCATGCTGTCAGAGGATACCTAGGCTCTATTTTAGCTCTCTTGACGAATGGCTTATGCCTTGAGAGCCCTTACTATTTAGCTCGGCCGAGCAGCTCCAACGGTTGCATCGCGAATTGGTAGAACGGCTTACGTCCCTAAGTCCAATCTCCCACAATACCGCGAGAGTCGAGCAAAGTCGCCTGGGTAAGATGGACCGAGGGACTGCAAACTTCTTGTGCTTGCACCTGGAAAAGAGCTAGATCACTGTTCCTGTACCTCGTCGGGCTCTACCACCCTTGTCAAGCGTGTAATATTGGAGAGCTGAACACCTGGAATCGCAGCGGAGTCGGTCAAGTTGACGAGGCCCGCCGCAGCAGGATTGATGGCCAAACGATCGCCTGGTGTCAAGCCTCTAGCCGCGAGATCGAAACGAGAGCCCCAGGCGTAGATGATCACGAAGAGGCGTCCATGCTTTCCTTATGGTGTCTCGTCAGTACCACACGTTCAGAATCCTCCGCAGATGAAAATACCAGCGACTCCGTGCCCACCTCCCCGTCCATATGGGTCTCTGGTTTTGTGCAACACGCAGTGGTCGAGTATAGACTTCCCGCGTTGCGTAATTTCACTCCACAGCCCACTATCTGTTCCGGGAGACCCGTCGACGTTACTCCCGACGATGAGGGCTATTTTGCATTCACCTATCCTAGGACTAGTGTGCCCCTCTATGGAAGTGAACGTTGCTTCGAAAAAGACTCACGGGTACTCCATACTTCGGGCAAAGTAACATGGTTTCTCCACTGCGCAAGAGTGAAATCCGAGGCTTTCGCGAAATACGGAAGGAAAAAGGCATGATCCAAGGAATCTAGATTGAAGGTTCCTTTCCTGACTGGCGCTTTGCCGTATAGGAGGGAAATTCAGGCTTCGTAGACTGGCTCGCCGTAGTCGCTGCGGCTGCAGTAATCTGCGGAGAAGGCGAATGCTGACAGAGAGACTAGTATGAGCAACGTACGTAATATGACATTGCATTGCGCAGTTGAAGCTGTTATATTCATGTCAACTTTCATCTTTATTAACAGGCATGAAGGACGAAAGATGAGAGGCCTCTGGCTTTTTTTTTATTTCGGCAATTAGGACGCACCATGGCCTCATATCGCATGTCCGTGGATTTGTTCCCCTGGAAGTCAATGCCTGATGTCCGTGACCACCATGCGCAGTTGGTGAATTCATGCGAAATGCGATACTGGCCGAAAAATCGGAACAACCTCCGTCGTGTGTGTGTACGGCGAGAACATGGACACTCACGATATGGAGTCCTACTAAATTCTAACAAACATTGTTAGCTACGCCGACATTTTTGGATAGATTCACAAGGCTGCTGCATACAAACACACAGCAGTGCGTGTCGAGAAGGATTGTCCTATACGGAGCATCGGTCTATCGGATTTTGTCTGCAGTAAGTTATATGTACAAGTCCATTGCATATTACATGCAAGGTCACGATAAGTCAATGCTAAGGCGTTGTCAGTCGGGTAATGATCGGGCCATCACCAAGAAAAAAACAGAAGCGACTTACATCATAGAGCCATGTCCTGGCTCACTTACCACCACCGCCTCAGCTAGCTTCTCTTTTGTAATATCGGGTTCCCTTCTCCGGTAGTACTTCTCTTCCCAAGCTGCCTCGATAGCCTCAACCCTATCCTTTGGCACCAAATGCACAGAACATCCACCCCAGCCTGCTCCGGTGACTCGGCCACCGTACGACCCGGCCTCTCTCGCAATTTCGCACATCTCATCGATCTCGGGACAGCTGTGAACGTACACATCTCGGCTGGAAGTGTGACTTTCATTAAGTATATCGCCCAATCTTGGAAGCAAAACGGTATCAGCATCAGCGGGTGGGTTTAGCAGTAGCTGTTTGAAAGCCTGTACGCGGAGAGCCTCAGTGAAGACGTGACGCGCTCGTAGCCCAAGATGGAAACGCTCGGCACGGATGGGAAACTTGGTCATGAATCTTCGCTCAAGAGCCTCGACTGACATAGATAGAGTGGAGGCAATCTCTTCACGAGTATAGCCTTCAGAGTTGTCGAGAAGCTTGTCTATAAGCGAGAGCATTACTCCGATCTGTTCTTCAGCACTGGAACGCTGATCCGCTTTCTCGGACTCGTAGTAAGCATTTTGGAAACCACGAAGACTACTGCCCAAGGGCCCAGAGTCGGTCTTGAGCTTCAATCGTAGTTTGGCGGCCAAGACCTCTGCTGCAAGCGTGCATTCGACGACACGCAGATTATACTGTTCAGGAGCTGCAACATGTTTATCTGCAGCAATAAAACTTTGGGCGATCATGAAAGTTATTGGAGGGTCAGTTTTGGGAAACGGTAGCGCCTCGGCATACAACTCGGGCGAAAATGAGATGCTGACTGCATCACCTCGAACGGAGAATACAGACGCTGCTTGATCCATGCCTCCAGAATTTACTCCGACGGACCGCTCCGATACAATGGCAAGTTCCACCAATTCCTTTTTGGGGACTTTGTCCGAGCCATTGGCCCGCAGAGTTGCTAAAGCACTTGCGCAGACGAAAGCAGCGCTACTTGATAGCCCACCGCCCGCTGGCACAGTGCCGTCAATAAGGACTTGCATTCCACATGAAGAGAAACAGGAATTCTGTTTTCGAAGAAGGTCGACGGCGCCGCTGAACCCGGCTTTGAAGTAGTTAGTCCATTGAAGTGTGGAAGCATCAATCTCGACGTTTCCATCTTTCTGTACCGAAAACTCGCCCGATTTGAATTTGTGAGGGTTGAGATTTTCAACTTGAACCTTCACTTCTTCTTGATTTTTTCTCGGTACTGGGGAGACTGCAATGAGCACATCTGCGGCTATGGCCATGGGAAGGACCTCATAGAGCGAGTAGTCGATGTGCTCTCCAATGAGATTGACGCGGCCTGGGCTGCGAGCAATGAACTGGGGAGACCGTCCATATAGCTCTGAGAATCGAATTTTGAGATGTTCAAAGCGTGCCCTTTGGGACTCGAGAGCATCTTTTGGGTACAAGTCTTCCAGGTTTTTGACCACTGGGACGGGCTCGTTCATCGAACTTTTGGAAGGCATCCCAGAGACTTGGAGGGTAGATAACCCGGTGAAGGTGAGGCTTAGATAACCTTTTAGATGGATGATGATCTTCGTGCTCAGAGTTTCTCAGTAAATTTGTGACTATGATTACTGTAAATTTAGACGTAAGGTATGTAAGATATGTTCGAATTGGCACGCCACACGACCTCAAGGCCTGTTTATTAGTGATGAGCCCGAGCAACGTCTTTGGCGGTGCTCTTGCCCCCTGTTACATTTGCTATGCTATGCTGAATGAACCCCTCCGACAAAAGGGAATTCAAGCGTTTTGGCCGTGACTTTGATACAGTCTGAGTAGACAAAAGGAGGTATAGTACACCAAGTGTGTGGAATTTATCATTGAACGAGGGTGGAGATGCAGAAGCACAATCTATTTCCCCACACTACTTGACGCTAGTAAAGTAAATCTTGGCAAACTCCTATGGACATGGCCGCTTTAGCGGGTGAGCTAGCTCGGCACCTCGGCTAGCTATGAGTACTCGTAAGCAGAGTTGAAGAAAATGTTCACACACAATTCTTCTTCGCGCTCTCACTCAGCCTGACATAGATACTTCAGATACGGTATAAATGAGGGGGGAAAAAGCTCAAAAGGAAGCGGTGCGCCATCTCTTCTCTCTGACTCTTCGACTTGACAAAGTAACGTTATTTAATACAGTGAACATCATGGAATATCATAGTACACTTCACACGACTTTGCCAATACTCGCAGACTCGTCCACCTCGATGCTTCCATAGTCACTCATCTCAATATCTGCCCTTTTTTTGCCACCATCTTACCCTCATTGAACTCATGAATCTTCGGAGTTATCTCGACACTCGATAATCTCTCGGATGTTTTGCTGCGGTCCGAACGACGTAAAGCAAGGCTAGTAATTTATGGGGTCGTCTATGTTTAGTGAAGACGGTGCGCGTCTGATCAGAGGATTTCGAGGCGGAATACATGCTGCTAAAAGGCCAATAGAGACTTCCGCGGTCGTCCAGAAGGTTTGGCGGGGTTGCAAAATGGTTGGTGTTGCCTTTCGAAGGATCCAAGGAGACTATACTATGTCAGTGTTCGCCATTAAGAAAAAAGTGCTGACTGCGACATTGAGAATATGCCGTGTGGGGAGCATATTAGCAAACAGCTTGGTGACGTAAAATAATCATACTATGCCAAAGACGAGTGATCTATTCAATTAAGTCAGCATTCGAATGATACTGATAGTGTATGCGTGAGAGAGCAATTCGACTCACAGCGTGCCCAGCAAAATGATGGCAGTCAACCCGACTTTGGCCCTTCTGCTTATCTGCAACTTGCGAATACACGGGTATGGCAGCGCAAGAACTGCAACATCACCTAGTAAATCCATGATAGCGAACCACGAGAGTAACCACTCCTGCGAGATATGAACATTGTGGCTTTCAAGAACTACCTGCATTAAAAAGAATGTGAGACCCCAAAGCGTGATGAGGACTATGAGAGTACTGTTCACGATTCGGAGTGATTTACGCTGGGCAAAGATGCGGCGGTAGAAGAAGAGTACGCTAAGTTTGATGCAGCTGTATGTGAATTTCTCGATGACAATAGTGGCATTGTCAATCTGTAGCGAATGTTGAGTTAGTGAAACGTTTTAAACTTCAGTAGTACAAGCTTTGTGCTAGATGTATCGGAAATATATACCTACCTTGGTCTGATGTGCAGCGCGCCAACAACAGTCGACTCGTTATCTCTTCTAAGCTCTTCTATGACAGCGGCTATGTAATGCGAGAACGATGATTCTTTTGGGCCTTTTCATATTTACACAAGCTGATTAGGAAGAAGAGGCTTTGTTATCATACCGACGATCCGCATAGCACCTTGACCAAGGACTAGGAAACAAGAGCAAGCGATCAACCAGTCATCGATCCCTACAAACGTGGGCGTAAGACGAATACGCACATGAAATCCCAAGCACACAGCTACAAAGCCAAGCAGTGGTAAAACAATGGCCGTAACGATGACACTAGCGACTCCGTACATGCTGAAAAGCAGTCCTTGATATGTTTAGAAGGGTTACTTTGCGGAGTCAGTAAGATCTCAACTAGTGTAGGATTTCGACCTGAACGACGCTGTTGCCACCACCCATATTAATTGTGGTTCAGGCGTCCATCAGCGCTCAAGAAACTCATCGATCCAAGGGGTAGCAGGTGTGCTACGCATTTCGTGCCGCAAAGGATAAACGAAACTTTGCGATGCATTTGTACGACCTCATCTACATAAACATACTTCCATTTTTGACTGAGACTTGATGTTTATTGGCTAGCAGTCTGGATGCACACCATCAGAAACAGATTCTGGGAAGATCTGGGGTCACAGTCTAGGAAGACCGCTAAGCAAGCCAATAGCTTGCGCGGATGTCCTGCTATTCCTGCACACATCCTTCAATGACATATCTATGCATACCATATGTCTCGTCGGCGAACACGGCTCCATATCACGTACCTCATTCATGTACTACCCGTCCATAAAAAGAAAAGAGGCCTTATCCTATGAACGAAAGATGACCCGCACCTTCTGATTTTTCGAATAATAATGGTGGGGTCTATACCATGCCCACACTCCTTGTCCTCCTTAAGCATGATCGAGCCTGATTACACGCAATCGTCACCCCATATTCTGAAAAGGGTTGGGGTTCAGCTCACCATGTGTTCGGGCTCTTTGATGCCATACTCCGCGGCGGAGTCTCGTGCTCTTGCTGACCGAATAGCATCGACTTGGGTGCCTGATTGAAGACATGTTGCGCCCCATCTCCCTAGGTGGAACTCATTTCACATTCAGGGTAATCTCTTCTTATACTTGAATTAGTACGCCGCTTATGAAGGACACAAGATGGAATTGGAGATCCTGAACGGATACACCATTACGTTAGCGGTATTTGTCTTGATATCTTTTCACAGATTGAATATCAGCGCCAGTTACCGTCTTCCCTCTCTTCAATCCATAAGCAATTTCAGTAAAGATGTACTCTTGGTTTGGAAGAAGATATGGCTCTCAAACCTCGGTTTTAATAGCTCATGTCTTCTTGTGCTGTCTCGCTGTGCTACTGACAGCGAACGAGATCCTTTTGGGAGACTCTTGACAGACGGTGTATATCAGCAGCATTCGGCGGAGTCTAGTGAGGGAACGGCGAAGATGTCAAGTGCGGGATTGTAAGTACTATCAGATGCGATTGGATCAACCTTGGGGAGAAGATAGCAGGGATTTGCCGGTTCTTTTCAGACTGCATGTGGTAATGGTATAACTCTTCTCCACAGAGAATGACTACTTCGATATCAGTCCCTTAGAAATGCAAGAGCAAGACGCATTCTATAACTTCGCTGGCGCCAACTCGCCTTAGGTTTTGGGATCAGTTCTGTCTGTGAAAGGGGGCAACACATTCGAGCTCCTTAGAGACTGCTACATTCACGATGTTGTGGAAAGGCAAGCAGTCACTGAGCGCGACGGCTCCCCGGCGGTGGAGTTGCATCATGTGTACATGGAACCAAAAACGCTTTGGGATAATGAATAGCTTGCAAAAGCCTAGACAAGGACTCAAAGAAACATAGACGACCCAACTTTCCGTGAGTACGGACACGGTGGTATCGCTATTCCAAGACAATCAATTACAGCACCTAGAATTTTCCACTGTTAAATTTTATGTTCGAGGTGCATTCATCAAGCAGTACAGTGAAAGAGGTAGAGCATGTCGATGAACAACCATCGCTTGCGAGCGACTTCGCTGCTAGCGATTCAGCTTTAAAGAGAACTACTCTTGAATTGCCCTGGGGATTCCGTTTACCGTAGGGCTCTTTTTACCCTGGTGGTTCCATTTGGCCTGGGTTTCGCTTTACCTTGCGTTCCATTTGCTACTGCTTGGCTTGATATTTCCTACCTCCCCCCATCTACTAAGCTGCACCCGTATGAGAGATATTTGGAGTCCAGGCAGATGTTCCATCTACAACACATTGACTCAAGGAACTGGCAGGCGTCTCTCAGTCTCACTTGATTGGTAGACATGCCGATCCCAACGTGGATTCTTGCGTGGCATGCCGGTCAGTATTCTTTCATCACCATGGAATATCGTTGTTAGACCGCCATGTCCTGTATTCTGACCAACCCACTTCCCCAACCTACGGCCAACCATCCTCCACATCCACAATTGTTTGGGTTCCATGCCAACGCCGTCACAGCGGTCTCCTCTTCGTAAATTGTACTCTTAGCCACGCTTTCCTTAGGTTTACTCCCATGTTGCAAGCCAAAATACACCATTTCTCCCTTGTAACCTTCCGTAATACGACTCATACCCTGATGAGGGCCCTGCCCTGGTCTCCTCACCCACTCATGCTTGAAGACAACTTGCTGCCAGCCTGCATCTTTCCTCCCGAGCGCTTTTCTCATCGGGTTCGTGATAATGACACTCCCATCGGCTCCACCTGCAGCGATAGAAGAATGACATTTGCCTACATCCACGATCCCCTGTCCAGGCCCCGGCGCGCTTCCCAGCTTCCCGCAGGCAATGCTGGCATAGAAACAACGCAAACCCCACAACCGTAAGGTCTCCGAGGTCTCCTCTAGAGCGACCACTGAAAGGAGGCTGTCGCAGTACGCGAGACTTGATGGTGGCGTACGTGTGCGCGTTGAAAGGACGTAATCGGTTGTAGGTGCGCGGAGAGAGGTCAGGCGAAGGTTGCCGGATAGCGAGGAAGAGATTAAGAGGGTGGGATGAGTGGGATAGGCGGTTGTGAGCGACAGTATGTAGGTCGAGTGTAGTTGGAGGAACAGCCAAGGCCCGATGTTCACATGCGTTGTTTCGTCTTCTAGGTCGTAGCCACTGAGGGACGGGAGGCTTGGGTTCCGGGATCCACCATTGGACGCATTAGCTGCTTCAGGAAATTCATTGTGCTCAGCTGGAGCAGGGGTAGGAGGCCATGCGCTATCATCTGCCGAGTTATTCGAGTGCAAATTTGGTAGCGATGAATGGGGGACTTGAGGGTAGATATTGTAGATTCCGAGGGCGCCATTGGAGTATCCAATGGCAAGATCTGTGGCCGAAAGCCAAGTCAGGCACGTGGTGACCGGTCTGACGTCTTCTTGCTCTGTAACTGCGAGAGGTAGAAGCCCCGAGCTGGCCGAGAACACTGCTGACTGGACCTTCACTATTGGTATTTGAATTGTTGGTAGCCATTCCACGTACGTCAAGCAATTGATCACGGCGAAACTTACAGTAGCTCGTATTGGCCCCTTGCCCCTTTTCAAGCTGGACGTCCAAGACCCTGGCGCAACCGTCACCCCAAATACCGGCGAGCAACCCAATAGAGATCTTGCCAAGAGCGTCTTCGTCTCTCTTGGCCCTGGGTACAGGGCACCATCTAAGTTGAGTAATTTCTCCCCATTCGGTACATAACACCTGTTTGAGTTCAGGTCGTTGGGTGGGACCCATGGTGTTGTTGGAGGATTCAAACGACCATATCTGAACACTCGAAGGAGCAGAACACGAGGGTGTGAATGCTGGAGCTTCGATTGGCGTTGTTGCGCGAGTGGAGGTCGAAGCTTCAGCAACTGCCAATGCCAGATACTGTGTATCACCGTAATGATTTGGGGCCCAATCTAGACATCTTACACGGGTACCAACATTCAACATCCAGCCAAGCCTTCGTCTCTTGCTGTTTCTGAATTCTTCTCCAGATTGTTCAGACGATTCGAAATCAGTGTCCCATGCTTCCTCGAGGCTTAGGGTTTGCGACAGTGGTAGGGTAAATACCTTCTGTCTTCCGTAAGGCCCCATAAGAAAGCTGTGACTGCTAGATGTAGTCGGAGGCAAATAAGCGACACCCTCTTCCGAGCTCAGCACTGGTACTTTTTGCTTCTTAGCAAACAAATTTCGACCTCCGTGGTCATAGTACCAGTCCCAACCTACCGTTGCTTCCATCTGACGCTTTTCGTCGGTGTGCGAGACTGAATGGCACATATTCCCTCTGCATGGTAGTGTGGGATCAGCAGCCCATTGGTCTCTTGAATTGACAACATGCAAAATGTCTTCGACGTCTGAGCCGGAAAACAGCATGACCCGGCTTCGGTCATGGTCAGTTCTCGTCGGATTCTCGAGCATACCTCGAGAATGAACGTTAGCATCTTGATTGGAAGAGTAACCCCTTGGCTTTCGCTTATGGTCTTTGGTAGTACTTCGAAGGTCACGTTCTTCTGGATCCGAGCTTGCATATGACTGGGCATCTTCATACTCTTCCTCTGGTGTCAGGATCGCCGAGCCATCAGAAACTTCGTCAGCGAGAGACTCTTCCTCTTCGTTGCCGTCGACATGGTCTTCTAAAAAATCATGGTCATTTTTTGAGTCTTGCAGCTGCTGCAGTACTTCAAGATCTTCCTCAGAATCCGAATTCAACAATGTCGAGGCCTTCAAAAGCATCGACGGTATATTTCTTGTTGGGCACTCGCTGTCTGCCAGACTTTCGGACGGAATTATTTTGAGCCATAGCCTGAAGTGCAATATTCTACTTCATCACAAAGCGCCGATTCTCTTGCCGCATTCTGTGTTTACGTGGGTTATAAGACTCGAGCTTCGGCGTTGACTAGTCAGCAATTTGCTCAAAGCCACCGTTGAAGCATAGACTTGGGCTTTGAGTTACTTTCATAATTTAGCAAGCATTGAATGGTCACTTCAATTGGCCTCTGACCTCGTCGTTGTTGTTCCCTCAGTCCGTCAGACGTGCCAAGATCGCTAAACCTCTTCGGGTTAGCGGCCCTTTGCTTAGCCTCTTTGGGTTAGAGTAGTCCGCTGACTTCGCAGCCTTCCGTAGTAAGCAGAAGGTGCTAATCCGAAGGAGCTTAGCGGACTGAGCACTCTGAGGGATTGAGGCAACAGACAGGAGGCCTCAGAGTCATCAATCTACTCACTCGCTCACTTACTGGTCCTTCGCAAGCTCGTTAGCGGTTAACGGTGCTCGTGGTTTGAATACTACTCTGGCCGCTCTAGTTATTCCTTTGGTTCGTCATGACCTCTCTACCTCCTCAGCGCCAACAGCCCTCCCAACAGCGCCGATCGTCGCCTGAAGCCTCATCCTCGCAACAACACCGGAGATCAAGCATACCTCAATCTACGACTTCGGAAGACTCACAAACTGTTCTACTAAACCACCCCTCGTCGTCGGAATCCTCTCCGGAGCCAGAGCCTCAGCCGAAGCAACAAGCGAGGCCGAAAATACAAACAGCGGAATCAAATAAGGAACCTCGAAAATGCTGGATATGCTTTGCGGACGAGACAGAAGATACTCCAACTTCTTCTGAGTGGCGGTCACCTTGTCCATGTTCTCTGACAGCTCACGAGTCGTGCCTCCTGGACTTTGTGGCGGACCTGGAAGCCCCACAAAACAGGAAGAGCTATGGCCCTCCGAAGATAGAATGCCCGCAGTGCAAAGCCAAGATCACCATAGCTCGGCCTCGTAGTCTTATTGTGGAAGGTGTGCGAGCAGTGCAGCGCGCTGCTGCACGACTCATCTTGCCCTTCACTTTCGTCACCTTGTATGTACACTTCGGACCCCGTTCTTCCTCATCCGAACGACTCTTCGAGTTGCAAGACATATTCCGGATGCAGAAGACCCTTGACACCTCTCCGAACTGTCTTGTTACTCGGCTTTGCCTCGAAGAAGTAAGGCTGACTCCGAATTTAGGGCTGGAACGGTAGTCACGGGATGTCGGATGCACGGGTTTAGCACCATCTACCTTTTATTTGGCCCTGAGGACGCCGAGCGTTTGTTAGGAATCGATAATGCCGTCGGTATCTACAGCAGATGGGCCCTGGGTCTGCCCTTTATTCCCCTCGCACTCATAGCTGCGAGGACCAGATACGCTGACAACCTCTTACCTATCCTGCCAATATTCTATTTTGCGTCGACTGGCCCGCAACGGGACGGCCCACTTTGGCCACCAAGTGCTTCAATGACCGTGGCTATCTTACCCTACATTCGCGCGGCGTACAATGAATTCTACGACAGAGTATGTGCGCCGAGGGAGAAGGCTTGGATCAAGCAGATCCAACCGCGAGCTGGTGATCATGAAGGAGACGAAGAGCATGAACAAAATCAAGAACAAGCAAATGAATTCGAGGATGGTATGGACATCGGGCTTGATCTACAGGTCGAGATTGTTGAAGAGGAGGAAGGCCACGAAGAAGGGCAGCCAGCAGGTAACGCTCCGGAGGAAGAGCAGGGCCCCGCCAATCAAGGTCAAGACCGAGTTCAAGATCAGAATCCGAACCAGAATCGGCCTGCGGAAGGTAACCAAGCTCATGTCCCAAATGTACAACGGCGTTTACACCACCATCAACATCAACACCAACACCAAAATCAGAACGGGGTACAGGGTCTCGTCCTGAATTTCTTCTCTCTACCTCAAACCATCATGGGTGCTCTACTCTTCCCTAGTATCTCTGCGGCCATGGGTGCTCTGCTTCAAGTAGCATTACCTCGTTCTTGGACAACACCACCAGGCCGCTGGGATCGATATCCAGCTGGTTTCTTGCAGTCTCGCTTTGGGAGGAGCATCGTCGGAGGGTGTTTGTTCGTTGTGTTGAAGGATACGCTCATGCTATACTCGAGGTATAGATTGGCACAGGACCACAAAAGGAGAAGGGTGGTCGATTATGATGCGAAGAAAGGGAAGAAGGCCGGTGCAACTAGGTAATGATAATTCGGTTGCATTAGGACAGCGCTCAATGGGCGAAGAAGATGGACACATGGATGGCACTTCTTTGAGGATGGCAAGCCTGCGATAGTGATAGCAGGGTAGACTTAGCTCTGGGATTAGTTCATCTGAATAATGTTCATCAATGAAATTTTTGTAGCCACCATTTAGTGATCTGCATTGCAGTGATTGTACCTACCTTACCACCTTACCTACCTACCGTACCGTACTAAGTCTTACTCGAGGCGGCGTGCCATGCCCATTCTGGATTAGTCTCTTTTGACATCCATCAGAGAAGTAACATCTCTGGTGTCCTGGGTGCCAGTATCAGCGGAGCAAAGTAATGTGTTAACTCTACAAAAAAACAAGCAAATCGAGATGAGATACCTTCGATGTGTCTCAGACTGATTATATGGATGTCTCGAAAATGACAGCATATCCTTCCTTGGTTGACATTTGTTGGCGACAAGCGCATCCGCTGATGGCTAAACCCCATGTCTGCAAGACGTTCGCGCTGGAGGCATAAGATGTCGGCAGTACCGGAGGATGAGGAATCACTCTTAGCTTCTGGCCGAGAATCAGAAGACCTTTCTCGCGGGTTCGGAAAGACAACAAGGTGGCAGGGCAGATGCCGTTCACTTTTCCGACAGCGCGGGATTGGGGCCGGAGTTGCGACCATCATGACATTGGCTACACTTACTGCAGGCTTCATAGCCCTCTGGATGCTGTATGTATATCATCCTTGAACTTCTTGATGTTATTTCTGACAGTCTAGATTCTCCAGAGAATCTGGAGCGACTGCGGGTTGTGACTCCGTTCTGGAGGGCTACCAATGTCAACCAGAGCTTTCTCATGCTTGGGGACAGTATTCTCCATATTTCAAAGTGCCATCCGAGATCTCTTCTGACGTACCATCTCATTGTCATGTTGCCTTTGCACAGGTACTTTCTAGGCACGGGGCTCGAGATCCTACCATGTCAAAGACCTTGGCTTATTCTCAAGTCATCGGAAAAATCAAAAGCAAAGTGAGGATCTTTCAAGGCGATTTTGCTTTCCTTGCCAACTACAGCTACACATTGGGCGCAGACCAGCTCACCGACTTTGGAAAGCGAGAACTAGTAAATTCAGGGAGGGCTTTCTTTAATCGATACGAAGATCTTGCCAAGAACACCCTACCATTTGTCAGAGCCTCGGGTCAGCCGCGTGTCATTGACTCCGCTCAAGAATTCAACAAAGGGTTTCATCGTGAAAAGACAGCTGGAGGAACCCAGGATGACGAGTACCCGTATAGTGTGACTGTTATCAGCGAGGCTGACGGTTCGAACAATACCCTGGATCACGGGCTTTGCACCGCTTTCGAGACCTCTAATATTAGCTCCACCGCTCAAGCCACATATGCCTCCGTATTTACTCCATCGATCACTGCACGTCTGAACGCCAATCTTCCAAACGCAAGCCTCACCCTTACAGACACAATTTTAATCATGGACCTGTGCCCATTCGAGACGGTGGTTTCATCGTCCAGCAACCTATCTCCTTTCTGCGCTCTCTTCACTCGAGCCGAGTGGAAGCAGTATGATTACTACCAAACACTGGGCAAATACTATGGCTATGGCGCTGGTAATCCGCTTGGACCTACGCAAGGTGTTGGATTCGTCAATGAGCTTGTTGCGCGCCTAACGGGGAAGCCGGTAGTTGATCATACGAGTGTCAATCGAACGCTTGATACAAACCCCAATACTTTCCCCCTGGGAAGGAGCCTGTATGCAGACTTCGGGCACGATAACGACATGACTGCCGTCTTTGCGGCGCTAGGACTGTATAACAGCACCCTTCCTCTGAGCACGACTCATACGATGACTGTGGAAGAAATGCACGGGTATTCGGCCGCTTGGACTGTGCCTTTTGCGGCCCGGGCGTACTTTGAGAAGTTGCAATGTGATGGGGAGGAAGAAGAAATGGTGAGGGTGCTGGTGAATGAGAGAGTGCTGCCCTTGGAGAGTTGTGGAGGCGATACACTGGGCAGATGTATGCTTGGTAGATTCGTCGAGAGTCTCGGCTTTGCGCAAGCTGGTGGGTATTGGAACCAATGCTTTGAGGAATCAGGCGAAAGAGGCGACGTCGAAGTGGCTTAGTAAATCTCCCCAACCTTCGTGTTGTTCGGTCTGAAGGCTAGCACAGCTCAATAAGCGGCATCATGGCGGTATCTCTCCATTCACAATGACGTTTCGAGGGATATCAATACTCCGAAACGAGTAATTTGGGCTTTCCACCGCTTACATGCGCAATATCAGCGGGCAATTACCCATTTGTCACCCGGATCCCGAGAGCTTGTAATTGAGATTTGCCCACAAAGCTGCCTCATCATGACACCCTTGTGGCTTGCTCCTAGGATACAAGGCCTCGATAATTTGACGATGCTGCAGGTATTCTTACCTTCGTTAAGTCAATGAATGGGGATCTAAACCTCCTTCGACGATCATCTTGTCAGCTCAGGGGATTTCAATTTAGGAAGCTTGTCAACTCATGATGATCTCAAAGGCCACTGACTTGCTTTAATCGAGAACTCCAGAAATCTCCTGCCATAGAGAACGATTGCAGAGATGATAATTCACTTTTCTGGAATAGCGGTTCTGGCCGGTATGAAGACTGTAATTGACATCAAAACAGAATCCTTCGCTAGATCTGACATCCATATCGATTAATCACGGCTTCGTCCTACCGAATAATTCGCTTTCACAGATATCCTGTCTTCTCTTAAGACAGCTTGGGCATGACTTTGGTGATTGTATTATTCAAGTCCGGGCGTTTGCCGTCACTTGTTTGGTAACGAGTTCTATATCTTGGTCAACCCTCAGGAAATCTCATCACACCTATTGACGCTTGGAAAGGGGTTTTAATTCTCATGCTCAAACTTTAAGAGTCAAGCATCCCCTACTGTTAAGTCTTGCGGACCAAGTTGACATTGTCCACCCGACAAAGAACCTTCTCCGAAGCTTCATGCGTAGGACGAGGATGAGACTGAGCGTTCTGCCCTAATTTGTCCGCCACGTCGTCTAAAATTCAAGCCGTAATCCTCTCAGTCGAAGGCTTGCTATGAGATGCATAACAATAGATAGGTAACAGCTCTCGGGGAGGCCAATTGGTGACTTCCAGAGTGAAATAAATCAAGGCATGGACTGGGGAGAATCCATTCGTCCATGTTATATATAAAAGTCACTATTTCATCTGCGGCTCTGTGGTACGACTAACTGATGCTTTCGAAGGCGTGCACATGTTGGCAGGATTTTAAGTCAATTGCTCACTAAGTCATCGAAGGAGCTCGATGGACACGAATTTGACCGGTGGTGATCCGTGAATGCGGGCAAATGGCGGTCGGTACTTCTCCTTCAGATTGCTTTCACGGCTATTTATACCCATCATTTGATCACACTTGCACGGGATCAATGACTGCACCATTCTAGAGCAACCAATACCCTATCAAGCGAAGAGCAAGAAAGAGCGACCACTGCGGCGCCTCAAATCCGACAAGCAACAGCGGCGAACAGTGTATTACCGAGTCACCCCTGTTCTGCTGGGCTCTTGGTCTTCCAGGACTTGGTCAAGCAGAAGGGTCTGAATACGTGATTTGTACGAAGCAAACAGTGCCAGACAACAGAAAACCTTGTCACACAGTTAACGAGGAGGAAAATGTCACTCGTTCAAAAATTTCTCGTAGCAGCCGCAACGTTCTGCGAATGTTGATCATTTTTGGTGTCTACGTATCAAGAGTGAATGTTCACACAATTCAGGAGTTGCATTGTTCAAACTCCGGGTTTCAATAGGGGCCATTTTCAAAGGCATTGTTGCGCACGTTTTGACAATAGGGGTCCGCTAAAAACCAACCGAACGACGGGCGAAGTGGGTGCGACGAAATCTCCAAATTGATCACAAAGTGGAAATTCACTCAATTGAGACCTGGTATTGACGATCTGTTGTCCTATTGTCTATTCCCAAATATCTTGCTTTTGTCAGATATAAAGGTAAGTGCTCGTCCGTTTTTTTTTTTGCCTTGCCTATATGATCAACGTAACCACATCCTACTGCTCACCCACCACGCACATTCTTCTTTGATCTCGTCACCCCATTAATAAAATCCCGCTCGCTGGTCGAGTGCATGAACACTGTCCTCTTACGGTCAATCACAACATCGAAATGGCAGCAACAACTGGCTGGAAGGACGACTTGGAGGTCCCTCACCCCTTCCCGGTCGCTTCGAACTTGCCAACGAATACACCGCCCCTCGCCGAATCTGCTGTTTCTTCCTTTTCCGGCTCCAGCGGCATCCGCAAATCTACCAGTATGTTGGTATTCGTCCGTTCAGTCCCCCACTAACCTGTGTAAAGTTGACATGAAGAAGAAGAAGGAGACACACCTTCGTATCTCAGGCCCTGCCCCTGCTCACCGTATCCGGGCCATCTATGACCAGAAGATCGCCGCATTGGAAAATGAGGTGAATTGCCTGAGAAACTGGTGGTGGGTGGACATGATGGATCGCCCGGACAAACGAGACTGGGGCCAGGACGGCCGTTGGAGCGAAATTTACAAGAGGGAGCACTGGCTCCGAGGGTTGGAGTTGGCAGCAAACGGGTGGGTCAAGGCTGACTTCGCAAGGGAGAAGATGATGCGGGCAGACATGAGAGCCAAGGAGAGGGAGGCAAGGAAGGCCAAGGAAGCGGCGGAGAAAGCGAAACGGGGAGCTGGCCACCGCGAAAGTTGTGCTAGCTGCGGTGAGAAGGGAGCTGGAGGAGAAGAACGATCAGGTCGCAATCGACCGCCAGTTGGCTATGACTTTATTGGCTGCTACACGGTAGCGGAGGAGAGACATTGGGCTATGCTCGTTAACTGTGTGACAAGGTTTTCTGTTGTGCTTGTCCGTGGCCCTTGGGAGGACCTGTCACGGTGGCTGGATAGCAGGCAAGCTGTCAAAGAAAGTAACATTCTGGAGCGCTAGACCCCTACTCACGTAGCTTTTGGGCATCGACCCGGTAGCGTTGGTCACTCATGACAGAAATGGCCCCAGAAAGAGCGCTAAACAGCCTAGGAACTTCCTCGTTGATGCTGCTCTGGTCGAAGGTTTGAGGGTTGGTATTGTCTCGACTGTCATTTCTTTGACACCTATCCCAATAGCAACCCTTGTGACATTCGAGAGGTATGAAAACTCGCTGCATGGGACTTGACACGATGAGAAACTGTTGACTATATCCAGCATTGTGCTCTTCCGCTGTCTTAAGTATCACGTGAAACGAAGGGGGATTTATGCCACATTTCCAATCCATCAGCTAGTCTCTTTACCTTCACGACGTCATCCCAGAGCGCTCCTTCTGTACATGACATCATGTCCCATAGTCCTCAGATACTAACAAGGTTGCAGATAATTGCTCGGCACCAACCCTGGTCTGCTCTTCTTGCCTGTCGCCTCCGCCTCCCACCATCCATCATCTTGCAGTCTCAGAACTGCTAAGACATCACCCTTTGCGAAGCTCAGCTCCTCCGCTATAGCGGCGCGATACATATACAATGCTCTTGCTGTATTAGTGTATTAGCATGATTGTCGCCACAGTATCTCTTCCATCATGGTCACAAAGATACGCAATGTCCACAGGTGGAGGGACTCACCAAAATGCAAAATTGGTCTTCCGTCTTGAGTGTACTTCCGTCCGTCCGCTGTGCTCCTACTCCTAATTCTGCTAGCTCCGTGATCTGGCTGCTGTGGCTGCCCGCCGTAATAGCTGATTGGTCGCCCTCCGTTTCCTCGCCCTCTTTGACCGCCGCTACTGACATCTCCGTTGGAAAGCTGCATTGCCATACCGCCGCTGCTATTTGGCCGTTCTTGTCTTGCGTACTGTGGTTGTGGCGAGGGTGCCCGGCCTACGTCGTCCGGTGAGTTGTGCTGAGAATAGAGGGGCTTTGTAGGGCTCGCGCTGGGGCTTTGCCTTGGGCGGCCGACATTGTTATACGGATTCGGGCTTGCAGCTCGTGGATTGCCCTGCTGACCTTGCCCTTGGTATCCAGGTCTTGGGCTAGTGCTCCTCATAGGACGAGGTGATGTCGCGCGAGGCATCTCAGGCCCGCTACCACGGGTACCAGGGCGAGAAGAACCGTACATTTCTTGATTCTGGCCAACATATTTGCGAGTGGTCGACTGCATCTGCGCAGAGGTGAAGGCCGGTTGCGGAGCATCAAGACGTCTGACAGATTGGTCGGAGTAAGAGGGTGGTGGTGTGCCTCGTTGCGCAGCTGAAGTATCTCCATTCTGCATTCCGGATGCGCTCGGAGGTCCAGGGGTAGCAACGCCCGCATAACGGTCTGCTGACATGCGGACTGAGGATTCTTTGTTGACACCTTTAAGTTCAGCGAGAGCAGCGGCGATGGGGTCTAAGTCCTTGACGGGAGAGTGCATGTTCCTTGGAGCGGGCTTGTTGCGGTTGGAATCAGGCGAAGCAACATCGAAGACGTTGGGTCCAACGTTCAACTGGAAATTGGCTCTTGGATCGACGGGCTCGGGACTTCCTGAGTAACGGTCATGTGAGTTTCGAGCATGGCCGTACTGGCGAGTTGGGCTAGAGTCATCATGCCGGCTATTCGAAGAACCCCAAGTGTTCCGAGCAGTAGGGGTAGCTATTGCTGGAGCCTCTTTCTCGTGCTTGCTCTTTCTACGGAACGGGCTGTTGCTGAAGAAACCACTTCTCTTCTTCTGGATCTGTTTCGTCGGGCTCATTGCAGGCACCATTTGACCTTCGCCGTGCTTGATAGGCGATTGCTTTCCGCTCACAGGCTCCTGACTCGAAAAGGACGTAGGATTTGAGTACTCACTCTGAGAGTCTCGACTTGATGGTCTTACAGGGCTGGCAGCAGAGCTACGCTCAGAAGGTGGTGCAGTTCGACAGAACATAGTCATTCCGTCGGTAGGATATTCGTTGTGGGGCACAGTGGGCAATTCATCTACCTTGTGCTGATAAGGAGCCTGCGTCTGGGCCTGTCTTCGATAGTCGATCAATGGAGGTAGCTGTTGCATGGCTTTCTGTGGGGTCATGGTCGTCTCACGACTCGGAGGTGTATTCGTCTCAAGGTGGCCCATGCGTGCAGCCAAATCTGACTGAGGATCGTGGTGGGATTCGAACGTTGAGGGTTGAGGAGAAGAGCTGCGGAAAGCAGGATTGATGGTCCTCTGGAACTGAGCGACTGAATAATCGTCTTCTGAGGCTTCCGAAACATTGTCATTGACATCGCCACGACAGAAGTTGATATACTTTGGAGGATCGGGAATCTCTTGCCCAGTCCCTTTCTCCTGAATGAAACCAGAGATGTCCTTTTCGACTTCGCACCCTTCAAGTGAAAGCCGTATCTTCTCGCACGACTTGGAAAAGTTAGCAAAGCCTTAGATCGAGCTTTGATAGACACTGACAGCGTCATCGCTAACACAAACAGTCGAGGCCACGTTTGCAAAAGTCCACAAACTGCTCTTCATAAAGTCAAGTCTCTCCTCCTCAAGATCTTGAAATTTCTATGACCATTAGCTGCGCTCAACCTCTACAGAGTGCAATGTTTCTCACATCACATGCAGCCTTCCAGTCTCTATTCCATCGTCCTGTCGTTTCTTCAAGTATTTTAACGGCTGCTTCATACTCGTTGCTTGTGGTAGCTAATTGGATCTGGGTCTTCTCCATCTTGGCTTTGTTCTTGCGCTCTTCCTGCCCCATTACCATATGGCCTTGGGCTAAGTAGCCTTTTATCTTCAGACAGTCCTGTTCATACCGGTCTCGAGACTACTTCAGGTCAGACAGAAGCTTCGGAGTCTCGATTATGTTTGCGCACCTTGTTCACCGCTTGAGTCTGCTGTTGCTTCTGCTTGAAAAGTTTCTCGATACCAGTCTGTACAATCTTTCTCCGCTCTTTCATTCCTCCGGCAAACGCAGCCAACGGTTCTTCTAACTCGCTTTTCATTTGGCCTGCGATCCCCTGATGCGCTTTTCCCATGGCTTCGACTTCTCCGCGCATGACGTCGAGGGAGGCTCGTAGAGTACCGGCTTCTGACGAACCGAGCGGTTTGCGACATAGCGCAGTCATCTTTCGGGCATAATCGTCTTCTATCGCAGCTCGAGCTAAACACATGTGAGCCTTCGACTCCATTCGAAGTTGCGCTCCGGTGTGTACTGTTGTAGAACGCCTTCAATTCATCGCAAGTTGCTTTCCCATTTTGCATACGCTCTAGCAGTGGCTGAACACCAGCGTCATCCTTGCCCCAGAAATTGTTCGCGACTGCCAACATCAGCGCCATTTCCCCAAGTGCACGTTCCATATTCTTCTTACAGGATAGGGAAACGCTGGGCCCTTCTGCGACAGTTCCAGGCATTCTGCCGACGTGCTGGGGCGTCGATCGCCCGGTCCCCCAATTATTCTTCAAGTACAGTTGTTAACCTCGAACGTCAAACTTCTTGAAAAATGACGGACTTGATTGTATGCAAATTGTATGTGAACTGTATATGAATTGTAAGACAGTAATATAATTACATGGATAGGAATGATACTCAAAGGCTAGCCTTTATTTTTCATCTTCCATAAGCTCAAGATTTTTAAACACGGCTGTTGTCCCAGAGACAAAGGGGGGGGAGGCTTATACTGAATAGGCTTTAAACCAGATAGTTCATCTTCGGTTAGCGGCGCCAAGTCCTTTCGGGGTTGAGCCTCAGAACATTGACCTTTTTCTACTTACATGCCTCACTTCTGTACTCTATTCGAATGACATCAAGCTCTCTCCTTCCCCCTCTCTTGTTCTCTTGTTCCGCCCAAACAGTGATCCTATATCCACAGTCACCAGATCCCGTCAGGATCCTTACGAATGTTTGTCTATCCTAGATGACCAGCTTCCCTCCCCCTCAGCCTGCAGCTCAGAACTCGATTGCTTCCAGTACAAACAGGAATTCGGGCGCACAGCCAGTGAGGGGACAACAGTCAGCCTGGGGGCTACCTGCCCCGGGAACAAGCGCTCGCCGTGGGCTCACTCCTTTGTCAACTAATCTTGGCTCCTCGTCGCTTGAATATTCAGGGCGCCCAAGTCACACCTCATCCTCCTCGCCATTCACACCATCCTTCTCGTCCGTTCTCAACTCCTCAACACAGAACGAAAACAGCAGACAATCATATCCCTCCTCTATAGCAGCGACAACCTTTCCTTCACTGCAATCTGGATCTCAACAAGCTCCATCAGGTCAGTCGCTCTTGTCACCTCGGTCAAGAGCCATCACGCCATCTTCGACTCCATATTCGGCGTCCTCCGCCGCGGCTTCGACCACCGCATCTCAAGCTGGAGGAGGTGGGGGTAGTGGTGGCGGAGGAAGCTCTAGGCATCAAACTTTCTCTCCTCCATTACCACAATATAGTTTGAGCTCTCCCACAACCAACGCCTTTGATCGACCATTCACGGGGTCAATCTCCTCTTCGGCTGCGTCTGGCCAATCCTCTGTATCTAAGATTGTCGTGACTCAGGTCTTTCTGCTGCTGGGCTCTATAACGGAGAAGGAAGGTAAAGCAAAGTGGGACGCCCAAGCAGAGGCTATCCACAAGGTATGACTCTCCAAACCTCAGCCTCCAATGATTTGCTCTGTGTAGCTTTATTGTTGACCGTTTCGTTTGTAGCTCGTGGACTCGAACGGCATGGAAGTCTTCTCTAAATATTTTCGTCGCCTCCTTGTTGGGAACTCTCCCCAAATATTCCCAGGTACCAATCGCAATGTTGAAAATCCCAGCAACTACTACCTATTAGTGCAAGAGATAGAGAAGATAACGCAAGATTCTGAGCAAGCTCCAAAAATTGCAGAGATAATAGACACTTCTGAAGGCGATATCTTTCGTGACTTTGACCTTGCGACGTTCATGAATCACTTCGGACTAGATCCGTTGGCGAAGACTTTGCTGGCTTCAGCTTTTACGCACGTCTCGAAAACAGATCTGAAGGCTAAGGGTATTCTCCAAACCACGTCGTATGTCGGCTTCTGTTACTGAATCTTTGCAGCTGGAGCCATACTTCTTGAGAATTTCGACGGCATCATTGCAAGCCTCGCAAATCTCGAAAACGACAACTACGATGTCGCTCCTTCGTTACTCGCAACATGCGCCCTCAGATTCTTCGAAGATTTACCCCAAGATTCAAGAGCAAATATTGACCTGAAGCGCCTGGGCTACGCGCTGGAGCATCGCTATTCTCAAAAAGGCATAACAGTGCCATCGGAAGTACGATCAGTACTCTTCTTATTCAACCTGTTAGAAATGAAGTATCACCTGGTGAAGGAGATTCATCTCCGTGGCCCTCAAGTAACGAGCAGTCCTACAGCCGCAAAAGAATTTCTATCACGGCATACGGATGAAACCTTGGATGAGAGACAGGTAGCCGGTGCACTTCTCTTCATGGTGCTGATCCCAGCGCGACAGCAATACTCTCCTGCTGTGTTTGTATCTGCGGTTCACGACTACGTGGAGCGTTTCTTTGACTGGCAGACAGTGGTTCGGGAGCTGGATCTCAAAGGTCTTGAGGTCTCAAGGGACCAATTCCTCGCTCTATATAATGCACTGCTCCCAATGTCTCAGGAGAACGCTCAATTTGACATCCAGCAACTTTGGGGAGGTCGATGGCGCAACCCCCAGACACAGGTCTCATTCATCCGAGCTTTCCTATCGTGTCAGCCATCAGAGCTCGATGCAACGAACATACCCGACCTACGCCCAGCTTACGATGCCCATGCGTTATTGGATGCCCCTGAGAACGTTGCGCAGCATGCCGAAAGAGCAATACGAGACACGATGATCTCATTAGATGCAGTCACGGCTATGTTCGATCTCATCGTTCGCCCTGATGAAATGCCGTCTCAGGAAGTGGAGGCACTATTGGCGGAGATTATTCGTGGCAAAGAGGCACTGTTTCTTTGCTCGTCTGCAGGGATCGCAAAGCCATGGAGCAAAGGACAGGAGTACATCATGTCAAGTCTATTGAGGATCTTCCTGGACAAGGAGCGACCAGATCACAACTATGTTCTTCACTCACTGTGGAAACAAGACAAAGGATGGGTCGCGACGAAACTCGTCGAAACCCACATCGACGATCCGCTTGAATTAACCATGATAATGGATCTTGCACGGGAGCAAGAGTGGTTGGTGGACTTGTTCACACTCATGAATGGATTTGGCCTAGATCTAGCTGCGCTAGCACATCGCGAAGGCCTCCTTGACCTTGAAAGTTGGGCAGATGACAAAATCGCACAGGATGCCAGTGGATTCGTTATGGGTGTTTTCAAATTCTTGATGCTGAAGGCCCAGGACGAGCTCCGAATCGCACGAGACGAACAGTCGGAGCCGCGGACGGTGAGCCTGGCCATGAAGACGGTCTATGATTTCCTGGCCATGCTAGACCAGCATATGACAGATAGATCCGAGCTGAAAGCACTCCAACGACAATGCTTACAGGCATACCCAAGATTGATCATCTATTGTGAAGGGATAGAAGAGAACGTTGATGTCGACTGCAAAGAGAGCAACCGATTACCAAAAACTGCGGACCATGAGATGCAAGCGCTATACAAAAGGATGTACAATGGTGACCTGAAGGTAGAGAACATCTTGGAGTATTTACAAGAATGTAAAGCCTCCAATGATCGGAACAAGGTTGATCTCTTTGCTTGTATGATACACGGGCTCTTTGACGAGTTTTCATGTTTCGGCGAATACCCCCTAGGCCCGCTAGCAACGACTGCCGTGCTGTTCGGTGGTATCATCTCAGTCGGCCTCATATCAGATCTAACCCTTCGAGTGGGTCAAGAGATGATTTTGGACTCCGTCCGGGACTATCCGCAGGAAGCGTCAATGTACAAGTTCGGCCTTCAGGCATTGCTACATGTTCTTGATAGGCTTCGAGAGCCGGAGTGGACCGAATACTGCAATCGACTGGCGCAAATTCCCGATCTTCGTGGTACCGAGCCGTACAGAAGAGCCCTCGAGGTGCTTTCACAAAATGGTTCTCAAGGACCGGATGATTCAAATGCTGTCAATGGCTTAGCGGATGGAATAAGCCTTCCAAACGGCGACATTGACGACTTCCTTTCTCCAGACACAACCTTCCGCTTCAAATCCGTCAACGCAGAGCCCTCTTCAGCTTATGATGAGCCTGACGAAGAGACACAAGAAAAAGTCGTCTTCTTCTTTAACAATGTTTCTGAGCAAAATCTGAAGAGTAGATTGGGTCAGCTCCAGGAAGCGCTCCAGGACAGGCATCATCAATGGTTCGCCTTCTTCCTTGTTGAGGGGCGTGCCAAAGTCGAACCAAATTATCAGCCGCTTTACCTTGACATATTGAACCTCCTTGGCAACAAAGTTCTATGGAATGAAGTCCTTCGAGAAACCTATGTCAGTGTCCAGAAAATACTCAACGCCGAGTCCACAATGCAATCTGCATCCGAGCGAAAGAATCTAAAGAACCTTTCTACATGGCTGGGGTCTTTGACGATTGCACGCGACAAACCAATAAAGCATAAGAACATCTCCTTCTTGGACTTCCTCATCGAGGGTCTCGAGACACAGCGATTGATCCTCGTTATTCCGTTTACCTGTAACGTCCTGGCACAAGGCACAAGGTCGATCGTATTTAAGCCACCGAACCCTTGGGTTATGGAAATAATCGCAGCCTTACTCGAATTATACTTCCATTTCGATATCAAGCTGAACCAGAAGTTCGAGATTGAGGTTCTCTGTAAGGAATTCGGCATGGTTGTGAACGAGGAGGATGCTTCGACGACGATTCGAAACAGACCTCTCCACGACGAGGACTTGCCGAGTAGTGTGCTACCCGACGGGCTGGACGGCTTCGACGATATGAATTTGAGTGGAATTAGCCGGACCGGTCGAAGCTCAAGGTTTGATACTGACACATTGTCTTCTGCTTTGCCGGATCTGGAATCTGTGCTCGTGTTTCCGCCAGCCACCGGCAGCCCTGCTACTCAAGCTCGACTACGTGACATTGTTCAAGAGGCCGTCAAACGCGCTATCTTGGAGATCATCGCTCCGGTTGTGGAGAGATCAGTCACCATCGCAACGATCGCAACTAGTGCTCTGATTCATAAGGACTTCGCTCGCGAATCGGACGAAGATCGAGTGCGCAGAGCTGCACAACAGATGGTGCGCCAACTGTCTGGAAGTCTTGCCCTCGTTACTTGCAAAGAGCCCCTCAAGATGAGCATGACAAATTACATCCGCATGGCGCAGCAGACAGATTTTCCAGACCAAGCATTTCCTGAAGGTGCTATTCTGATGTGCGTGAATGATAATCTGGACACGGCATGCAACATAGTAGAGAAGCAAGCTGAAGAGCGATCTATGCCCGAGATCGAGGCTCACATCGAGGCTGAGATAGCACAGCGACGACAACATCGGGCCGAGCACCCCAGCGAGCCCTACATGGATCCAGCTTTCAATCGGTGGGCCGGATTCATCCCAGATCCCTACAAGCAGGCATCTGGCGGTTTAAATCAAGAGCAAATGGCAATCTATCTTGAGTTTGCCAGGCAATCCCGGGGACCCGCAAGCCACACTCAAACTGCTTCAGCAGACAGCGGGAGACAGCTGCCCGACGTACTACAGGAGGCATTTGCATCAGTGCCGAATGTCCACACTCCCGCCGAGACGCTACCAATGCCACACCAGCATTCTCAGCAGCAGCAACAGACCGGTCGTATGCTCCCGCCGCCGGTGCCTAATTTGATGGCCGCAGCCCAGACAAATGGATACGCGGATCTTGACGCCGTTCAGGATCGCTTATCCCAGCTCCTTGGTGAAACCAGTCGAATGGTGAAGGAAAATCCAGATCGATCTATGAGTGAGATACAACGAGACCGTTGTTTGGTAGAGGTCCTTAGCCAAGCATGGGACCTGATTGCCTCGTCTCCAGATACCATTGCCATGAACTGTGCCGAGGAGATCTGCAAAGGGATCTATGGGAATTCCATGATACGTCTCGAGATCGAAGTGTTCGTGCATTTACTGGCACGATTGTGTCTGACGTACCCAAGCATCAGAAAGGAGGTCGCGATATGGGCAATGAATTTAGAGGAACAGAAACTTTTCAACATCGATGTAACGGCCGCACTGGTCAAGGTTGATCTTTTGCAACTAAAGCAACTCGACATGTTTTTGACCGGTTTGATCTATGACCGGGAGGAGCTTGCGCTTGAAGTCTTGTCCGACATCATGGATGCCTTGCTGCTCAACGACCATCCGACGGCACTACGGGCCGATTTTGCGAGCAGCTTAGGTGCTCTAGGCCAATGGCTCATGGAGGATCCCGCCCTGATCAAGGCCGAGGAACTTGTCCAACGACTGAAAGAGTGGGGAGTCAATGCGACTGTCGACGTCAGACCCGACGAGAGTCTTATTAGAAAGCATCAAATGCAGTACATATTCGCAGAATGGGCTGCAATATGCGATGCTTCGCCAAAAAGCCCTAGCGAAAATATCTTCCCAGCCTTTATATCACAGTTGCACCAGAAACAGTTGGTCAGCTCACAAGAGGATATGTCTGTGTTCCTTCGATTCTGCATTGACGACGCGATGGATAATTACGGCCATGCTAGTCTGAATGCTGATGGGAACTCGGACGAACCGTTTTTCAAGGTCGATTGGTTGGCCAGGCTCATTGTGCTACTGGTGAAGAACCAAGGCGAAATCAATGGGTCTGTGAAACGTAACAAGGCCGCGTATATGAATTCAATCTTGGCCATTCTTACCTTGATAATCAACAACCATCACGTCATGCAAGGAGAGCGCTTCAACCAACGGGGTTTCTTTCGCCTCCTTTCGAGTATTCTGTGCGACTGGCATGACTTTGGGCGAGAAGGAGATACACCGGACCGAGACATGCTCATCGTCTTCGCAAACAACTTTCTGATGTTGACACCTCATCACTTCCCAGCTTTCGCCTACAGCTGGCTTATGCTGATCTCGCACCGGCTTTTCATGCCCAGCCTGTTGAAGCTCTCAAACGATGAGGTGAGCTATGCTCTCTCCTCTACGCACTGCTTTACTAATATCTGGCAGGGTTGGGACTCATTTGCCAAGCTCATGGAGGCAGCGCTGTCGTACATCTGCCAGTTTCTGAAGCCGAGCACCATCACACCTCTCGCAATGGACCTCTACCGAGGCATACTCCGCATTGTTCTCATCTTGCACCACGACTTCCCTGAATTCTTGGCGGAAAATCACTTCCGCCTCTGCAACTCTATCCCACGGTACTGCACGCAGCTTCACAATCTTGTGCTCAGCGCCTATCCGTCTTCCTTTCCAGAGCTCCCTGATCCATTCGTGACAGGACTAAAGGTAGATCGTCTAGAAGAGATGAGAAAAGCCCCCAGGATCGTTGGCGATTACACTGGACCTCTCATTCAAAGCAACACCAAAGATGTCATCGATGCATCGCTAAGGAGTAATGAGATCTCGAGTGACAATCTTACTCATCTAGCTAACGCAGTGTACACGTCGATTGATCGTGGCCTAGCTGTGGATCCCTCTCTTCTACACGCTATCGTCTTGTACATTGGTCAAAGCGCAATTGCGACGGCTGGGCAGAAGGGCGGTCAGCCATTTACCGGTGACTCTCCTCAAGCCTCTTTAATGACCAAGCTGGCGAGGGAGCTTCATCCAGAAGCACGCTACTACTTCCTTAGTGCTATGGCTCACCAACTTCGCTATCCCAACAGTCATACCCACTACTTCAGCTATGCTCTCCTCCACCTTTTCGGAACAGATCTGGCGGATCAGCAGGAATCGGATGTGCGCCAGCAAATCACTCGAGTACTGCTTGAGCGTCTCCATGTGATCAAACCACATCCATGGGGCCTTGTCATCACAACATTGGAACTGATCAAGAATTCGGACTACAATTTCTTCCAGTTGCCATTCATCAAAGCTTCACCATTGGTAAATCTCTACATACGATTTTCTACGAATGAGTGCTAACCTATTGTTGTAGATTCGAACTATGTGTGAACGCTTTTCGCATTCGGCGCAAGAGCGAGAGCATTGGGGTGATCAATTTACTCAGCACATATGAATGCGGCGCTGGCAAGGCGCACGGTGACATGACATAGGGGCACGCGCAGGCTACTTTAATAGAGGAGTTTGACGATTGCAAAAGCGACGGCGAACGGAGACTCGGGGCTATGACAGGAGGTGTTTGTGCTTTATTCCATCATACATCATCATCTGCCCACAATTATGTAGGGCGAGAGGAAAGGTGATATACTGGCTTTGTGGTGTTGCTTTTGATCAGACCCGTAACCCATGGGCGGTCCACCCATGATGTCTACCATGACTGAAGAGACTGAAGAAACGGAGGAGCAGCTATGCTAGCTCATGTATCATAGGCAAAGGGTGAATTGTAGGATAATTGGGTGCTTTGATTGCTATAATGCCTCTCCAAGCACAAGACTTTGGCCATATGTTTGCCATGTCAGAGCTTAGACAGCTTTTCAAGCCACAGCGGATTCAGTACGCCAGGGTCAAAAGGCGGCTGCTGCTCCTTCTTCCTCATCATCTCGTCATGCCACTTTTGCAGCTCCTTTTTCAGCCATTCGCTGATCTCTTCGGCAGCTTTTCCGGGCATTTCCAGGTGTACAGCATGGTAAGCCCCCTTCACGTATTTCGACTGTACTTTACCAGAGACAACGCCGCCATTCCCATCATCCCCGACCCCGGTTTGGTCAATCACCGTTTGGGGATACGCAGAATTGCCAATATCGGACTTGGTACCCCACAGAAACAAGAGCGGTGGCAGAATCTGAGGTAGAATACGCCTCACATGCTTGACTTCGCCACGATAGAAGCCTGGAACTACAACACTATCGCCGGGACGGGTCTTGTAGTCTGGTGCCGCCTCGTAGCCCGGGAAGGGCGGGTCAGGCCGCGCATAATTGTATACTTCTTGGGCTTTGGGAGTCGTCAAGGTCACGGCGTGCGGGTGCTGCTGCGTTGGCATGTCACGCAAGTCATACTTGACCACGCGTTCAAAGACGCGCGGATCGAAGACGGCGTAGTAAGGAGTCGCGCGCAATTTGGCCGCTGCTTCTTCGCGAGATGTCCACGTATCTCTTCGTCTTGCCAGAATGGCGATCCGATGCTGGGAGTGCTCTGGAGGCTTGTCGACTCCGTGCGATTGGAGTCGGTATCCGGTTTCGAAATAGGGCTCAATTAGTACCATGCCTGCGAAAAGGCGTTGGTGGAGGTGGGACACTAGAACTATGTTATTACAGCCCCATGACTGGCCGATACCGTAGATTGGAGGAGGCATCTGGGCTGCGAATGTATTGACCATGTGGAGCATATCCCTGGCGCTGTCGAGCCAGTGCGGTTCGTCTCCTATGATTTCTTCATTGAGTAAAAATGAAGCGCCATGGTGGGTCACGTCGCACGCCCAGGCACCGCGGATTGGTAGGTGGGCGACAAGTTCGTCGAGGAATGGCTCGTAAGATTCTTTGGAAGAGCCGATGCCGTGGGCTAGGATTAATGTAGGGTCTCCTGGTTTTGCTTGTCGGTCTTTTGGAACATAGTTTTTGAGAGATAAACGTAGATGGCCGTTTTGCTCGTCTTGGATTCCTCTTCTAAAGCCTCGAATGTGAGATGCAGGAATGATGTGCGAGGTGATGTTGAACAGATGCTCGGACATAATGGCGCTTGCAGGTAAGACAATCAGGAGTGAGTGGGCCAATTATCAAGACCTACTCTTTGGTCTTATATCAATCTGTGTCGAGCACAGGCTCTGCTAGCATTCTGCCGTTTTTCTTTAATTCCTGCCATTCTCAAGTCAAAGGAAGTAATAGCGAGGAGGTCGGCTTGGCTGAAGTCGATTACTCTACCTCCGGAGCAGCACGCTGACGCGCCTGAGACGCCCGAGACGCCAATGCACGACATCTCTAAGAATAGTAAAGTACTTAGCCTAACAAAAAATATTTATAAAAAACCTTTTTCTATTAATCTTTATTGTATTTAAAAAAAAAAAAAAATTTTTTTTTTTTTTTTTTTTTTTTTTTTTTTTTTTTTTTTTAAAATAAAAAATTTTTTTTTTTTTTTTTTTTTTTTTTTTTTTTTTTTTTTTTTAAAAAAATTTTTTTTTTTTTTTTTTTTGGGGGTAAAAAAATTTTTTTTTTTTTTTTATAATTATAAAAAAAAGGGGAAAAAAAATAAAATTTTCTTTTTTTTTTTTTTTGGCTACTTTCATGTTTACCTACGTCACTTCTAGCCTGTCACTCTCCTTTCTTTGTCTTACTTAACATTGTATACATCTGGCATCTGTAAATTGTCCATTCATCACAGCTCAAGTGACGTTCCTTTTGCAGGCAAATCCCGCATGTAATTGAGGTAGATGTTTCCATGACGAGAGGTAGCTTAGCTCTGGACTCTTCGATAAGTGAGACCTTAGCTCATCCGGTATTTCCTTCACGGTATCATCAGTAGTCTCTGGATTCTCATCCGAGTGCAAGAAGATCTTCATTTCCTGCTGATCGCAAAGTCACCAGCGCAGCATGAGTCGAAAAGAGGTGGTAGATGACAATCACTATGAAGAGTTTGAGCGTCATCATGGAAATGTGAACGCACGAACAAGTGCCAAAGGCCTATGGCTTATGCAACAGGCCTCTGACCTAGAACTTGACAAAAAAAATTTGCACCGCCTCCATTGCTCTGCTCAGATGGGAATATTGGCACAAAGATTGTTGTTCGCATAGGACGGCAGCGCAAGAAGAAATTCTTACCGCTATCGAACAGAGTGTAGAAGTGGCCAACATCTGGAGCAAGAGCGCTTGGGATTGGCCTTGGACCTATTTTGGAAGGCTCGGACTGGCCTCCGCTTATATCAAGGAACTCGCGGTTCTGGTGGTTTCCCCAGATGCAGAGCTTCTCCATCTGCTATCCTCTGGCTGGCCTAGCCCTTTCTTCGCAAGTTCAGGATCTGAGAAAGCTTTACCTCTCCCTTCCCTCCCCATCCCGCAACACCATTCTCGACTTCCGGTCTGACGGCTACGTACCAAGCCCACGCTCTCTTGTCGAGCTCTTCGCGGTCCAAGAGTGCCCAAGATTGGAACACTAAATCCAATGCCCGTAGGACCAGGCCTAGGTTCCATTGTTTTTCCACTTTTAGCATGGCTGCAGACTTCTTCTTTGGCGACGATGCTTCGTCCGTTGGAGACGGTACCGAGGCAAACGACTTAAGCAGATACGCTCTTGCGGATTGAGCAGTGTAGATGGGCAAGCCGGAACCTTCCGCACCCTGCGCACCAGAGACCAGCGGACCATTAGAGGAACGCAAAGCTTCGAGGTCAAGGCCCCACAGTGCTGGCTCATCATCGGCTTCGCTGTCTTGCTTCAAAGTCTTTTGACTGTCCATAGCATCTGAGGTCTCTTTCAGATTTCCTGCCGCCTCAGGTTTCTCCTTCCACTCGTAACCCCATCTCTTCATAACTCTAATACTCCTTCCCATTACACGAATTTTGGGCTGCCCTTGGCCCCAGCCATCGTTTTCAGCACTAGTCCCCTTCTCTATGCCCAAGCTGAGGGCTTTAGTCCTTGCATTCACGCTTACGACTGCTTGAGCCAGGCTTAGTCGGGAGGATAACGGCTGGGTTGGCATTGTGAATTCCAGTAACTTGGTCGCAAACGCCAAGACTAGTGGGGCTCGATTGGTGTGTACAATAATCTTCGCCAGCTCTTCCTCGTCAGCATCGGATTTAGGGAGGGCCAGAGACTCTTCGATCGCAGCTGGAGTAGCAACGTCTCCCGTAGATACGGTCTTCTTGCGCTTGGCTGGTGATTCCGAAGAAGGGTCTCCAGGCTCCCTCCCTCTCTTCTTGGTGATTCTTTTGGCAGCACTCAATACTTGCTTTGCGAGCTTCTCATCTGTAAATATAGCCTGGATAGCTGTGATGGATGACTTTGCAAGAGAGTCTGAGCTGAGTCAGAGGTCAGCTTGTTTTAATTTTGGACCAGACCAGAAAGACTACTCTTGCCTTGTGAGGTTGGCGCTCTGTAGCTCCTTAATCTTGCTCATAGCCGTTGGAAGCGGTATTCTCGCATCTTGGGAGAGAAATCGCAGCAGCGCCTGAATCTCTTTTTTGGTGGTCATCTTGGCTCATCAACAGTTGACATATTTCCTATATCGGGAGACAAGAGAGTCGAACCGTGAGACCGAAGGACGCCTGCATCACTCATGATGGCAAGGTGGAAGGAGGCAGCAGCTCCACCTAGCGTTTTACAGGCCCGCTTCACGGACTTATCTAGTCTGCAACCCTTAAAGCCGATCGGGAAAAACACGCTGTTGAAGCAGCGTCCGATCTCTATACTGAGTTACTTGGTTACTGACGCTGCAATCATCACTGCCATTGTGAGCTTCAGTTCTCCTTGTCACATTCACCTCGCCATGGTAAAGGACTCCAAAATCAAAGAGTTCCCGGATATTAGCAATAAACTTACAGCACCGACCAAGAAGTCTATCTTCGAAAAGCAGAAAGCGGAAGCGGAAGCAAAGCGTCAAAGAGAGCAGGAAGAAACAGCTGCTGTCTATGAGGATTTCGTAAAGTCTTTTGACGATGAGGAGAATGGAGTGAGATCAAGTGGTGGCCCTTCAAGAGGAGGAGGCTTTGGAGATCGAGGAGGATTCACGGGACTTGGAAAGAGACACTATTCTGGGCCACCTGCCGGAAATGCTGGCAAAAGTGGCTTGGGTGGAGGACGTGGTAGTGGACCAGGCAGTCTAGGGCCACCTTCGACATCACTATCACGCAAAAGAGCTTACGATGGATCGCTACCTACGCAGAGGGAAGGTCTGTTCGCTTTTGAAGATGCTAGGGAGGGTCCAGCAGACCCCAAGACTGCTTTACAGCACTCAGACGACGAAGACACTGGCAGTAATTCGAGGACGCAGGAGAGAGCTATACCAAAGCCTACAATTCGTCTGTCATCTCTGCCACCAGGCACGTCGCCTGCCGCAATCAAGGCTATCCTGCCCCCAAATTTGACAGTGGACGCAATACGAATGTTGCCTCCCTCTGGGCCCGGAACAATGGAGCGGAAGTCTTCATCAGCGGTTGTGACTCTGGCTAAAGACACACCCGCGCTCGACATTGATACCGTTGTTAGCGCTCTGCAAAACAGATACATGGGCCGTGGCTTCTATCTATCGCTTTCGAGGCATTTATCCTCGGCTTCGATAGGCCTGGATACGCCATCGTTGGGCCTCTCGTCTTCAATATCCTCCCTCCCATTTGGTGCACGTCCTATACCACCTCCCAATCTGGGGAGAGCACCCCCAGGTGGACATCGCGGCGGATTTGCTCCACCATCATCGTACAATTCAACACAATATGGGAGAAGCGCTCCTCAAGTCCAAGTCAATGTCAATCCACCAGGAGATCTTAAGCAGCTCAAGCTTATACACAAGACTCTGGAGGCGCTACTGACCCATGGCCCTGAGTTTGAGGCTCTCCTTATGAGCAGAAAGGAGGTAAAAAACGACGAGAAATGGGCATGGCTATGGGATTCTCGTAGTGCTGGCGGTGTGTACTATCGCTGGAGACTGTGGGACATTCTTACAGGAGCATCAAGACGAAAAGGGCGCGACTTCTCATCTTCCCAGCACATCTTTGAAGGTGGAGCAGCATGGGCAATGCCAGATAGAGGCCTGCCTTTCGAGTACGCGACCCGCCTCGAAGAGCTTGTCTCAGACTCGGATTACGACTCATCTGAAGACGAAGACTCTGGAGACGAAGGACGTAGACGATACGCTCACCATCACGGAGGAGCACCCCCACCCGACGGACCCAGTCTAGATGCCGACAACGAAGCCTACCTTAACCCACTTCAAAAAGCGAAACTTGTCCACCTCCTCGCAAGACTTCCTACAACCAACGCCAAGCTCCGTCGAGGCGACGTAGCTCGCGTAACGGCTTTTGCAATCCAGCACGCCGGCGAAGGCGCAGAAGAAGTAGTCCAGATGATTGTATCCAACGTACAAAACCCCTTCGCGTTCACCAGCGCCAATCCAGACCGCCAGCCCCCAAATGAAGAAAAAGACGACGACCCACCCGCGGAAAACACACCCAACCCTTCAACAATGGAAAAAGAAATAGAAGACCTTTCCCCAGCCAAACTCATAGCTCTGTACCTAATCTCCGACATCCTCTCCTCCAGCTCCACCTCCGGCGTCCGCCACGCTTGGCGCTACCGCCAACTTTTCGAAGCCGCCCTCAAACGCCACAAAACCTTCGAACATCTCGGCCGCCTAGACAAACGCATGAATTGGGGCCGTCTGCGTGCCGAGAAATGGAAACGCAGCGTCCAAAGCGTGTTAGCGCTATGGGAAGGCTGGTGTGTCTTTCCGCAAGCGAGTCAGGAGCATTTCGGTAGCGTCTTCGCCAATCCGCCGCTTGGGAAGGAGGAGGAGGCGGCAAAGATGGCGAGTGAGGAGGCAGAGAAGGTGGCGGAGAAGGCGAAGAGTAGGTGGAAGACGGTGGATGAGCAGACGGCGGAGAGAGAAGCTGAGATGGCGAAGCGGGCGGAGGAGGATGATAAGATGGATGTGGATGGTGAGCCGATGGTTGAGGATGAAGGAGATGTGGATGGCGTGCCGATGGAGGATGAGGATGAGGATGTTGATGGCGAGCCCATGGTTGATTCGGACGACGAACAACCCAGCGTTCCTAGAACAGAAGGATCAGAGGATCAGCCTAAAGCAGAGCTGTCGAGGCGGGAGGCACTGGCTGCTTCCATTGCTGCGAGATTGGGCAAAGGAGCTGGTCCAGAAGCTCCGAAAGCTGCGTCGCCCGCTGCAGCTGCACGGACGCGAAGGCCGAAAGCAGCAGATATGTTTGCGGATTCTGATAGCGAGTAAGATGGTAAAACATGTATATTTGATTACATCCTGGTAAATAGTGCTGTGCTGGATCATGCCGGATCGAGCCGCCTGTCAGGCAAGCTATCACCAAAAGCAAAAAGAGAAAATGAAGGCGGCACTTAGTTGGAATTAAAACCGTCTCAATGTCACGTTAAACCTGGCCACCAACCCGAAACAATGCCCCGTCGGTGAACAACCTGATTCAAAAACAAAAAGTATCGAACAGCACAAGAAACTCCCCTCGTCGACATCGACTCTGTTAGAACCCTGAGGGTTGGTAACGTACCCGACCGTCAACGTTGCCTGCCGGACCTGCGTTTTGAGAGAGAGAGAGGAACCGTTCAGACATGCTCTCTCGAAAGACGGATGTTTCCGCCCTCGCTCGTTGCCGGTACGACGTTTTCACAACCAGAGTGGGGGAGCTCCGGACGGCGAACTGGGTGGGGCCTCTTTGGAAACAGGGAAGGAGAACACTGAGGCATGCATGGGAAGAGGAGCTGATGCGATTGGATGGATACGGGAACCGGGTCTCGTGCCAACGTGCAAAAGACTGTTTGTCTGATTATGCTTTTCCGCTGAGCGTTGAGCCACCGAATAAGATGTTTCCGCTCGATGCGCGTGAGAGATGCCGATTCACCGGACACCAGACGCTCGATCCACTAACGCTCACGCATATTAAATACCAGTCACGGTGCCGACACCACGCTGCATTCCTCGGCCCTAATGGATACCACCGTGAATTGAACCACCCTTTACACTCAGCCCTTCCTTCAAGTCTTCTTACAGCAGAACCGCAGCAAGCCCAATGGCACCACCAATCACGCCTCCCGCCGCCTCGATCCTCCCAGCACCGCTTTTGCTCTTCGATGAAGCCGTGGTGCTCGCACTGGTCATCGTGGCAGTGCCAGTCGAAGAAGTAGCTGCAGCAGATGAGGTGCTAGAAGCGATGGCTTGGACGTCGGAAGGCATGAGGGTACCGCAGGTCTTGCAGGCTTCAGAGCCGGGGTTGGCGATACGGCATTGGGCGAAAGTGGCTTCGCAGATGAAGTTGGGCAGGGTGCCTTGGTATGCGGCTATGTTTGAGGGACCGGTGCCGTTGGCGCAGGTGCAAGTGAATTCGAGGGATGACTAGAAGGGGTTTGTTAGCTAAGTTGGGTGGGGCGTTTTGGGGTTGAAGAATGGATTGAGAGTGGGAGAATGAGAAGGTTGGTGAGGGTGTTGGTGATGATGATGGTGACGGTGGTGGTGATGCTGCAGCTGGGAAGAGTCTTGTGTGGGACTTACGCCAGTGCAAGAGTTAGCTTTGGTCTGTGTTTGTCCACCACATAACGTTGGGCAGTTGGCCGTTTCGCCTTGACACCATTGATCTACGTTCCCCGTCAGCATTGGCGTTGTCAATAGGATTGGAAGTCGAGGAGAGGTATCATACTCTTCTCAGTCAAATCGACAGAGGTGGGATCGAAAGTGGTGTTGCTCTGCGCGGCGGCAAAGCTCAGGACGAGGGAGATAAACAGGAAAGTAAGGGATAGCATGTTGATTTTGATAGCGCTGTTTTCGCACTGGATTGAGGCTCTCTGATCTGAGGGATTGGTGAGTGGATTGATGAGATTTATAAGGCAGATGAAGATGTTGATGTTGATGATACTCTTTGACGTGATAGAGTAGCAGGTGTTTGGGGAGGGAGAAGAGTTGAGTTGAGTTGAGTTGAGTGAGTGAGTTGTGTGATGATGAGATTGCTCGGGGACTGGGGGAAATTTGAAACCGAAATATCTTGGACTTTTAAATAATCGCGCTAAAAAGATAAGTAAAGTACCTTACTGCAAAATAAAGTAAGGATAGAAAATACGCTAACGATTTAACGTCCAGAATCCGACCAACCGGGACAGATGGGTTCCAACGGCAACGATTAGGTACATGTACATGTATATCTTATTAATTAACATATCGCCACCTCCAGAATTACGGCGGACGAAGGCTGATACTACGACAAAATCAAATCATTAGATTTTTTTCTGATTCTATTTTCTTTCTTTACGATTTCTAGTATCTATAGATTCTAATGTCTTAAGTTCTCTTTATAATATTTATAGAATACCTTCTTAAGATAATCTTATTAAGATTTCTTCTCGAAGTATTCTCAAGACACTCTTTAGGGCATACTCTCCGAGGTACTCTTCGTGATACGCTTCGGGTACTCCGGTATTCCCGAGTCGCTTCGGGTACCTTCGGGGACGCTCGAGTACTCTCCGGTAATCTTCGAGATCCGCTTCGAGGTACCTGAGAATTCTTCGAGAAATTCTTTTAAAATACCCTATAAGCTAGAGTTCTCTTTATAATATTTCTAGAATACTCTTCTTAAGATGATTTTTTAAGATGTCCACCAGGTCCTTCTCGAAGTTTTTCTCAAGACACTCTTTAGGGCATACTCTCCAAGGTACTCTTCGTGATACGCTTCGGGGTACTCTCCGAGTATTCTCCGAGGTTCGCTTCTGGTACTCTTCGGGGTACGCTTTCGAGTACTCTCCGGGTAATCTTCGAGATCCGCTTCGAGGTACTCTTGAAGAGATATTCTTTCGAGAAATTCTTTTTTAAGAAATACTCTTTGAGTTGACAGGGGTTGCCTAGCCAACATGACTAGTGGGCCTTGACCATAGTAGATATCAGGCTCTACACCAGTCATACATAGTCCAACTTATCCTTCTACCTCTGAACGTATCTAGTTAATCCCTCTTGCAATCAAGTCGATTTTGTTTTTGATAGTTTAGTTTTGTCGTAGTGTTATAGCATTCGTCCGCCGCCGTAACAGATCGATTTCAACGGCAACGATTCATAGGTACATATATATGATTATGTCGCCACCTCCAGAACCTCGATTCGTCTCCCCCATAATATAAATAGGACATAAATAGTAAAGTAGTCACGGATAATAAATACCTTTCACCCGACGGCATCCGCCCTGCAGGCATTATTCTTCCTCTTTGGCGTTTTCAATCTTGGCTTGGCTCTCAAAACTTGACTTCTAGTGGAATCGATCAGTATACATTGTAGGATTATCACACCTACGTAGCTCTTTGATAGTCGCCCAAGTCAAAAAAGCTGGTGCGCATGAATATCTGTCGAATCCCGAATCGAAAAAAGACGCCTCATACCGAATTGCTAAGTCCTGTAAAAGGGCTCCCAGGACCTCGGTCTCATATGCGCCTTGGTGAAAGTAAATCCTTTCCCCCGAGAACCATGGGCTGGCAGTCCACATAACTTCAACATATCATAACTCCTCTTCCATTTCCTCTGCCTTCACTGCCTCATCTACTGCCTGTGATCCGAGCTGGCCGCCAAATATGACCTTCTCTTGTGTAGACAGGCCCAAGATATCGCCAAAGCCAGGCTTGTCCTGTGCTACCGGCCCAACATTCTTCTTGTCTTGCGCAGTGGCTCCAAGCACATCTCCATTGGCACCCAAGAGTCCCAGTCCAAGCTTCGATCTCACACCTTCCTCGTCTAGTCCTGAGACGCTCGCTCGCTGCCTCTTGAGTGGGCTGCCAATCATTGCATCCTCAGGTGCTTTGGAAGAGCCTCCGTCATAGACAGTACTCGGGAGGAGCGTCGTGGGTGATTGCGCTACGTTTTGCTGATATGGAGGGGTAGAACCTGCGGTAGGAGTGTTGGAGGGGGGAGATTTCCTGTGAGCAGGCGCAGGCGAAGGCAAGTCCATCTGATCAGCGGAATGCTGTCGTTTTAACTAGATTGATTGTGAGCATCGGCGAGAGTCTTCAGTGGACTGAGGTATGCTTACCCTTATCTTCTGGACACCTTCTGCCAGCTCGCCTTGGCGTCTGGCGTCCTCTGGCGATAGCATACCATTGGCTTCCTGGATATCATCTCCCTCGGTCTTGATCAACACTTCTTTCGAAATCCCAACGTCTTCGTCGCTGTCTTCATCGTTGGACCTCTTGTTGCCGGCTTTGTCTTTGACCCCGTTTGTCTCAGATCGCTCATTTGGGTCTCGAAACGTCGAGAAGCCCATAAGACCGTTCGGGTTTAGAGGTTTCAGCTTGGCAAAATCGGCTTGCATTGATCTTCGCTTGCCGTTCGAGGCTGCAAGCTTGTCTGGGGTTTTTGGTGATATGGGGAGGATCCCCATCTTCTGGAGTTGCTCTGGTATACATTAGCTCCGTAGCGTATTTTATGATTGAAGAGTGCTTACTTTCGCCACGGTACAGAAACGTGAAGACAGCGAATGGTCTATCTGGAGGATCGATCCCAGTCACCGTCTGCGTACTAATCGACTTCGGATCTAGTGACTTCGGCTGGGCAAAGCTCGTTGTATGATCTACTTCTTCAGTGCTGTTCCCATCAGTCTTTGCTCCGTTCTCATTGCCTCTGCCCATCTCATCGTCATCATCGTGAGCATCGAATTGGGGCGAATATTCTCCCCTCTTGATCTCTCCAGATGCCAGTACCCTGAACAAAGCAACCTTGATCTGCCCCGTTGATTCAGGTACTGGGTCATCATCTGAGTCCGAACCTGACCCCGAAAGGAACATCTCATCCGAATCCGACATCTGCTCCAAGGGCGATTGGTTGTCTGCCCCATACCGAAGAACACCTTTTTCGGACCGGTCTTGTCCTCCCAGCAGCGAGGACTCAGCTTCGTCATCGCTGTCTGTTTTTAGCTTTCTCCGCCGTCTCTTTTTTTCTATCTTCTGTCGTCGTCGCTCAATCTTTGCGGCTGCATCCTTCCCTTCCAGATCAAGCCCGTTCAACCATCTCTCAAGCCCTACTTCTCGAAACAGGAACTCCCGTTCTGCAAGGCCCCCACCCTCTGACTCGGGTACACCAACCCATCTTGAGTTGACCCATGTCTCCTCTCCTCTTCGTAGAAGCGTAGCAACCTCCTCTTTGGCCCTGCCGTCAAAGTAGATGTACGCAGCGATGGTCTCGTTGGGTGATGTAGTTAGAGGAACGTAGGGACCGATAACACTCCCATATCTCCCTCGATCTCCTGTGAGGCTTGGTAGCCCACTGACTATTCGAGGTCTTGGGTAAGGGTTCTCTGGTGCTGATTTGGGTTGGGAGTACGGGACATTGAGACCCGGCGTGAGTAGTGTAATAGAGATAGCGAACGTAGATTGCTCAGGTTGGTTGGACGTCGAGTTCTGTGGTATTTTGGCAGGTGGAACCGGGATGTAAGAGCTTATGCGAGAGAATCGGGATTGCTTCTGGATGGAGTACTCTGGAAGTGGACCTTCCGGTGTATGAATGCTGACAGCAAGACCCTTAAAGCAAGGCATCTCTGCTAAGGACTGTGCTCTGTCGACCCAGAGCTTGGTGAATCGGCTCACCCCAAAGAGCTATCGTAGAGCTTTGCTAGCAAACCTCGTCAGTGCCAACAGGACAGATTCGCTGCGACGACCCGCGTGGCTGATGTACCCAGTTTGTATGCCTGGATCGGCGGCTGAATTTGGATCCAAGAGAGTTTGTCGGTCAGAAACCTTGGGGGCAGGAGAGCTTCGGGAGACACCAAGTCTTCAGGCGGGGCCGGGACGAGAAGAGCTGGCCGGTGAAGCTGTAAGAGCGAGCATCGCCTCTACAATGAATACGGCATATGCAAAAAAGGGGAGCTAAGAAGAAGAGCAAGTGATCAGATCATCTCTGTGGTGTTGAGTCCTGGGAAAGAGTAATGCTCGTGACGCGGAGAGTCGCCTTCTTTCAATATGGCTTTAGCCTCAGACGTAGGGCTGAAGCAAAATTGGGGATAACGACGGTACGAGCAGCACCATGAGTGCTAGTTTGAGCGTGTTTCAACGCAGATTTTTCGGGCAGTCTTGCACCGACGTACTGTTGGTCATAATGTTTCCCTGACCATTTATGTTAGTCGACTGATACGTCAACATTTACTCTACGCTAACATGGTGGCAAAGCTAGGAAGACATGCAAAGCCGACACACAATATCATAGAACTCCAGTGGGAACACCTTGCTCATAATCCCACCCGCGATACCCTCATGACCCACATCATGTTCTCAACGCCCCCAGTACCCTACCATCGCGAACCTAACCCAATCACAAAGAAGCGAAAAGTAGAGGGGCCAGAAAGTATGCCAAACAATCAATGAAGCAAGAATAGTCCACCAGCGTTAGTCAGTCATCCATCCATCCGCACTGACAAGAACTCGGAGGTGTAAATCTCTTGTCCATGGCTCCCCTCTTTTGGGAAAACCCGATGGTGAAGCAGCAGGCGCTGAAAGAGGTGGACCACCAGTGATCCCCTGCATCGCCTGATTCTGAATGAGGCTTTGGCTTTCAGTCTCGGAAAGGTAAACGGTGTTTACCAGGTGCGTACTCGGATTGATGACAGGACCCGGTTGGTAGGTATTTAGGATCTGCATCTGTTTGCAATATGGCTGACTAGGGTTTAGTGGGCGGCGCTCTTCGATCTTCACAGACTTGGGATAGGATGCTGGACTTGTAGGACTTTGACGTTTGAACCGTGATCCCGGGAATTGAGAAGACCCTGAGCTCGATGCTGCTGCGCTGGGAGACGCATTCGATGCACTGGCGCTCGCGTCCTGAGTAACGAAGATGAAACCTTCAAGGATCGTATTGTTCCAGTAACAGAACCAAGGCCTGTCGACTGGTTTTGCAATTGAGTCACTCGTCCATTCATCATCGTCTTGCCGTCCTATCAAGCTTCCGTGGTTTTCAAGTCCTTTGTCGGAGAACCAACGCTTGAGAAGCGACCGCTTCGCGTTTGGTATTCCACCGGGTATATCTCCTTCGTGGACAATGACAACCTTGTCGTACTGTTGCTGAAAAACATACGCAGGGCCCTTGTTGAAGTCGTCTTTGTCTTTCATGAGCACCAAGTTGGCTGGTTGCTTGAGTTGCGGAGGCTGGGAGCCATAACGCACGTAACCGTCAGAGGGCGTCTCATATGATAGAGATATTATTGGAGCATTCGAGGCTGCCATGGTCACTACCATACTTAGATTGGCGCCCGTTGCGCAGTCCCAAGCACAGCTTTGAGCACTGTTGGTCAGGCATGAGTTCGTGTTAGAGACGGAATTGGTCAGAGAAACAGCAAAGGTGCCAGTTGGAAGAGCTGGAAGGTTGGCTGGGGTGGAAGCAAGCGGTACTGCATCCGGCAGGCTCGGCATCATGGTCGCCGTGACTGTGGCAGTCGGTGCACTGCTTGAGCAAGTTAGCGATTGTAGAAATTGAGTAATTTGGTATATCCTACGCTGAGCTTGCTGAGGCTGTGACAGTATGTGCGGCTTCTGGCTCATTGTATCTTGTGGCTTCTTCGATGTGCTTATGGGCTATCATACCCCCAATTCCTCCTCCCAGTATGACCGCGAGGATCACGACCACTGACATGACAAATAAAAGCCAACATGGGATTACGCCGCAGCAGACTCGAACTCTGCTCTTGCTCTTTTCTCGGACTCTTTCCTTGAAGCTCCCACCTTCGTCTTTTGGAATGGCGGAAATAGCAGCAGTCGAATTTAATTGCGTGGAGCTGTCACCGAAAGGATTTGTGGAGCTTGCGTTGTCTCTTGAGCTATTCAGATGGTGCCTGGTGCTATGCAATGTCTCCTGTGAGTCTTCTGGTGCAGCTGGCACAGCGCTTCTCCTGATACTCCCGCTTTCGGAAATGTAATTTGGCGGTACGCCACTTCTCCTAACACTCCCCATTCCTGACGTGTACTTAGGTGGTATGCCGTTGGCGAATCGAGTATAGGGAGGGAGTTGCTCTGCATAGCCATCCGGGCCTATAAGGTCGTCAACATCTTCTCGATCAGGTCCAAGATGTCGCTGATAATCCTGATCCATGCCCGGAAAGCCAGCAACAGGAATTTGCTCATCCTCCGGGACAGTGTTTTGCGGGTACATGCCGTAGGGTTGTGTAGGTCCACTAGGTCCGGAGTAAGATCTCTCTGGTTGTCTTATCGTTGACGTTGTTGCTATGCTTGGAGTTCGTGTCAATCCGATGTCCTGCGGATACATTCCATACGGGTGGCTAGGTCCCATTGCTCCCCGATAAGGACTTTGTGCGCGAGAGAAGTCAGACATCGGTGTGGTCCTTGTTGATCTTTGTAGTGCTGGAGTAAAACTTCCGAGGTCTGAAACGGACGTGACACTGCGAGGTCCATGAGAGACTCGTGAGGCATGATCATCAACTGTAGGTGCAACTGAACTGCTCGTTTCACTTCGCTGTGACCCTCTGCTTCGCCGTGTTCGCGATTCGAAGGATTGTTGTCTATACGATGATCGCCTGGACGGAACGAAAAGTGAAGTGCCGTCATGACCATCATCACGATCCGTAGGGGTTTCGTAATGGCCATCGGTCACTTCATATGGCTCCAGGGCAAATTCATCGCTGAACACGTCTGTATGCGAGGAACGGACAGATCCACGGGCTCGTGATGGTATCTCGAGCATTGAACGTCGGTCGGCCTGGTTCGCCATTGGGAGAATCTCCGTTCTGCGCAAGTTTGGACACCAGCCTCGGAATCAACAGCGGCGCCAATCAATCTCTGTCGACGTCAATGCATTCTCAACTCTCTCCTCTTCTCAACTCCGCTCTCGTTTGCGGCGGCCAACTTCTGGAATCGTGGTGGTTGAAGATGGAATTGTGGACAACTGATCGGGCCAGGAGGTGCGTTCGGCCGGTCAAGGCTTGGCTTGGCTTGGCGCTTCAACGGAAAATACCAAAGACAAAAAAGCCCCTGAAAACATCCAAATAAAAAAAAAAACATTAAATCAAAAAAAACCCTAATAAAAAAAAACACCATAATCTAATACAAAAAAATAAACTACAAAAACCAGAGAAAAAGAGAAACAGGTGGACCAAAGCCTCTCTTTTGTGATGTCAAATTGCACGTGGATGGCGATTTGTTTTCCGATCCATTGATCATCGACCGGTATCTGCCACGATTCGCATGCGTCTATAAATGTCTTCATACACAGGCTATTCCTTGCTCATTTTGTACATACTATCTATCATACATACGATATAGTCACAGGTTCGCGGATAAACATGGTCCGAAATCTTCCAGTTACAGACTTGACACTCCGTACCGTCGAAGGTATTGGACTGTAAAATAGTTCTCTAGTATCGCGATCAACTCACCAACATAGTACGGACGTTTGCGTGTCCTAATGACTTGATCAGGTAATGACTTGATCAGGCTAAGATGGAAGTACCGTATACGGTTCTGCGGCGAGGATAATATACCAGGTCTCTGCCCGTGTTCAAGGATTTAATGCAGCTTGGCGCTCGAGAATCAGGGTTATCCTGGATGCACAATGGCGTGCAAGGTCTTACGTCTAAGGTATGGTACTGACCGGCTCTGGGACAGCCAGTCATTCCACAATATTACAGCCTTATGTAAAGTACCGGATGATATGATAGTGCTTCTGTTACGGGCACCAGGGGGATTGATTGTTTCGAAAACCAGCACTTTGTCAGGTTTCCGCCCATGCCTTGTTGAAAGATACAGTAGCTGCTGGCCCAACGCTGGAGATGAGCCCGTAGATGACAGCTGGGGAATGATCGCTCCAGGGAGTATTGCTATCCTCCAACGTTTCACTCCTTCTTGCAATGTAGGCCTAGGCTTTGATTTCGTATTTTCGCTTGAACATCTCATCGACTTCGGTCAAATAATAGGTCCCCTTGGTAATGGTCTCGGGGTTGCCCTTGGGCGTGTAGCCCTTTTGCAGATGTGCCTTTTCTCGAAGTAGGCACATCTAGTACATCGTCAGCAAGTACGTTCTCACCCGCCTAATGAATGATGGCTCACCTCATCATACGTCTCAGGGGGCACCGTCCTTCTTGCATCTAACCTCTCATGCAAGTTGAGCTGCTTAACCATGGGGCTGATGTCCCCTACAACCTTCAAGCTGAAGAAAGAGCTAGCCAGGCCGCTTCCGTAACTGAAAATACCAACGCGTCTGCCTGTGAACCCCTCGCGAGGTGCGTTGCTCAGTAGAGCGACCAGAGAACCGTAAACGCTAGCACAGTACATGTTGCCGCACATCGTAGGCACTTGAACACCAGGCTGCACTCTCGTCTGGAACTTCTTCTTGCTAAGAGCCATGAAAGTTTTCTCAACGGTCTTGTCGGTCAGCGATTCCTCATAGCTCAAGTCTCGAAGCTCCTTCGGCACTGACTCGAACGTTGGATTTTCCGGATTGACTCGGTAATCGTTGTAAAGCAAACGGGCGTAGGATTTAGCAACCAGCTTACACGTTGGAGAATGGAAAAGCACATGGTCGAAACGGTCAAGTGGGGTGACATCTTCTGGTGTGTTATGGACTCCGTTTGCAATCCCGCTCTTTTGTAAAGACGCTTCGCGTTCGTTGTACGCCTTGTAGCAAGCGTCCACTGCTTCAGTGTAACAACTGACGGAGAAGTGGCCATCCACAACGGGATACTCGGAGGTCAGATCTGGCTTGTAGAAGTCGTACGCATGCTGCATGTAGGTACCCCGCTTGCCTGGCTCGAAGGCAAGAGGCGCATCAGGACCTACTAGCATAGCAACACAGCCGGCACCACCTGTAGGACGAGCGTTTCCCTTCTTGTAGAGAGCGATATCTCCAGCGCAAACGATAGCGTCGCGTCCATCCCACGCAGAGGATTCTACCCAGTTGATGGCGTTGAAAAGCGCGTTAGTGCCCCCATAACAAGCGTTGACAGTGTCCACTCCTTCAATGTTGGTGTTGCCGACATCTTGGAACAGTTGCATAAGGACTGACTTGACCGATTTGGATTTGTCAAGAAGCGTCTCTGTGCCGACCTCTAGGCGGCCGATGGACTTGGGATCTATGGAGTATTTGCGGAGAAGGGTTGAAACTGTTGTCAGGGCGAAGGAGTAGATGTCTGCATGATGTCTCGGTCAGCTTGAGGGTACTTTGAAACCCTGTATTATTTATGTTTACCTTCTCGATCATCGCAGAAGCTCATTTTGGTCTGTCCAAGACCGATTGTGTATTTCCCTTGGCTAACGCCATCGAACTTTTCCAGCTCAGCCTGGTCGACACACTATACATTCGAATCAGTAAAATCCCTTATGTGAGAGTAGGATGGAATGAAAAATAGGGCAGAAGCATTGGAGACCTACCTGGCTCGGGAAGTAGATTTCGATGGCCTTGATGCCAATGTTCTGGGGTCGAGATGCCATATTGGACGTAGTCAGGCTGCAGGGCAGAAAGTTGGAAGTCGCGTGAGGAAGTAAACAGATGGAAAAGGGGTGTGAGAAGACTAGAGTACTGAGGGAATGATGTATAAAGACAGTTCCAATGCAATATGCGCACAGCTGAGCTGTTTCCCCTTTCTACTCGGGTCTCAATGACCTGTAATAAGGATAAATACGGTCTACTTGGTACTTGAGTAGGAGCTCAACAATCTTCGGATTTTCTCCACCCCGAGATTTTCACTCCGCTTTTCATTGCTTGCGACTGTGCTAAGCTTTCTCGGGTCTTTGCCGAACACCGGGGACGATCAATAGTATGCCGAGTCAAGTGAAGAATAATAAACATTGAAGGAATCCAGATAAGGCAGGAAAGGATAGGTACTCGTACGGTACTCAAAATAATGTCCAGATACAAGCGCCTACTCTTGACTTTTGATGCTTTCGGCACTCTCTTCACTCCCCGAGAAACCATCGGCAAGCAATATGTATGTACGTTTCTGACTGTTTCTCGGCATTTCGATCTAATTCGTGAGACCTGCCTTGGACACGGCAATGGCTCTTTCCCCCCGGTTGTGCTCGCTGGCCTGATCTTACTGTTCGAAACTGTGTGATGTGAAAGGCAACGCTGATTCCCACGTCTTCATCAGGCCGAAGTTGCCCGAAAACATGGGCTGTCTGGCTTTACTAATGATCAGATAGAATCGAGTTTTCGAGCTGGTAAGGCCTCAAAATCTTTAGGCACCGGGATTTTGCTCCAAGATCCATAGCATGCTAATCTTCTGCACGATCTAGCATTCAAATCAGAGGCAGGTCGATTTCCTAATTATGGAAAGACCGTGGGGATGAGTCCTTCTCAATGGTGGTCCAACGTAAGATGTTTTTCTATAATTCTATTACACGAGATGCGTGCTATATGTTTCAATTAGACTTGGGCTGTCAACCATTCAAATCAATTTCCACAACGTTTTGTTCGTTATCTTGAGGCCATTCTCCCTCGAAGTCGAAGTATCCAACAGAAGGTTCTCTTGGGAAAATGGGCTTGTCTTAGTGTGTGTGTTGCTTGCCTGCAAGGCAATGTGAAACCAATATCTCATGTCCATCTTCCTGAGTAGAGATTTCCTAAGAAACCTGGCAATTTACAGATCATTAACGCCACATTTCGTCCTTTCAACTCTGAGAACAGCCTGCCTGAACGACTTGTACCGGACCTGTTGACTCACTTCAGCTCTGCAGCAGGATACACGTTGTATCCCGACGTTCTGCCCTTCTTCAAATCCTTAAGGCAGATAAAAGTAGCCTCACATGGAGACTTCGTTTGGTCTAAGCCTATCATTGGCGTCATCACGAACTCGGACGACCGTGTGCCGTCCATCCTCTCAAGCTTGGGCTTGCAGGTCGGCTTGTGGAGACACGGAACTGACTTCCAGGCCTCCTTCAACGCAGAGGATGACATCAACTTTGTCATGCTGAGCTACGACGTCGGTTTTGAGAAGCCTGATTCTGATATATTTGATACCACGAAGCAGATGGTGCCCGGACAAGAGCGACTTCTGCACATTGGCGACGATCTACAAAATGATTACTACGCGGCAAAACAAGCTGGATGGGAGGGGCTCCTGCTGGATCGAAATGCTCAAAATAGACAGGAGAATTCTGGACCAGTACCGCGCATCACGGATCTGCAAGAATTGACACCATACATCAAATGATCCTTACGAAAAATCTTTAGGTCCAAGATAGCACCCACACTCAAACTAGGTGCACTATTTGAATTTGCTGGAAGACCACACAATCAACGTTTTCTTTTCAAAATGTTGTATAAACGTTTGGAGCGTGGAAGCCATTCGAATTCAAGCAGAAGAGTTTATAGGGAGAGACATTCAAATTCCACCCTGTTGAGCCATATTGAGGTACTATTAGGGCATGGCAAGAATAAGCATTCCCCGGAGAGCTCTCAGAGAGCCCCCGAATGATTCGCGTGCTTCGAAGTATTTGAGTGGTTCTTTGGGGGAGCCCCCCGAAACCCTCCAGGCCCTCCGGGAGCCCTTCTCACAAGCTCGATAGTGTAAAAAGAGTCCACTCATATTTCCTTACTCTTAGTACATCTTTACGTACACTTTATCAAATTTCATCTACGCTATAACATTGGAAAGCGCATAGTTTAGTCTATAAGTTTATAAGAATTTATTTTTATTTTCTAATAGAGGTGAGGAAAGGAACCAAAAAAGATAGATTTAAAGATTTTGAAGTTGCTTTTTCCAGCTTTCTCTTTGGGACGGTACGTCTTTTACCAAGACTCCCAAGCCAAGACCGGATAACGCCCCGGGCGATGCTTTGGGATTACACCCAGGTGAAGGAACCCCAGCCTCGATGTGGGGTTAAGTCTAGGCTCAGTGCCCGTATCGCACCCAAAGAAGACACCTAAAGTTGAAATTATCCGCTTGCAAAAAGAAAGTCTTAGGTCTCCAGCTATAGGGCTCTCTTCCGAAAGTAGGGTTAGGGCTTACACTAGCGCTGCCTACGACTTTTGGTGCAGACCTCCGTACTCGTATAATCCAGAAGTGAGTTCTTTGATAGAGTAAATTAAGGACACCAATAGATTAACCGACATTCGGCTAAGTGGAAGGATTTATTGGTGTCCTCGCTCTATCAAAGAACTCACTTCTGGATTGTACGAGTAGAGATGAAGAGATAAGGTGAGTTTTAGCACCGGGGAGCAAATTTGAAGGATCTGATTGGTTACTGAAGTTTTGGCTCGCTGAGAAAGCAAGCTTTCCAATTAAGAGAAATCAACATGGATTATACTTCGGATGCTATTCCCATTGCTTTCGACATACCGGTATTTCAAGGACCCGTACTTTACCTGATGGTAACCGATTCCCGGGCACTTGCAGAAGTCCCTGCATCTCTAGATTCGGGCTCTAAGCCAGACGCTAGTGAGATGCCGAGCTTCGCACATATACGGAGATAAGTGGACTTTACTCATGAGTTCATGACCATCTGGCTTGAGACAAAACCATATAGTTCAGTGAGTACCGCTCTGAAGTTTCTCTACGGGTTTCTTTTTTCTTTGACTTGCACACTATACCCATCCTTGCCAGTCGCTTCTGCTTTTTAGCCCCACTGTTACATAGCATAGCGCCTGCACCATGGACCTATCGAGCCCCGCAGCGATAGCCCGCCTCATCCTTCCCAAAGTCCCTCTCATGCTCCAAATCGCAATCTGGCATTCCCTCCGGATTCCTCAAACTGCCACGAAATGGGATCTCAAAACCGAGCTTATTGTCAAGACATTGCGATCTATGCTCAATTCCTCCCACCCTACGCCAATCTCGGAGCAGCAGAGGACGTCCTTGCACGACCCAGGAATAAAAGGGAAGATGTGGATATCGAAAACTACATTTCCAGCTCCAGAACAAGACCATGTTCTCAGAATCCTTCATCAAGCCGTAGAAGATTTGAAAGAGCCGGGCGAGAGATATACACCTGCTGTCATGGCTGCTGTTGAGGTAGAGTGGACCGGCTACCGTGCTAACGTTGACAATCATCGCCAACGGCCTGACCTTTCCGAACGCCAACACTACTCAAAACTCATGTCAGAAGTAAGAAGTGACGTGACGTTACTCTACTTTCATGGTGGTGCGTTTTTCATGATGGACCCTTCTACTCATCGGGCCACCACCTCCCACCTCGCTCACTTGACCAATGGCCGCGTCCTCTCTGTCCGCTATCGTCTTGCTCCTCAAAATCCTTTCCCCGCCGCCCTCCTCGACGCTTTGATAGCCTACCTCTCTTTACTTTACCCTCCTTCAGCAGAGTCATTCCATTCCCCTGTCCCAGCACCCCACATAGTCTTAGCAGGCGACTCTGCAGGTGGCAATATCTGTGTCTCCCTCGTACAGCTACTCCTCCAAATAAATCGCTCCACAACAAAATCAATACTTTTCCACAACCACACCATTGATTTACCTCTGCCTCTGCCAGCAGCGTGCTCGACCATGGCTGCATGGCTAGACATTACACGGTCTATGCCCTCCGTGACAGCGAACGCCCGTTACGACTATCTTCCCCCACCCTTCAGTCGAGAATACGCATCTACGTTCCCACACTGCGAAGCTTGGCCTACGGATCCACCAAGAGGGGACCTATACTCGGATACCAGCATTTTATCTCATCCTCTGGTGTCTCCGCTGACAGCGAAAGATTGGACCGGTAGTTGTCCGCTGTGGTTTTCTTACGGCGAGGAAATGTTGGCGGATGAGGTGCAGGTTGTAGCGTCAAAGGCGGCGAAGCAGGGTGTGACAGTTGTCTCGGAGCAGTGGGAAGCTATGCCCCATTGCTTCGCTCTAATACTGTTGGGGAGTTCGATGAGCAAAAAAGCCTACCAAAATTGGGGAGCATTCTGTCAGGACGCCGTGAAGGGAGAAAATTCAAGAACAAGAGGGCTGTGGATTGAAGCAAAGACAGGAAAGGAGAAAGAGGTCGACATAGAAAATATATGTAGACTTAGTGATGGAGAGGTTAAAGAGAGGATGGAAGCAGCGAAAGCAGCAAGACATTTAGGTGTCGAAGGAGAAGGCAAGTTGTTGCCAAAGCTGTAAGACGAAGCCGATTTCACAATGTATGCAAACTGAACCGGCACATATGGGTGTTTCCATGTCACCCAGATAGAAGATTGATGGAACGAGAAACCCGATACTAGTGTTACAGGCTCGCAGGAAACATCTCGGAATCCGTCAAGTGCATTGCTAGGATAGTCAGGGGTCGGCATGAACCTCTTTGGATATCAGAAAACATTAACTGCCGTTGGTATATGCAAACACTACAAGGGGTGGGTTGCCACTTTCCTGGGCAACTTACCTGCCGTCCCCACGCGCAAATAAATGTTACCTTGCGCCCTATACTCTCAATCCACGCATGAAGATATACAGATAAGCATGGCTTCTTCTTGAAACCGTCGACCGTGCTCCGGAACAACATGATCTGAAAAAGAGCTTTCGGTCGCTCTAACTTTGACAATGGGTCGATCGATGGGATCGTCGCGAGCTTCAAATGGGGTTAATTCCTGATGCAGGGCTCAAAGTATTAGCTACTGGTCATTCCGCGAACGTGTGCGTGCAGTAGGGACATTGAATGCAGGATCAGACTGTTGAGCTTGAATATTGTTTTGTTACTTCATGAGATATCAGAAGTTATCGTTTAGAAGTAGGAGTCATCACGGTAGAAATGAAAATCGAATCATGGAAGAAGACCTACCAATTACCACGCTCAATGGCCGGCGGTATGCGGCCTTATGACTTCGCCCACAAGATTTATTTAAGATAGCAGCAATCATTTCGGTGTCAGTCCGTTGTACATGAAACCCAGAGGGTGATCTGATGTTTTTGTGGAGATGTAAAAATCGAAAGACAGTTTGAGAGCTTCTCAAGCGTGGGGCTTTGCCGCGGGCTTGGCATCCCAGATCCCTACTCATTTGGTCATGTCTCTCCAACAGCCCATCAAAGACGAACCCATCGCGTGAACTGTCTACGGACGAACCTCCATTGCGAGTTACAAGACTCGAAGTCCATATCCGATAGACCAACAGCCCAAGACCTCACAAAATGGGAGGTAAGCAAGCTCTTTTCTTCCGCCTGCTCTAGCCACCGCGCCCAAGGCAGTGCAACGGTGCTGCTTCCCACCTCCCTGCTAACACCTCCTCTTAGACTTCAACGCTATCGCTCGTAAGTGTGATACACCGCTGCATAGCTCCGCCTCTCGAATACGATATTGAGCAAGCCGAGATGGACTAAGCAACATGCAGAGCAATTCACGGAATTCTACTACAACACCTTTGATCAGGACCGCAAGAACCTGGCTGCCCTCTACGTTCGTAGCCACCTCGAAACTCTAGACTCCGATTTACTGAACGAGTGCCTGAGAAGCGCGACAACTCTATGCTCACATTTGAAACATCAGCTATCCAGGGCGTGGCTGGCATCATTGAGAAGCTAACGGTATGGAGCACGCTCCAAACACAACACGTCGATATGCTAACGCGGCTCCAAGAGCCTGCCATTCAAGACTGTTGCCCATAAAGTGTCTACCCTCGATGCACAGCCCTCGAACGAGAGCGGAGGTATATTGGTCATGGTCACTGGGGCACTGCTAGTAAGCCCTTGCTCTATTGGTGGCTGTCTGTGGTAATAGCTGACGTATTGGCTGTTTCACAGGTCGACGAGGAGCAACGGCCGATGAATTACACCCAAGTCTTCCAACTGCTTCCGGACGGCTCGGGCAGCTATTTTGTGTTCAATGACGCCTTTCGGTTGATCTATTAGTGGATAATCGATACGATGGGGTGGAGAGGAAGGGCGATTTGCGGATGTCCTCAAGATGATAAACATCTCCTGGGCAACACGAGATATCGGCTGTTTGTTGCAGGTAGAGCAGCATAGCGGGAGTTTGTACTTTAGTTTAGAAGCACTTGGGTACTTTTCCCAAAATCTGAGGGTGAAATACACAATTATGTTCCTTGTAATTGATACGAATGGTTGCTCTATTGCTGTCATGATGTGACGACGTGGCGCTGAGGCTGGGACTCATGTCGCCTCTTGCAGGCAACAACTTGCTACTTTGCCTTCTCCGAAAACCGGTTGATAACAGCACACCATACTCTCAATGAAGAGAAAGCTTGCCCATTCCGTTATTTTACCAAAATCAATGATCGTTGGATACGGCCGCTCTCATAGAACTGCGGCAGTCGCAGATCTCTGAGCCCTGCGCTAATTCGTAGACCTACCCACGCGGCAGAAAGCCTAGACACTAACCAAATGGAGATTACGGCCCCCCACCAAATTTCTATGCGGAATACCATGTTTCTCCATTAATAGCCGTCCTTCGTCCATCACCGTCTAGAACAGCCTACGATCCTTTCAGGCATACTAATTACACACTCATTTATGGACTAAGAGGGGGAAATTTGGGTGTGAAATTGTATGGGGGGGCCCTTGATCTCCTAGCTTAATATCAGGTTAGTGTCCAGGCTTTCTGTCACCCGCGTGCTACCTTAGTGAAACCTTGACATTTATTGTCAGCAATCTGAATTCTGGAGAAGCCACGACCAAGAACCTCAAGTATTGACCAAAAGCTATCTTCACTGAACGATATCTACAACGTCCTTAGTTTGCAGCTCTTGCTGCCCGTCGACCATCGTTAGACTTCTTCCCTTGAAGCAACCTTGAACGCATAACCGCCAAAAGAGCAATTGCGCGAGCGCTCATCCCCTCACCTGTTGAGCCAAGTTTGGCGAGCACAAAGGCCCTTCAAGACGACGAGAGTAATCTGGAGGTTCTAAGATGACGCTCACCGAAGAGCTGAGGTCGCGCAACTTCAGTGAGTAGCGCGACAGCTCTTGGACACGGGGCTCTGCTAATACACTGCGTGCCACAGGCATCTATGGGCAATGGTGAGCGATACCTCTCTCTCATTGACTTTTATACGAGTTCTAGAGGCGTTCATCATCGACTCTAGAAGAAGCTTGAAAGAGGGGGTTACTGGTTGTTGGCTATCAAAGGCGCCGAGCCTTGGCGCTGTCACTCAGAGCTTCCAGGCTTCGAAACTATGGGTGACGACTACGAAAGCGCTCAGTAAAGGCTGAGCTTGCAAAACGTCGTTGGAAGAAGCAGAAATGGTGTCTGAACATTCGCGAATATCGCTGCTGATGATGTTTTGATAGGATGGGAGTACTGTGCATAGTCCTTTGCATTGCTCTTGGCATATCGCATCTTATTCATGCCGGCCTGCTCATCATATTCGGCATACTATGCCTGTAAGTGACTTTGATGCGTCCTGTGAGAGAACCCTACTGATTGTACATATAAAGCTGCTCGGGCCTCACACTCATCTTCGTTGAAATACCCCTGCTCCTTCGCATATGCCCGACTTCACCCACCTTTGACACTTTCATCCGACGGTTCACCACCAACTACATGCGTGCAGCTATCTACGGTACCATGAGCTTGATTCAATGGCTTAGCATCATCGAAGGACCCACGAGCTTGATCGCGGCAGCACTCGTGTTGCTGCTTGCGGCATCCTGCTATCTCATCGCTGGACTCAAGGGGCAAGGGTTCGTGGGGAGCAAGACGCTGGGTGGACAAGGTGTTGCACAAATGATTGTCTAAGGGTTTTGGGACTAAGGTTAGGCAGCCGTACCGAAGATTGATGCAGTGGAGGTCTTGGTATGAGGGAAAAGCCATGTTGATGGAGCGATTCACCAAGAGCGAGTTGACCCCATTGTCACCGCAGTATCATGGCGTTGTGGAAGAGAAGCAGTCCTTTGTACCAGTACACTGTCTTTTTATTGATTCATCCTTGCATAAACAGCGGATTAAGCGGGTCTCCTGAAGCGTGTGCTTTGCAGGGAAAAGCCTTGGAGCGCCAGGTGAATTAAAGGAGCGAAGGGAATGCATGAAGGACCAGTCAAAATCGATGGGTAACTCCACCGCCGCGCATCCCGGTTTTGCACCCGTTGCGTCCTCACAGCGGGGAAAGTAATACCTAATAAGACGTTGAAAAACACGTGAGTTGCAGAGCCCCACAACCGGCTCCACCGTTCTCTGCACCTCTCCTGACCGAGTACTCGTAGTAGACTAGGTACTTATCCATTGACGCAAACAGTTCCTCACATCTGCCTACTAGTACTACTGTAAGATACTACCTACCTACCTATCCCATTCAACCTGAGAGGTGGAAGAATTCGCGCATGGTGCGCACAGCTGAAAGAAAACGCTGGCCTTAAGCACGTCTTTTGCTTCCTTTAACCTTGAAAGCAACCGCTGCCGAGACATCCTTGGCGCCAATCATTCTCATCTCTGCCGTCTGCCCTGTTAAAGGATTGGACCACCCCCACACTTGAGCAGAAAGCTGCATCTTCCATTTTCTGCATCTTCTCAACCTCTTCTCTTCTCTTTCAAATACCATCATCCATTGCTTACGCTACCTAGAGAAGAAGTGAGTCGAACTGCAAAACCTTGCTCTGCCTCCTCCTCCTTTAAATGCTCCATCGATGGACAACAAGAGGGGAAGCCCCTCAACCTGTGAAAGAATGTACATATGCAGGGGATGAATATGTTTTGATACTTAATAAAGTCGTTATCAAACCCTTCCTGCATTGTCCCATTATCCCCTTTTCCCTCTGATGCATGCATGCTACCAAATTGCGTCATTGCTTTTGATCTTAAGCAGCTGATATCCAGTATTTGGCACGTCACGCTGGCGACTAACCAAGCATTCACAGAGTCAACGCCAACGGATACCTGCTATCCTTCATTATCCTCGAGGCCAACTAGAGAATCATGTCCGTCCCACAGGTACCTCCTCGTCCCGCTCGCTCGCAGCAGCAGCATCCCAATATGGCTGCGCCGGATATCCCCCAAATCCCCCCACGGCCGGGAGAACGTCGAACCTTGGAACGTTCCCAATCGCCAAACCGGGACAGTTTCGCCCGGTCTCCTTTCCATGAGCCTCCTCTGGGCATGAGCCTCGGGAACAAGAGTGGGGCCACATACACCCAAAACGCCTCCATTTCCAATTTGGACCTTCCGCAACGTCCGCCAAGTGTCTCTTTGCCATCGATCGGGCAAGAAGGAAACGAATACGCAGAAATCAAGTACAAAGACGAGTCTGCAGCGGCCGAGCCAGAAGGCAGCGGTAATGAGCCGCAAGAGACAAGAAATGTCGGCAGTGATTTGCCTTTACATGCCCCAAGGCCATCCTTCTCCAACTCTACGGCCAAAGCTAGGGTCTCAACGGTCACTCGTACTGACTCAACTCAAGCAGCTGCAGCAGGCATTGGGAAAGCGCTTCCTTTAGTCGACGACAAGGATCCTCAGGACCGTGTGCTGAAACCTAGAGTGAGCTTCCGCACAGCATCTTCCGCATCCACCGAACGTCCTGGTTCTGCACAAGCCGAGGATGATCGTGGCATTCCTGAGATCGGGCAGCGGGTGCCTATGTACCCAGATGCCGGAGATGTTCAGGCACCGTCTCCGTCTCCTTTCCAGCAACAGTTCCCCACTGCTGTCGGATTCCATAACTCTGGTATGCAGAAGCCTTCTAGGCATCATCGTAGAACGCCCAGCGGCAGAGAAATCTTACCTCCCGGAAGCTACGGAATGCATGGCCATGGTGTTCCGTCTACGGATCAGTTCGAGAGGTCCTGGTACGAGAAGCATCCTGAGGCCCTTGAAAAGGAAGAGCATGGACAGTATGGGCCGGGTATTGGTGGTGGTAGAGGCGAATGGGCTCTCAGCAGTGACGATCTCAATAAGCTGGTCCGGGAAACTTCAAGTAAGCAAGCTCAAGAATGGTCTGATTGACGCTTAGCTAACGTAAATTTCGCCAAGGATCTGGACCTAATACGCCTGGATTGCCAAATGAGCAAATTGGGTATATCGCTTCAGAAGAATATGCCTCTCGTCTGAACACCCCGGCGTCTGCGACCTTCCATAGACCATTGCACTCAAACCACTCACAACCACACGTCGAGTCACCTCTTCGTAAACAAAGCTTCCCTGTCGATGCCGAAACTAGCTACGGACTCGAGAAGAAGGATTCCCATGCTTCTCACCGTCTCTCGTCAGAGCATGCTTTGGAGAGTGAGACAGAAGACGACGAACTCTACGTTTCTCCACCGACCGTCCGAAAGAGCAAGATCCATGGAAACGGCTATGATCCGCCCACAGTGGATCTTGGACCGCGTGGAGGCAACACTGAAGCCGTAGGCGGCTTTATTGAAGAGCGAGGCCACGGCGTGCCCATACTCGCCTCGGACGAAGTCGCCAAGACACCCGAGGCAGAATACCAGCAGCCTGCTGTTTCTCCGGCCCAAGAACGAAGAGGCAGCAACTACTATTCTGGTGTCGACTCGGAATACCAAAGTGGATTTAAGATCGGTAGTCGCTCTGGTAGCGCGTCCAACAGCAGACCAACGAGTCGGCCTGGTAGTATTTATTCACTTCCAACTCTGTCAAGATTCTCAATTCACGATGAGGACCGTGAAAACATGCATACACCATTGGAAGATGTCGATGAATACGAGCCCCTCTTTCCTGATGAAGAAGGAAATAAGAGACCAGTCACTGCAGCCGAACGTCTCAAGCTCCGCGAACAAATGAAAAGATTTCCTAGTAAGGATATCTGGGAAGACACACCAAACAGTCTGCAGCTCCAAGCTACCGTGGAGACCCCCGAGCCATCCAATGAGCAGTCTGATCCATTTGACAAGGCGCCTGCTACAGTTTTTGAGACGCCTGAGCAAGAGAGTGCTCGCAAAGGCGAGGTCAGCGAAGAGGAGAAAGCGAAGTTGATATCTAGAGAAGAGAGACTAGCCAAGTCAAACTTCAAGCCTCATCTCCGTCAAGAGATGCACAGGCCTGGGTTAGCACAAAGATTTCCGAGTAGAGATATTTGGGAAGACTCGCCGGATAGCGCTCGCCTTGAGACCACAGTGGGAGACTCACAGGTCAGCGATCCCAAAAGCCCCCCGGACGAAGGTCTGGAAGCTGGTGCAGTAGTCCAAACTTCTGGAGCACCAAAAGAAGGCATCATTGCAGGAGAACAAGCTCGAGATGGGGCAACTGCTGGTGCAGCCGCTGCCAAGCCTCATATCCCCCCAAGACCCAATAAAAGCAAGGTATCGCCGCCGTCCGCGGACCTAGGCCAAGCTCCACCATCTATCCCGGTTCGCCCACCAAGAAGGGTTCATCAAGTCCCTCCTGCCGATGCGCAGGTTCCGATCGTCCCGTCAAGGCCTTCAGCCATTGAGGCAAAGCAGCCATCTCCAACTGAGACTCGAAAGGGTCCAATACTGCCTGAACGGCCAAAACCGCAAGTTCCAGTACGCCCAGCTAAACCTGTTGGCCGCGACTCCTCAGAGAGTGTGTCATTGTCCAAGACCACATCAATATCTTCTGTGGGCAGTGATGGAGCAATTACTAAGGAATTGACTTCTCCGCCTCCAGCGCCGAAACCGAAACCTGCGGTTCCTGCACGGCCTGCAGGAGGCAAGATTGCTTCATTGAAAGCTGGCTTTCTGTCTGATCTAGATTCACGGTTGAAGCTTGGTCCGCAAGGCCCCAAGCCTCAAGAAAAGGTAGAGCCAGAGGTAGAGGAGGAGAAAGCTCCTTTAGCTGATGCGAGAAAGGGTCGTGCTAAAGGTCCGGTGAGACGCAAGCCAGCGGCTCCTACGACCACAGAGTTGGCAGCTGCGGAGGGCCAGGAAGACAAGGCAGATGCGAGAAACTGGCAGATGCAGAAACCATGGACCGTTTGGGAACACGATGGAGCTTTAAAGGTTGGACAGCAAATATCGAGCACGCTGGGGGTAGAAGCTATTTCGCCGGAAGACGTCTTCAAAGCCGCTTATTTCCCAGTAGCAGACAGTCAAACGGACGGTACGGATGATGCAAAAGACATGCACCAAGCCAAGCTGGCAGTCGAGGAGTCTCTGATGGCCAATGAGCCGTTGACACAAAAAGAAGTTCAAGCACCAGATGCATTTCACGCACCGGGGGCATCAGAACTGCCCACCCCAACAGCAGAAAAGGCAGATCCGCTCAGCAGGGAAGCTACACCAGGCCCTTCGTCGTCGTCGTCTGTCCTGCCACCGACTGAGACAAACACGCAAAGGCAGACGGAGGAGAAAACGACACTGCTCAATCCTGGCAACAAGATCGACAAGACACCAACTTCCACTAACGCTGGAGAAGCACAAGGCAGCGCAGAAAAGGGGGATACACTCTAGTTCAAGATTTGTAGGCATGATTTCGGGGTTCGAGGGAGGAATGACAGAATTGGAAGTTCGATTCAATGCCTAGGATAGGGAGTTGGATTGGAAACCGAAAAGTTATAACGTATAACCGCAACCAAACATGTTCATACCACTTCACATCCCAACTGCTTCTCGGCCATGTCTGCTTCTGTAGCTGTATACGTGCTCCGGCCTTCATCTAGAAGGGTTATAGCCAAGATGGTCTTGTGGTTTGACAATTGAGTGGATCTGATTGGTCCCCTCCATCAAGCCGAGGCTCCTGCGGGAATGGCAATTGACAATTGCATGTCACCCACCACTCAGCATATCTCCCTTTCCTTTCGCCCACACTTATGTTCAGTCCTCCTTCTCTGTATTATAACTATGGCTTCCAAGACCTCAGTGTCTTTCTTAGGTAGAAGAAGTCTGACCACATCGAATGTCTCTGCACCAACCACCCGGAGAGCTTATTCACATTTCCCCCCACGCGGCGGCGGCGGTGCCTCCTGCAGCAATCGAGATCCAATTGCTTTTTAATCAGTAGAAGAACCCTCTCAACCACTCCATGGCGACGCCTTGCAGATATCGATGACTCATTTGACCCCCGGAAGCAGGAGCGTGAGAGCGATGAGGTCGATGTCTGCATCGTAGGCGGAGGTATGTCATGCGGCAGTCCACCCTTGAAGCATGCTAATGCCTCGCAGGACCTGCCGGCCTCAGCGCAGCCATTCGCCTCAAACAGATCGCCAACGAAGCCGGCAACGAAGCCTTCCGAGTTCTTCTTCTCGAGAAAGCAGGCGAGCTAGGCGCTCACATCGTCTCCGGCAATGTCATCGAACCGTCCGCTGTCAACGAACTGCTCCCTGACTGGAACAATCCAGATAACCCGTCACGTTTCGAAAGTGCTACCCCGGCTACTCATGATAAGATGCGGTTCCTTACCAAAAACAGCTCCATACCAATCCCCGCGCCCCCGCAGATGAACAACAAGGGCAACTATATCATAAGTTTGAATCAGTTCTGCAAATGGCTAGGGGAGAGAGCGGAGGAGGTAGGTGTGGAGGTTTACCCGGGCTTTGCGGCCAGTGAGGTGCTGTACAATTCGACGGACGGGTCAGTGAAGGGTGTGGCTACGAATGATCTGGGCATTTCACGCAGGGGGAAGCCCAAACCTTCATTTGAGCGTGGGATGGAGTTTAATGCTAGAGTCACGCTCTTTGCTGAGGGTTGTCATGGTAGTTTGACCAAGCAAGTCATCAAGAAATTTGATCTCCGCCGCGACAGCCAGCCCCAGACGTACGGGTTGGGACTCAAGGAGGTCTGGGAAGTCAAGCCGGAGAAGTTCAGGAAAGGGGAGATTGTCCACACGATGGGCTATCCATTGCCTTCATCTACCTACGGAGGCGGATGGCTTTACCATTTCGGCGATAATCTCGTCTCTCTTGGTCTTGTCGTTGGTCTCGACTATCCCAACCCCTGGCTCTCTCCCTATGGCGAATTCCAGAAAATGAAACACCACCCCATCTACAAATCCGTCATCGAAGGCGGCAAATGCATTTCCTATGGCGCCCGAGCCCTCAACGAAGGTGGTTTCCAATCCATTCCCAAATGCGCCTTTCCCGGCGGAGCCCTCATTGGCGACACAGCAGGTTTCCTCAACGTCCCCAAAATCAAAGGCACCCACACAGCAATGCGAAGTGGCATGCTCGCCGCCCAAGCCGCCTATTCAGCCTTGACATCGAACCCAGACAGCGGCACCGTCTTTCTGTACGATTACGAAGACGCCCTCCGCTCCAGCTCCATTTGGAGCGAACTAAAACAAGTCCGTAATATGCGTCCGTCTTTCCACTCACCCCTCGGTCTCTACGGCGGTATCATGTATTCCGGCCTCGAAGCCTACCTCTTCCGCGGCAAAACGCCTTGGACGCTCAAGCACAAAGAACCCGGCGACCACGCTGCCACGAAGCTGGCGTCCGAGTGTCCAAAGATCGAGTACCCGAAACCGGATGGTCAAATCTCATTCGACATTTTGACGAGTGTGAGCAGGACGGGCACGAACCATGAAGAAGACCAACCTGTGCATTTGCAAGTGGAGGATTGGGAGGCGCATAAGAATGACCAGTGGCCGAAGTACAAGGGGATCGAGAACCGGTTCTGTCCGGCCGGGGTGTATGAGTACGTGGAGGATGGGGCCAAGGAGTTTGGGGTCAAATTCCAGATCAATGCGCAGAAGTACGTGTCCATTTCCTCCACCGGCTTTACCGCCCAGACAGACACCCCTTGCCATCTATGCTTTGCGGAGTCGGGCGCTGACGACCCTGATCAGTTGCATCCACTGCAAAACGTGCGATATCAAGGCCCCGGCGCAGGATATCAATTGGCAGGTAAGACCACCCCCTCCCCCCATATCTACGCAACACCGATCCACCAAACACCGCTGACGCTTCGATCCTCAGACACCGCAAGGAGGCGAGGGACCAAAGTACTTCATGACCTAGATCGAACGTTGGGTCCCGGATGATGGATGATGGTCGAGTGTATCGCTTTAGGTGTACATATGGGTGGGAAGATGAACATATGGGATTTGGAAAAGGGGGTGGTTCGGTGCTGAGAGAGGTGAACAATGGTCACTTCACCTGTGGTCCTTTGATGTCAATGTCAGCTGGGCGCACGGCCTCGCACGGTGCATGGAGCCTTTACTATAAGGACCCGAGACTGTCTCCCTGGGTTCAAAGCTGTGCTGTGCTGTTCTACCTACGATGTGGATGTCTATCTAGTCAGTCAGTAAGGAACCAACTACATCGTGTCCGAGCCTAAGACTGCACTACGAGCACGAAAATGCAGCTGTGTCTTCGGACGATTCGCCAAAGTACATGTAGGGTGTGATTAAGGCAAGCATCTGACTTGGTGACACGCTGAGCAGGAACGTTGACCAAGTGGGGCGGTCCAAGCTTGAAGACAATAGACAGCCAGCCACAACGTATTAGCCTGTGGATACCATAGCCCGACACAACTTCTTTGACCTCGGTTGCAATTTTCCAATCCTGATACAAACGTCCTTTCCGTATGCAGCCTACCGCAACTTAAACCCCTGATATCCGAGAATCACCACTACCCGCTGAAAGTGTCTGGTTGGCAGGGCAGGAGAAGGTGCTCGGGGATTCTGTCATGATAAGCGGCTGCCCTCCTTCAAAGGCTCCTGCACGGAGAAGAGGAGGAGCAATCACCAGTATCTCGGCGGCGGGGGACGCTCATCGTAACCGCCATAAGCCCTCGGAGGCGATCGAGCCCTAGGCCTATCATATCCATTGGCAGCATACGGGTCCTCATATCCACGACGAGGTGGAGCGCCGTAAGGATCATCGCGGTAACCGCTACGAGCGGGTGGTGGATAAGGATCGTCAACGGGCGGGCGAGCTGCGCGAGGTGGAGGCGGAGAACGGTAGCTGCTGTGACGGGAGTAGTAATCATCACGGGGTGGGGAGCGGCGACGGTAATCATCACGACGGGGGCTGTAGCCACGCGATGGAGGTGGACCACGGCCGTAGTAGCCATCTGATGGTGGATAGCCGCCGCCGCCGCCGCCCCGACGAGAATGGTGGGGGCGAGCGAGAGCGATAGCGGTCGTTGCGGGGAACCTCGTCTTGGGTCTGTCGATGGCCTTAGTCGTGGAAGTGATTAGAAGTATCAGTGGGAAAACGTACATCAGCCAGGCAGCGAACGCTAGCTCCTTTGAAATCTTGATTGTCCAATTTGTCAACGGCGACTTTCAGGTCTCCGGCGGTCTCGAATTCCACGAATCTAGCGCTGTTAATGACGGTATAACGCTGAGTAGGTGTATGAATCTCACCCTTTGCCATCGCGGTCGCGGCCAACCTCGGAGTAGACGACGTCAAGCCCAGAGCGACGTGCAAAATCTTTGAGATCCTAAGGTCCAAGTAAGTCCGAGTCCAGGTGCGTACAGCCCAGCCAATTAGGAATGAAAGGCCCAATCCTGCTCTCCGGGGCCAGGAGCACAATGTATGCGAGATCACCAGTCCAGAACATCCCCAAAACAAAGACAAGGGAGCATGCAGGGCATTAGGTCTTGGCTCAATGCAGCCAAGCCATCCAATCCTCGGACCAATCTGGCCAGTGAATGGCTAGTTCGGACCAACGCGAAGATTCAGACTTTCGACTGTCCTTCGCACTGGATGCAGGTTACAGAGCAACAAAGCGTAGCTCGAGAGTGCAATAAGTGGAGACTCCTAATAGAGCCACAGACAGAGATGGACCCCAACGAGCATCATCCATAGATCCTAGAACCAAGGGCCAAGAACAGATGTAGTGAAGTAGAGAGCTAACCTGCCAACTGGTTTCCCCCGGAAGACCAGAGATCTGCATACGATAGGCCGTACGTCTGGGACGAGGATGCGTACGGTCGGGCGCAGGAAAGTCTCGTTGACGGGAGCCGCGGGCAAATTGAACGGTCAAGCGGGATCCGTTCATGTCGGATCCATCTTCACGTGTGCCACTGTCAGTGGTCTTCTGGCTTTAGGTGATAGAAGTGGGGATGCACGTACGGAAAGCTGTCAATGAAGGCGTCAGCAAGTGTCTCGTGAGGACGATTTTGTGCGGCATAGGCATTGGGAGCTCACCAGGAACCACATCCCTAGCATCCAATGCATCATCGTACTCGATGAAGCCGAAGCCGTTCATGAGCTTGATCTCGGTGATGTTTCCAGTACCATCCTTGAAGTGGTTCTGGATGTCTTCCTTTGTGACTGTGGTAGTGGTGGTCAGCGAGCCCTGTCAAAGGGGCTGAAAATGCCAGTAGGTGCGGGCCATTCCATCACGGATCCTTTTGAAGCCAGAGGTGAAGTCGCCAAACATTGAACAAGGCTGAGCGCAAGGAAAATCCGTCCAGAGTTATGGGTCGACCTCGGTTACAGAGCGCGTAGAGGAAAGATGGGATCATAGGATTGGCTTGAGCATACCGTCACGAGGAAGATTGCCCAGGTAGAGGCGAGTGGAGGAGACCTCTGCAGACATCTTGGAGACTTGGTCCTCGAGTTGTGCGACAAGGTAGTGAGGCGCGCACGAGATCGAAGGTGAGAGAGCAGAAGACTAAGGCAGTCTCTGATAGATATCAAAGAAACAATTCTGGGCTAAAATGCTACTGACAAAATCGGACCTCGTGGGTGTGAACGGTGAAGGTGGTGCAAAACAAATAAAGGAAATGTGGTGGATGAGGTTTTCGAAACCTGCCAAGACTTTACTAGCGTCTACGGTCGGCCACAAAACCCAAAAACCAGGTACGTATCCAACACGCAGATATTGGACATTTCTTCACCATGCCTACCCCCACCTAGGGCGACGACTGCAGCAGGTTTACATCAGGACTTCCCTGTATGGTCAAAATATTTGAACTGCTTTTTCCCCAGAGCTCCAGGCTCCGACCTCTTGTCTGGACCTTTTCGAGCACGATCAAGCTAGAGACACCAATGTGCAAGACAGCTACCAAATCACGAAACTCACACCGACAGTTACAACCTGACCAGAAGCACAATTTGTCTTCAGATTCCTGCATGGTATCGTTTACTGATATAATACAACTCATAGAGCGCCAGCTAGGCTATGTACACATTGAAGTGAAGATGGCGAGCGGATACAATTCCAGCACAGTGTTCTCCGTCAGATGCTAAAGGCAATCATACAGCTCCTCAAAACGCTCCAAAGAGGTCATCGAGATCCTCAATTTGTATGTCTTCCGCTTCTCTGGTATCCCACGTCAACCCAACTCCACTGTCTCCCAGTATGGAAGTCGACTCTTTCATTTCCACGTCTTCTCCTCCTTGCTTGGGTTCTTTTCCGACCATGATTGGTTGTATCGCTTTCATTAAAGGGCTGCTCGTAATCATCAAACTGGAATCCTGGCTGTGATGTCCACCAAATAATGCTTCTGCAGCTTCTCCGGTTCCTTTTTGCTTTCTCTTCCTCAGTCTCTTCCACAACCCCTTCACTTGGATCTTCGGTTGATGGTCTGATTGTCGGGTCGTCCAAGCTCATGCCTCGCATACGCATACTGCTCGCCGTCTGGGTGAATTCCTTCTCGTCTCCTTCAAGTGGAGGGCTTGCAGCTTTGTGATTATGTGAGAGCGCAATGTCCGATGAAGAACCGTTTGATCCATCTCTTGCTAAGCTTGACCTTCCGGAAAATGATGACCCTGCAGGCGTCGGTGGTGTTGCGAAATCATCGACGCCCGGCACCGCTACATCAAGGTCCTCGGACAGATCAATCTCCGGACTGGGACTCATAGCATCACGATTTCGTTCCTCTGCAGCCTCGGTGTCTCCATCGATGCTTGCGCTACTGATGCTGGGAGATATTATGCGCCTTCCTCCTTTACCTCCAGAATGTGCCGAGATGATGACGTCTGAGAGGGCGGTGGGAAAGTCTTGGCGGGGGAGTGTGGTGAGGAAGTAGTAGACTTTGCGAGGATGGACGGTGGTCAGCTCTTTATCGAGTGGGCACGGCGACAGGGCACTCCATGGGCGCTTGAGGTATGCTGACAGTCGGGATGAGAGTAGGGCAGCCGGGTTCGCCGAGCTAGATGATGATAGTCAGCGCAAAAGTCGTGGATTTGATGGAAGATGAGGATGCCTTACCTGGAGACAGCATCGCTTATACTCGACAGGACAGTTGCAAGCTCTTTGATCAAGTGTGGCCTATTCCCGGTCTTTTCTAGCTGCTCGATCACACCAACCACGATATCATCACTGATGCCCTCTGTGTCGACTTTGGTGTCTGTTGACGCCCGTGGTGACGGTGGTGGGGTGTGTTCGTACGCAACGCGGCCGCTACTCTTAGGCCGATCTGCAAACGACACAACCTTGGTGGAATGTGAGGTCGCCGATGATTTGGGTCTTGGTGGCGATGTGGGTGAAGGTGAATTTGAAGTATGCGACCTCTTGATTTTCTTCGTCGGTGGTTGTTGAGGTGTTTCCGTGGCAAGCGAGGCCTTGGAAATCGAAGGGCGGTGAGCTCGGGAGGCGTTGGGCAACTGTATGCCCAAGGATGGGAGAGACAAGGACTTTCGACGAGTGTTGTACGGCATTTTGATGATGTCCTTAGGGTTTCATGGATCAGAGTGAGATGTCGAAGGGTCGCGGGATTTTTCGGATTTTGTTTGCTGCAGTGGTGATGTAGCACGGTAAGCTTGTTGTGGTGGTTTGCAACGGGGTCAAGAATGCGAGTCAGACGGGTCGCGAGAATATCATTGGAGCACTGGACGGCAAGGAGGTGTGCACAGGAATGCAGCCTTGCAGGCGTGCAGATGCAGGAGGCGAGCGATCGGTCTCTCCCCAAGCCTGGGCTGACCACCTGTTTTTTGTGATTGATTCTCTTTGTTCTGACTGGTGTGGATGAAACGAGAAGGCAACAGCCAATGAAAGTTTAGGCGGCGTTGAAAAGGTTGCTCAAAGGAGCGTAGGCTTCGACCGGGTTTTCTTGACAGCAGGTTAAAAGAAAAAGAAGAAGAAAATGATATGGCCTGTAGCGAGTACCAAGGGACACTCCTGCACCTAAGGTGGTTGAGAAGAGGATGTTTGTTGTATGGGGGTTGAAAGGCAAACAAGGAAATTACGGGTGACAGAAAAAGGAGACAAGATCCAACCCTTTCCAACGGGAAGGGGAAACGGCGGAAAAAGGCCAGAGCGCCAGGAATTCGCAAAGATTAAAAACGTTGCGTTTTCAATTTATCACTTTATTACTTTACTTTTTAGGTGGCCAAACTTTGAAGCGCTGACCCGGCAAATGAGTGTGGCTTTGCCCCAAAGGACCAGTGCGGAATAAAGGTATTGGCTTTTGATTTGCTGGATGCTAGTCCGAGAAGAGGAAAGCGTGATACTGAAGCGAATACCCAAGGTAAGGGAATCCTGCGGCGACGCGCTTCAGGGATGCCCAACCCTGGGACTCCGTGGCGAGACACAGTTCCCAGCCCGTTTCTTGAGCTACCTATGACATCGGTTTTGCTGTCATCATTGCCGTGTGTGTACGAAAGTCGGTAGCAACTCACCAACTTCCTTTCACTTCTCTCCACCGTCTTTCCTTCCTCCATCCGATCGGCTCGGAAAACGCTCTCTCCAATACATACCTAAAATAAAATTAAAAAAAGGGTATAAAGACTATAGATTAGAAAATCCTGTCCCGCTCTCTTCGCATCCTGCCTTCAGAGTTAGGCCCTACGAACCGTCTCTAGAGCTCGGGAAGAGGGCACGACAAACAACGACCAACAAAGGCACATCACATCTCACCATGAGAGGACCCTCTCCACGACGGCTCCCGCGCCCCCCCCTCAACCCTGCATCCACGATAGGCCACACGCTTTTCTAAGCTGGCCGGATAGCGGGGCAACAACCCATGCAGCAAAAGGGATCTCGGATATCCAATCATAATAAGTACCTAAAGTACCTCACCAATCAGCGCAGCTCAGCCAAAAGCGGCGATCCCTTCTCGAAGCTTTGTCCTCCCCCTTGCCGCCCAAGTGGCTCTAGCTCCGAGACCAGAAGACGAACCGTCTTTCCGGAAATCGAAACCTTGGTGGTGCGGAGATACTTCCTTTTTTTACCGTACAGTAGGTAGTATCTTGGCTCTTCTTCTTCTTCTTCTTCTTCTTCTCCATGGACCCTCGAAGGTAAAAAAGGGGGAAAAAAAGAAAAAAAGAAAAAAAAAAAAAAAAGGGTCTCCTCCAATCGGAACCCTAGAGTCTGCCTCCTCTCACGGCCGGGCCTCATCGCTGGATCTAATTCCGATGAGCGCATCCGCTGCAAATATCGTGGCCTCGTACGCTGTCGAAAGCTCGTTGGAGGGCATCACGGGATCTAACCCTGTGACGCCCCTGACGCTCCGCTTTCGACACGTTGCGGACTGGGGCGGGCCATTTTCGTCGGCAAACGTTTTATCCATGGCTCGACGGTGTGGCCTGTCCTGTCCCGTCCTGTTGAAATGATATGACGCCGGTCATTGGGTTGGAACGATGTGTGACGTACCCGTAATTAATGGCAGGAAGGGAAGAGAGCCAAGCGTGGTCATCGTTTGTTTGTTGTTGTTGTGCCAGCTATGTCTCTCCGTTTTGGTTTGTGGGGGGGGGGTGGACTTTGAGCTTTGGGCCCCCATAGGTAATCTTGATAGCTGCCTCTTCCCACAAGGAGCAATGTCAATATTCAGTCAAACCTACTCTGTCAAAATCATCGGTGATTCCTTTTCCAAAGCTAGCTACAGTATCAACAAACATCCCATCGTCATCTCCTATGACGATGACCGCGTGAATCACTTCGGAATGGAACAGAGTGCCTCGTTTGCTGGCTCAATCGAGTAGAAAGAAGGCCAGAATGGCAATGGCATGTGCGAGAGAGTTGAGGGGTCATCATTACCCAATGCTGTGCTGTTCTACAAATACGTTTTCCTCCGCATGCTAGCTATGTATCGACTGTGCTAAAAGAGCGAGTACAATAAGCTCGCGGATCATATCCCATATCTCGTGTGCTCCCATCAATGCCAAGAAGCCTCGGTAAGCTTCGTAACCACTCATATGATAGTCAACTTGTGCCAGCAACAGAATGCACACAGTTCACCTCCTATATCGCTTCACCGCGGCAACTCTTGCCCTCAGGCCCATGATTAGCGATATCAAAATTCAAAGCTCTTCTCCATATCGATATCCTCACCTTGCCCCCCACCCATCCCTTCAATATCACACCCGGTTGGGAACAGACTCCCCACCCCACCCTCCGCTCTCAAGAACCCAAATTGATCCAACTCGTTCCGTGCAGTCAGATCCCCATAGTTCTGCCACAGCTCGAAAGGACCCGCCCCACCGTAAAGACCATGGGCCGGAAAGCCGCTTAGGTTGTTGTCGTAGTTGGCCAACGGCGGCTGCTGGTGTCCAGGATGAGTCGGCGCTGCTTCCTCCTCCGAAGACGTCATCATATCTGATGTGTCTCCGCCAACTTTCTGCGCCGCGAGCCGTAGCAGCTTACGCATATTGGAACAGGTGCGACGCGCTTCGGGACTGGAGTTACCAATATGATCAAGCCAATTGACGGCGGCTTTGGCCTCCGCGAGGATCTCACCCGCGGCGGACGGCATATGTTCGGCGCGGAAGGCGAGCTCGAGGAGGAGAACTGTGAGGGCGCGTTTGAGGTAGTGCAGCTGCATCCACCACATTGTACCTTCGTGGAGAATGGTAGATTCTGGTTTGTGAAGGATAAGGCTGAGTGTGGCGCGGGCGGATTCGACGCACTTGGTTGCTGAGCTGAGGTCTTCTCGTCGAGAGTAGCTTGATTGATCTTGGATACGTTTACCAAGCCTGCATAGGCACGGACGGTTGATGATTGTTCGTGCGCTGTGGAAGAGGATGCGAAGAGCCACTCGGCAAGACTCCGTTTCTGGGTCTGAGGATGGACTGGCGACGTCGAAGGGCGGCTTGACGCCGTCTTTCCATTCAAAAAGCCTTCTGTCGAATCTATGTATTCTGCTTTCGATGTTTGCCCATTTCTTTTTTCGAATACCGGGTTGATATAACTCGCCCACAGCTTCATTGGCTAGCATACAAAGCTCCACGTAATGCACGAAATAGATTGCCGCGACCTTCGTGGTGCCCTTTATTGTCATCCTATTCGATGAAGGTCCTGGTCCAGGCTTCCACATGCCCGAAGTCGAAGTATGGTGTCTGCTATCCATTGCTGATCTCTGATCGGACGATGCAGAAGGTGCGGTTGTTGTACCCGGCGCCTTACCCTCGGCAAGCTTCCTTGGAACTGTGACACTGCAATCCCGAGGATTGATCATCGCTGGCCGACCAGTCACGAGTGTGAGCATACTCTCTAGTGTCATCAGGGCGAACCAGTTGTAAGCATGAAACTCTTTTGTCTCCTCCGTTACTGAGTCCGAAACGTCCTGCAAGTGCAGACCCAATGCCTGTGCCGACCTTACCGCCAGACCAGAAAGGTTCCAGGCTCTTTGAAACATTAGCATAGCTTGTGACCTGGGGAGCCATGAATTTACCGGTTGAGCTGGTGGGTCACTAATAGATACATCGCGCCCAAGCTAAACACCTGGACCTGGCCAAGGTAGCAATCATCATTCAGAATGCCCGTGTCTACTGCTAGCACGCGTGCTTGTGAGAAGTACAACATGTGGTCTCTCGCATCTCCAGTCCAATCAGCTTGGATGAGATGGGCGTGTACGGCGGCAATGGCAAACACAAGCTGGAGCGTAGCAATAAATGTACGATCTTCGAAGCCTTCGGGATCCATAGTGCTGCAGAGCTGATCGTACTGATTCATGAAGTCCACTTTGTTGAGAATGGGAAATGACAGGTGCATCGTCGAGAAGTATGCGTTCACGAGAAAATCGGCTGTGGACTTGACCGGCAATGAAAAGGGGTCGATTTGATGTCCAACCACAGCGGTATCAGTATCTTCTGCGTACGGCTGAGGTTTTCGAGAGAAGCCCTGGTTCCAATCTTGAGATGTGAACGTTTTCGCTTCTTGCTTTGGTAGCAATTCCTTATTCAATTTGTCAGTCCACTTGGTTTGGGAGGACTGTCCTGCAAAAGCCGGGACATGATATACAGAGCTCTGTTGCAGGGTGTCGTCTTGGTTGATATGGCCCGTAGAACCCATTGAACCAAAGTCAGAAGCGTCCAGTTCACCTCCATCATCAAGACTGCCGCTTTGGCTTTCACCTGTGATCGTCTTTTTGTAGGCGTTTTTGGCGGCCTCGTCGTGCGGTGGCTAGGAACAACGAGTTATTTGAAGTCTTACCTTCGGATTATAGAGTTATACCATGAGTATGGCATCTTGTATCGCCTGTTGATCATCATCATCTACCTGAGGCACGAACTTAAGGAGTAGTTCTTCGTACGCTTTGAGCTTCTGCCAAATCTCGTCATGCTGTCTAACAGTAGATCAAGTCAGCAGAGTCAGGGCGTCAAGTGATAGTCGAGGTACAAAGAGGCCTGCTAGAGCGAGGCTGGTGTGAAGGTGCAGGATTTGAGCAGTAGAAGAGCGTGGATTGCTTGCGTCTAGCCGGTCTCAACGAAAGTGAAAAGCAGAGTAGGCATGGCCACCATAAGAGCATGAACCTCACGCTTACAAGGGAAATGGTGCTTCATACCTTCTCCCCTGGTCACGCTTTCCACTCGCATAGTAACATTCTACCCCGAGCTCTCTGCAATGCCGACACGTCGGCTGCTCCCCATAACATTTGATCTTCCTAACTCTACACGATTCGCATGCCTGTCTGACTCGTGGTGAACGTGTCCCTGAGCCGGACGACTGATTCCAGGTTTCTTCATCTCTTTTGAGTCTTTTAATGGCAATCTTTGAAATTTTTTGCTCAGAAACTGACCGTCCGGTGGGGCTGACGGCCAGCTTGCTAGGTTTTGATGCAAAGCTGCTCGCCTGTTTTGGAGACAGCACTGGGCTTTGCATGGTAGTGCTTGACTTCCTTTGCGGGTTCTTGGCAGCTTGAGTGGCCTTGAACTGTGTCAGGTAGCGCTGATATTCCCGGAAATCATGGGTCTTTTGGTACTCGGCCAGTTCCGCTTTGTATCTTTCCCAGGGTATGGCGCCCTTCGTCTTCCATTCTCCTCTCTCGTCTCGTGTGAGTTGTTGCCATTTCTCGCCAACTACTTTCGACAAGTCAGTGAAGGACAAATTTTGCTCTTTCAATTGCTCGCGTGTGTGGTTGGAGAAGAGCACGTATGCGGAGTACGGCCGCTCAGGGACGTTTGGATCCGGCTTGGGATGATGTCTGTAACCCCGTTTCGTGGGTGCGCCACCCTGCTGTACGTCGTTGCTGCTGGATGAGAATCCTCTCCGAGTGTTCGGTGGAAGAGGATCGATTCCGTACAAGGGAGTGACGAATGCCGGGTCCCGAGCGAGTCGTTTGGTGTTGGCAATCTCTCTTTGTAGTTTTCTCCGATGCCCAAGGTCCACATTAAGAATCTGAGCCTGATCAGTGGAGACCCGTGCGGCAGAGTATGTCATATACTGACGTCCAGATCATTCTCCGTGACCTCCAGAACCGTCTCCCAAGAATCGAACCCTGCTTCAATAAAGCGTTCGAGGTAGCGATCCATACCGAGCCATGTTAGGGTGAGCTCAAGGTCCGCCATGGCCAGCGAGTTGTCTTAGCTTTGGTAATTGAAGGGATAATGATACAACCGAGCACCGCGGACTATTCGCCAGGATCAAATCATGCGGGAGCTCCTGCTGCAGTAATCAGATTCACCTGGCGTTTTCAGCGCCGGCTTGCGCCCCACCTTCTTGGGCGCAGAGGAGAAGTAGATGTGCGGCCAAGAGAAGGTCAAGGCTACTATTTTGTGTAGTAGTTGGACTGCGAAAAGGGAGATGAGTAAGGAAGAGACAGCAGAGTTGGATGATATAGTTAGGAATGGATGGGGTGGGGGGGTGGAAGGTGAAAGGAAATGCAACATTATTTACTCCCAGAATCCAAAGTGGAAGAAAGTGCAGCTCTAGGCTAAGGTCGGTCATGGCGGATGAGGTACCGTAGCCGGAAAGGCAGCAGATAATCCAGCGTCCTCTCGACCTTGTACAGTAGGAAGCTGCACCGTTTGGCCTGGCGTCTGGCACGTAACGTAAAGTATTGGAGGAGAATGGAGATGGTAATGTACTTTCAGTACATTCACAACAAACTGATCATTATTACATATAATCTCTCTCGTGGCACATTCAGAAGTATTGTGGGATGAGCTAAGGTAAAGTAGAATAGAATACGGATAGGTACATTACATGAGAAATGGTGGTAAGCTGTTGTGAACCTTGTCCCTAGTCCCTAGCTAGGTACCGTATGCAAGGAAAGATCGTCATGAAAAAGCGGGAGGTGTCTCCGGTCCCAATCACCATCGGTCCTCGGAGATTCCTCCGATATCAAAAAGTAGTCCCCCTGTCAAAAGTAACCCCACCCGATTACATACTTGAAAGAGTAAACCAACCTTGGCCAAACCCTGAAAAAGAGTGAACCCCTCCCAGATGGATAACAACCACGGCAATTTCAATTACCATTTGATTGCTGTCGCTGGGCACTTGACCATACTACCGGTACCACTATAGCCAACGGCTAGATTATCTTCATCAAACTACCTACCAACAGAGACAGTAATACCGCTGCGACTTTGATTTACCCCCCCAGACAGACTTTGATTAAGTAAGCACGATTCGAGAGCGAGTCGTAGCTACTAGCGCGAATCGGACATGGGATTTTGGAAGTAAAGTAATTAGTACTAAAGTAAAGTATTCATTTCCGGAGACCGAAGTCCGGAAGTTGGGGATGCGATTTCCAAAGTTGATGTAATCATGTCACCCACAAAATCGTGACATATGCCAAGACAGCCCTCCTGATGACCTCTGCTTTTACTTCGTATTAATTGGGGGCATTAGAAGATGATTTCGATGCTCGGAAAAATGATTCATCTAGCATACCTACCAGTCATAGAGGCATTGAGCCTGCATCGTTTCCATGAAATGGTATGAAGACATAAAGTAGGTACTCGGGCATAAAGAAGAAGGGAGCGCGCCTTCGATTTGGAGAAGTGTCCGTTGCACTGATGACTCCGCTGTTCCACTTCCCAACAGGCTAATATAAAGTGAAGTAGCATTTCAACGGGGGGTGTGTCTCGGCCAACGTCATTTGGGTGAATTTGCCCCCATCTCTTTAAGGGTATCAATGGACTCCCTTGCCCTTTCGCCTTCTCGCATACTTTACCCTCATTCCCATAACAAACATGGCACCGGGTGGATTTAGCAATGCTTGGAGAACTATCACCGGCTCACACCTCCGGTGGTCTTGACCAATAAAAGGTCCACTTTGCTCGCTTAGACCAGGAATCACCAAATTTAGTCATTGAACAGTTCCGTCCGGTAACAAGGACCGTCGAAGGCATGTTGTCATAAGGCTCATGATAGCGCCTCCTACTGTTAGCGACAACCTGATCAACCCTTACATCTATCCAACAACACAGCAGAACTCACCCCATCCACCTTCACCTTAATCGCAGTAGTAAGAACAAAACAGAACAGAGCAGAACAGAACAGAACAGAACAGAGCAGAACAGAACAGAACAGAACAGAACAGAACAGAACAAAGAGAACAGAACAGAACAGATTCCGGCTTGCGACAAACCGTTGATGGCGCCATGGCTGAAACGACTGAATCAGAGATAAAACGGTCCGATACCACGGCGACTGACAGCTCTGGCCAGTCTATGCAAGATGTCCAGCCATCATCTCCCACAAATACCACAATTTCCTCCAACCCAAACGCCTCGGAACAAGCATCAAGTCAATCCAGACCTGCAACGTCCGCGGGCAGAAGAAGAAAGGTTCCTGATTCAGTCACTCCCAATGCCTGCACGAATTGCAAGAAGGCGAGGGCCAAAGTGAGTTGCTGCTTCCCCATTCTTTCGTCTTTTCATGTGTGGTGGAAAGTCAACATACTAAGCCATCGTCCATAGTGCGACGGCGTCAAGCCTGCCTGTCGACGCTGCGTGCAACGTCACGTCTCAGGATCTTGTCATTACGAGATACATGCCAAGACAGCAAAGGAGCAGATGATTCGAGAAATTCAACGTCTGCAGCGGAAGAATGAACACTTGGAAGAGGAGAAGGATTCATTAGGGGAAAAGAACAGCTGGATCGAGAAAATCATAGCTTCACTCAAAGACGATGGACAGGGTATCGAGATCATTGGCAGAATAAAGCGCGGCGAATCTAATCGAGCGATTGCTGAGTGGCTTGGGCGGCCTTCGGTCGGATCAGGTACCCAGGCACTGTCTCCCACAACCGAATTTGAGATCGGTCAAGCCATCGAACAGTATCATCGAAACTTGGTCGAGAATCATGATCCTCGCTTTTGGACCAACGTGTCCACGGAAGCGGAACTGATCGAGCACCTGGTCAAGTTGTACTTTACCTGGATACATCCCGTTCATATGCTGTTCGACGAGGCGCACTTCACGTCAAGCTTCAGGGACTGTGCGGATGTTTACTGTTCGTCAGCCTTGGTCAACATCATCTGTGCCATGTCCTGTCATCTTCTCCACGACACGGGGAGCGACGATGAGCAAACAAAGTCTGGAATCCAATCTCTTCAGACACAGTTCATCAATGAAACAAAATCTCTGATGAAGCATGCGGACTGTGCGAAGATGACCTCGATACAGACTTACGCAATAATGTTCCTCGTTGAACTTGGATCCGGACACGGTCTCATTGCTTCTTCGCACCTAAGGTTGGCTGTGGAAAGCTTGATTGCCAAGCAAACATCAGAGCAGTCTTCTGAAGCGGAGGAAGTGGCGGCATGGGGGATTCTGACCTTGCACACGTATGTTGCCAGTCCAAATTGATGTGGTCTGACTCGTGAGGCTTATGGAGGCAGTGCATGGTCAGGTCTGACCTATCAAAAACCCATCGCTCCTATCTCGACGCGTGCCAACCCTTTTGCGAACATTGCTGTAGACCTACTTGGAGGTAAATGGAATATGCATCAGCAACCTGGCGACAGTAAGCTGGAAACTGGGGAAGAGAACGCCGACGACCGACAGAGCTTCGCAGCCTTGACCGCTCGTGAACATGCAAAGCTCTATCGCATCGTCCACGAATGCATTCTTGTCTACTGCGGCAATCGTGGTAAGGTTTCGGCCAATCCCGTATTAGATCTTTTCCAGCGGTTCTTTATATGGAAAGATGAACTACCCCCAGTTCTTCGAAGCGTCGAGGGCCAACCGCTTCCTCATGTTCTATACTTACAGTAAGTGTCCCCTCAAAGCATCGTCATTCAAAGCATTGCTTATACGGGATTTTTTGCAGCCTTCAATACCACACTGCTATCATTCAGCTGCTCCTGCCACTCCTGCATCTCGATCACTATCATCAGGAGTCATACGAACAACTCGTACGATTCGTCGTCGACCATGCAAAAATAGGCGTGCAACTTTTGATCCAATACAAAAACATCTATACCAACTATTACCTCTCGCCACTTCAAATTTTTTGTCTGGTTCACTTGTGCGATGCGGTAGTGCGGTACGACGGTCAAGGTGATACGACCCCTAGAACAGTGGAATTTTGCCTCACCTCCCTCGAAGAAGCCAAGGTCGGCTACCCCGTTGCGGGGCCTTTGCAGAAGATGTTCCGTCTCTCTCTCACTGAATACGGTGTCCCTGTCCCCGACGAGCTCGAGTATATGATGGGCGTATCAGCACGCATGGGGCCCGAGGAACTGCTGGATGCGTGCACAAGATCGACTTACAAACAGCCGATCACGCAATTCTTGCCCAACATGGAGGCAGGATTAGGACAAGATTTTATGAATGAGTGGCAGCGTTTGACTGAGGGCACGTCTGCGGGACCGCCGCCTGGAGGAGAGTCTGGCTCTGGATCATCTGGAAGAGAGGGGAGGTTAAAGATTGGCTCGTTGTTGAACATGTGATTGCGTGAAGGTGACGACTTTATGCCTCGACAGCGAAGAAAGCGTGCTTGGATGGCTTGTGTGAAGGATGGGTTGTGTAAAGGACGGCAGGAGCAAGGTGCTTATGATGATCCGACTTAATGTACAGCTCTATTCGCTGTCCTACTCTTCTCATAGATCCACAAGGCCCACGCTTTGGATTTCGGCTTGATCTGCAATACCACTTCAGTTTCCAAGCCCGCATTAGCCAGGGTGTCAAGCTCTCGGTTTTCTGTCATTATGGGGAAAATCCCAGACAGTTTCCATAGCGGACTCAGTGGGATGGGTGGGAGTTGGTGCGTAAGTGCTCATAGACGCTGGTAGATCATTAAAGATAAATTACCTCGGACTATCAAATGTAATAGGTTTGGGAAGGGGGGGGATACGTCTTTTATATGAAGCTCTTCCTGATTAATCATTAGTTTATTACGTCGGAAATCACGGCAGTGATATTAACTACACGTGTAAGGAAATTCAGGGTGGCGTGCTGTTTACCTTTTACTTCTTCCATCTCGTCAGAAGTCGTGAGTCGAGAGTGGCGCTCACAGACAAACGCCCCGTCTGTGGAGATGTAGGTGGGAAAGAAAGATCGAGGAAGGTGTGCCGACACGCCAAAGCATCCGAGGATCGGCACTGGTGGCACCAACTATTCTGTGACCGTACACCGGTACCTACTACTCTCTGCACTGTACTGTTCTAGCCTAAAACCGCCATGGCAATCGTCGGCTTCATATTCAGTTAGAAGCTTCTTATCACCATCAAAATCCACTCGGAATTTACTCCCATCACTACTCCTACTCTGTGATTGAGCAATTGGACACACCGAGCTGCAGATATGATCATTGCGATCAGATGCTAAGGATCAACAGCAGATGAGCAAAGTCCGTGCATCACCGTCCGCCAACGCCTTACCATACAAGTACGTCTCTCCACTCATCCAGCCTTTCTGACCAGAATACCAACCAGTACAAACCGATTATTGACATACTCTGCCAAACAGAAATCCTCATGCAAAGCCCACATCGCCTCTCCTGTCCGCCACGCCCCGCCGCAAAGGCATTTATATAGCTAGTAGCATAGCAGTCTACGCCTTCACAGCATATGGCTTCTACCTCTACACCACCCTTTTGGCAGAACCAGATCACCCACTTCCGTTCCAAGACACAGACGTTACGGATCGCTACCACACTACAGCCAAACACTTCGACGCTGATGTCTCCTCTACAGAGAACATTTGGGGCATTACGAATCTTCGACGTCGTCTTGCTGAACAAGCCAAGGGAGATGTGCTGGAGGTAAGCGTGGGCACGGGCAGGAATGGAGTGTACTATGATCTGGAGAAGATAAAGAGTTTGGCTTTTGTCGATCAGAGTGGAGCCATGGTGGAGATTGCGAGGAAGAAATGGAATTCTCTCCATCCCGGATATGAGCGTTGTTCATTCCATACTCAATCAGCCATGGACCCGCTGTCTGCTTCCGCAATGCCGAAGGCAGGGTTTTCGACGATTGTGCAGACTATGGGCAGTTGCTCTACACCTACACCTGCTGCTACGCTGGCGCATTTGGGGAATTTGGCCGATCCGAACGATGGGAAGCTTCTGCTGTTGGAGCATGGAAGGAGTTATTATGATTGGATAAACTGGATACTAGACAAGGCTGCCGCTAGGCATGCAGATAAGCATGGGTGCTGGTTCAACAGAGATGTGGGAAGGATACTGGAGGAGAGCGGATTGGTGATCGAAAAGGTGGAGAGGAGTCATTTTGGGACCCTTTGGTTTGTGGAAGCGAGGCCAGGTGTAAGAGGTGGAGGAGAGTTGGTGGCAAGGAAAGAAGAGACAAAGGAGGAAAGGGAAAAAAAGGAGGGCAATAGCAATGGTTCCGCGGCAGGGGATGAGCAGACCGTAGTTCTGTAGAGGGAGAAAGGAGACAAGATCAAGGTTGGGAAAGGTGTGTAACGCAATGATACTCGATACGAACATTCTGCATCCACTCCGAGGGTTTTCTCCAGACTTTGCAAAACCTATTGCTCAACATCTCTGGGATCTGGATAGGTGTGTCTATAAGTTCGGGGTGCCAGCGCTGAGCAGCGTCAAAAATGCCGGAGTCCTGTCATACCTACCAGACAGTCATGGCTGTCCTCTAAACCGTTACGCAAGATATGCATACTGAGACGAACAGCGGAGACACTGGGAAGCCGAGACTAAGAGGCTGTTGCAAAGACGTCAAGCTCGCACAATCCAAGTTGATGGTCTCATCGCATCGCCCGCAGTAGAAACACTGATGCACTAGTGTTTATGAAGTCTTAGTTGTAATCAATGCTGTGAAATCACATCTGCATTTGGAATCTCGTTGCTAATATTAATATTCCCAATCTTAAAATCTGATCAACGAGCACCTACTACAACCCTAGCCATGTCTTCTCGTGAACAACAGAATATCGCTCGGCGCTCCAGAAGCCCCCATAACCGCCGTCATCATAAGCGCTCTCGATCTCCCAACTCTCATCTTTACCACCACGTCTCCCACAAGCACAAACACTCGAAGCCTTCTGCGCCGGTGCACCTCCCATTACAAGCTTCAAAGCTGCACAAACATGACTTTGAAACCGTCAAGCCGATGTTTGAGTTGTACCTGGACATCCAGAAGCAGAAGGTGCTGGAGGGCTTACCAGATGACGAGGTAAAGGGCCGGTGGAAGAGCTTTGTAGGCAAATGGTATATCTCTATCCGTTGCATATGACCCGATTCTACAAGGATTGCGAGATACAAGGAGCTGACTTTTGTGAGGAATCGTGCTGAATTAGCCGAAGGTTGGTATGACCCAGCGACTCTTCAGAAAGCACAAGCATCTGCTGCGTCGAACGCTGTCAATACCGAAAGACAAAACCAGCCGCGAGACTCGCCGAGCTATGGTTCTCCGAGGAGAGCAGAAGAAAGCAGTGATGAGGACGTTGTTGGCCCCACGATGCCTGGTGGTGAAACACAAGTCTACAAGAGTGGCAGGAGACCTGGGCCTGTAATACCCAACCCACAAGATCTAGAACTACGAAGAGGTACGGCTCCTGGGAGCATGCCCTACTTCAATTCAAAACACTGACAGTTTTGCCTCCCCTACAGAGCTCGAGCAAGAAGACTCCCTCGCCCACCGCCAAGATCTCCGTGAGCATCGACATCTCGACCGCAGACAGCAAAGAGAACGCCTTGATGAACTCGTTCCCCGCGCCGAAGCCGGTAGCAAAGACCGCATTCTGGAGAAGAAGCGCGAGAAAGCGGACTCGAACCGTGCTTTTGCTTCCGCTAAGATGGAAGCTGGAGGCGTGGAAGAAGTGCCTGAGTCAGATTTGCTGGGGGATGAAGATGGGGGACCCGAGGGGTTCAAGAAGCAGAAAAAAGAGATGGATAGGAAGAAGAACGAGAGGGAGGTGCGGAGAGAGGAGATCTTGAGGGCTAGGATGGTGGAGTTGGAAGAGAGAAGGAGGGAATATCGGGCTAAAGAGGAGAAGACGATGAGCGGGCTGGTTGCATTGGCGAAGGCAAGATTTGGATGAAGCTCTAAACTTGGGAAGGCAGGGAAGATATCAAGCTGCAGAAGGCGGTTCTTCTCGTGAGTGCATGGCTACTTATCATAAACGCTTGTAGTTGTCATCCACAGCTCCATTACATATGTCTATGCTCAAGGCTAGTCTGCTCGAGGCTCAAAACCATTGCCTCTCGCGTGGTTGACGCTGCTTGCATGATCTCAAGGCCGTGCGTTGGTTGCAACAGCCTTCTCCAGGACCTCCAACATTAGGTACGTCCTCTCTCGTCCATCCGCTACTAGTATGCGACACCCCAGCCTTTGCCTCGCTTCTGTCGTCCTCGGCGTCAAAAAGGCAGTTCTGACCTGGTCGACGATGATCTCCCATACCCATTACTTTCGTAAAAGACTGTAGCACTATCTCTTTCACATGCATGCGGTATCACCACAAAGCATCCTCGGCCTCGTGCGAAGGATGAAAGAGGAAGAATGCTTTGCGCGAGTTGCCGGTGGATGCCAAGCCGAAAAATGGCGCTTAAAGCAGCAAGGTTTTAGTATTAGCATGAAACGATTCTCGCGCGATAGGCCGCAAACGGAGCTCATTCATTGGCTTGCTTCGCCCCTTTTTTTCTTTCAGGGTCCGCCATGTTCGGTGGATCTGCAGGGATGAAGGGGCGTTAAATGCATAATTCACAAAGCAGCAAGTGGCAGCCTGGCTCCCGCGGGCATGAGTATAAAGACACGGTGATTCCCACCCTCAAATTTTAGAAAAATTCTCGCTTACTGGCCTTTTAGAGTTGTCGTCGTTGACGTCCTTGCCCCAACGTCAATTCCGCATAACCTCCGCCTCCACCTCCGCCTCCAATCATCTCCACCATCAATATCATCACATTAGATAGAAGATACCCGTTTCGCAGTTTCTAATTTAATACACTTGAAAAGGCACTTCTCACGTGCTCTTTCCCCCCACTCTCAGACGAGACTTTGCCCCTCCTTCCGATTTGAATTAGCGACTTTCTACCTTACCTCTAACCTCAAATCACATCCACCTCCTCAATCACAGATCTACCTCGTCCAATCGGCAACTCATCAACACTCACTTTTCCAATCCGGTTGACCTGAGTCACACATGCGACAGTGTTGAAGGGCAGGGAGTGTCAAGTCGAGCACCGGCTGTAGGGGAAACATTCGCTTGTTCATCTCCCGCATACGGTACGAATTCTCACAATCACACTCAACTTCCTCGACATAGGCGACCTCTCCCACCGTCGCACCATCCTTCGCCCCTCTCGCTCGAACCTCGATCTAGGATCTTTCAATCTTTCTTTCGAAGGAACCTGTTCACTCTGACCTCACGCGACACAGACTGCCGACTCTACTACGCTCACTTGCCGTCACCGACCTTGCCTTCCGACACCACCTCATCGCAGGTCACTCGATCGCAGGAATGGAAACCCTCACTACACACCCGTCCACCGCACAGCAGGCTACGGCCTTCACCTCACCTGCCTCCTTGTCTTTCCCAGGCGGAGCTGGAGAGCTGACGCCACCCTCTGAAAAAGATGGGAATCCCCAGGCGAACGGCACGAGCGGTTCATACCCAGGTGGTCAGCAGCAACAGAAAGGAGCGGATGCCTCATCCAACGGCAACGGGGTGACTCCCACAACTCCTGCTGCGACCCCTGGTGCTGGACAAGGTGTTAGTGGATTAGGTACGCTCTTCATCTCGTAGACTATACTGAGCACCATTAACTGACCTTATCGCAGTACCTACCTTGCAGTGAGTATAAGTCTTGTTATGCCTCTTGTTGATCCCGAGGCTTAATGGCATGTTTGAAGAAATATCGTTGCCACGGTCAACCTTGATTGCCGTCTCGATCTGAAGACCATTGCGCTTCACGCGAGGAATGCCGAGTACAACCCTAAGCGTTTCGCCGCTGTCATCATGCGTATCCGCGAGCCTAAAACTACCGCATTGATCTTTGCTTCCGGCAAGATGGTAGTTACTGGTGCCAAATCTGAGGACGGTGGGTCTTTCCAGTGCCATGTCGTACGCTTCCTGCTTACTGACGGCTTTCCCCCCAAGACTCTCGTTTGGCGTCGCGCAAATACGCACGAATCATCCAGAAGCTCGGTTTTAACGCTAAGTTCACGGATTTCAAGATCCAGAACATTGTTGGCTCTTGCGATATCAAGTTCCCAATTCGTCTTGAAGGCCTTGCGTCTCGTCACCACCACTTCAGCTCGTACGAGCCTGAACTCTTCCCTGGTCTCGTAAGTCTCTCGGAGAGTTTTTGTTCTTGATTGCTTCCCTGTCACGGCGCAAATGCTTACTCTGCATCTTTACAGATCTATCGTATGATCAAGCCGAAGATTGTGCTCCTCATCTTTGTCAGCGGCAAGATCGTCTTGACTGGTGCGAAAGTGCGAGAGGAGATTTACCAGGCGTTCGAAATGATCTACCCTGTGCTGAATGGTATGCATTGAATTCTATTCCATGGATAATCCAAGCTGACAACCCTAGATTTTCGCAAGGTCTAATCCAACTGCCTCGAAAACATCCGCCTCTGTGGTCGATCATCCTGTACTACCACGCCCTACAACCCAAGTCCGCCTGTACATTACACCTTCCATTTTCCCTCCTGCTTCGGCTTCACAACCATCTGCTTCAACTCCGCTGATTGCATGCACGAGCTCACCTGCACATCGGCTGCTCGCTGCACTGCTCTCTACAACCCCTTTCACAACCACAAATGCATACAAAAATGGAGTTCGGTCACGAGGTTTCGGAGAGTCTTCAATCAGCGAGCGTTGCATATTTTTTATCCGAACATACATTATTAGAAAGTCGCACGGCGGTTCTGTGCGCTGGTCGGTGGATACCGCCGGGGTGCGATCTGCGAGAAAGAACAGAAGTTCGTTTTCCAGTTGCTCAGAGAGACCGAGATACCAGATTGAGAGGCCGGAGTGGAGGAGCGGATGATCTTTTGATCGTCGTGCTGGAGAGTCTTATCATTACGAGTCAGCTTGCACAAGTGCTTGCCAAGTTCTGAGTCTGGCTTCGGCAGGCAGTCTATGATCTAGGTGCGCCGATGATCAGATACAAATTTGATAGAATGGAATACCAAATCTATTCCACCAATTGTCGGTGCATATGATCCATCAGCACATCTCATGATGATCATGTGCGCATCTTTGTCCTTCCTCCCTTTCCAATCCCCAGACATGTGTGACTCTATGAACTCAAACCCCGTTTCTCTTCCCTTTCATCTCCCCTCCCTTCATCCATTCCTTCTTCATTCCATAGCATGGCCACTTCTCCCTCCATGACCCATGATTCTGCTCCATTAGACTCCATTCTTATCATCGGGGCAGGCGTCTTTGGACGTAAGTATCAGAACATATTTGGAACTCCCCTTCCCTGTCGCCTTTCCAGCTGACTTCTCATAGTATCGACAACCCTCTCCCTGCTCGCCTCCGGCTACGCCCACACCACAATCACCCTCCTAGATCCCTATCTCCCCACGTTCGACACCCTACCCCCGTCCCCGTCCCCGTCCCCGTCCCCATCCCCGTCCCCGTCCCCGTCCGCCCCACCACAAAACCCACACGCCGCCTCCATCGATTCCTCCCGCATCATCCGCCCCGATTACGCTCTGCCACCGTACGCAAAACTCGCCTCTCGGGCCCAGAGCGAATGGAGGAGAGGATACGGCGGAGAGGGGGGTGTACAGTGAGAGTGGTGTTATACTGTCGGCGGAGAAGGGGGGGGCGAGTATGTGGGGAGCGCGATGGGCAATGCGGAGGTTCTGGGCTATAGGGTTGAGGGGTTGGGGAGCAAGGGGAGTGTGCGGCGGGTGTTGGGGACGGGCGGGGAAGGTGGGGAGAGCGGGTATGTGAATTGGGGGAGTGGATGGGCTGACGCTGGGAGAGCTATGGATCGGTGTGTGAGAATGGCGATGGAGGTGGCGAGGGAGAGGATGGGGACGGAGGGGAGGGAAAGGGGACGGGTGGTGTTCAAGAGGGGGAGGGCGAGGAGGTTGATCTTTCGAGATGGCGAGGGAGAGGGGAAGAGGAGGGTCGTTGGCGCTGCGTTGGACGACGGCTTCGAAGTCCTCGCGGACCTCACCATCGTCGCCGCCGGCGCCTGGAGCGGTGCCCTGGTCGATCTTCGCGGAAGGGCGGAAGCCCGCGGGCAAGTCCTGGCTTACATCTCCCTCACCGATGAAGAGAGGGAAAGACTGAAGGACATGCCTGTCGTTCTGAACCTCAGCACAGGCATGTTTGCAATCCCGCCGATAGACAACGCGTCTGCCCCACCGCCCGGTCAGGAGACGAGGCCGAGAGATTGGGTGCTCAAGGTTGCGAGACATGCTTTTGGATATGCGAATCCGACGGTGGTGGCGCCTGAGGGGGACGATATCGTCATCAGCTTGCCTGCAACGAGATTTTCTCCCATACCAGCAGAAGGAGAGGAAGCATGCCGTTCCTTTTTGCAAAAGACGATCCCCTGGCTCGGCGACCGCCCCTTCGGCAGCACGAGGATATGCTGGTACACGGATACTCCGACTGGTGATTTTCTGATCGATTACCATCCGGAATACGAGGGGCTTTTTCTTGCTACGGGTGGTAGTGGACATGGGTTCAAGTTTTTACCTGTGCTGGGGGATAAGATCGTCGCTGCGGTTCAGGGAGCTTTGGAGGACGAGTTGGCGGGGCTGTGGAGGTGGCCGAGGGAGAAAGTGCTGCCGTTCAGGGGGTGTGAGGATGGGAGTCGGATGGGCGATAGGGATATGGTTCTGGAGGAGGAATGGGCAAAGGGGAAGAGGAAGGGAGAGAGGGTGAGGAGTAGTAGGCTATGATGGCCTTCAAGGGGCCGATCATTGAGACTTCAGCCTGCAGGTCCACCACACCATCGATCTTGCCTGACAGCTTGACGACGTGCATGCGGGCATGACGGACCGAGAGCTGAGTGATTCTCAAGCCAGCGCGTGTGTCCTGAGTATACTGATGGGCCTTGAGATCTGGTATTCGGTTTTTTCGGGACGGACGAGTTATTAGTATGGCGAGCCTGTGTTCCTTTCTCTGGCAAAGCATTTGGAACGAAAGTGCAGCCACACATAGGACGCAAGAGCGATTCAAAACCGAGTGCTGGATCCCGACCCAAAGGCCTGTCAATGGCCTCAATTTTTAGGCCGGTGCGCTCAATCAAGTACATCTTCCGTCAGGTCCGATGACATCTCACAGGACTCGAGGTCGAAACGTACTCTACGTTTCAAAGATATCATTCACGCAAAGCCGAGTCACTTGTCGGCTAGCTAACTCCATGACTCATTACTTTGTGCTGATCATCTACTTACGGAGTTGTGATCTCTTTGGGAGGACTCGTTGACGAACGCTCAAAGTTGGCCCGGACCATATGACTCAAACGTACTGCATTCGTCTCCTGATCTATCCAGCAGGTGGAGCAATCACCCCACCCTTGACTCCCTACGGGCTACGACAACCCAGAATTCCCTACCGTCGTCGTCGTCTCCTCGAGCCACGGCTCGACCAGATATTTCCTCAGGCCGGGTTGGTGGAGAGACAGATCGACGTCGGAAACGCCAGCTCGTGCTTTGCTGTCACTCTGCCGTTCAAGCAACAAGACGTCTCTCGGAATCTTTTCGAACACGCTATCGATCAGGCTCGGAGGCGATGGGCTTGGTTTACGACATCTCGAGAGCTGGACGCCGGAAGGGGCACTGAGTTTGGGAGTCTGGGGTACCTTCTGGGGGAAATACGCCAGCAGATTTTCAAGGTGGTACTCGGGTGGTTCACGTCGTTGTCCTTACCTGACCTAACCGCTGCCGATACCAACCCCTCTCCGGCTGGTGCGGCTATCGTTACCAACGTTGGGACTTGAGTTCGACGACTTCTTCTTATCCAACACTATTCTCAAATTCGAAAGCTCCGAGGGACTCCAAGATTTCCTTTTAACAGTCGTCAAACTTTCATCTAACAAAGGTACGGCGCATCGTCGTCAGCATTTGGGTTCCTTGCGGCTGTCGTTCTCGTCGTCTGCTCATAAACTGGAGGAATGGCTGGAAGACGACGTGCTTGCAGTTACCGGCGTCGCTGCAACATGTCAGCTTTGAGTTGGACTACAATCGACCTGAAACTCGTGCGAGAAGCTGCAGACGACGGGGCGACACAAGGCTATTGAAAGACACCAAGGCGGCAGCAACTCTTGTTGAGGTCTTGAGCAAAGGGATAATGAGGAGTGCTCCGGGGGCATTGGTGGAGATGAATGAGAATGACAGGAAAAGGTTGCTTCCAAAACATTTCGAACTCTTCGATGCTGCGGTGAATGACGTTGAGAGATGACCGGGGAAGTTTAACGAGGATACTGTTGCTCATAATGACAGGTTGAAGAAGGAGGAATCTGGATATGGCTTGCTCAACAAAGGGAACCGCCAAAGCATGGCACGCGGTGGCAGCGTTAGCGATCACCGCCCTGCACGTTGAACGGAGGTATTCATGCTCCAGTTGCAAGCATATAATCAGCAAGAAATACTGACTGCAAGTGCCCTTCTCCATAAGACGTGAGCAGGCAAGAAAGAGTGCGACCCTCGGAGCCTTCAGCTTGAGCTCTTTTCGTACAGTTTCGTCAGCAATTTGACAGTCAAGCTCTTTTGGAGTGCCTTGGGTACGCTGCGAATTGTGTTTAGTATCATTAGAATACCGATCAACTGTGCTGTCACAATTGCAGAAAGCCAGCGATATACACAGCAAGTTTCTCAGCTTTCGCGAAACCCTTTGGTCTTTTGCCAACGATGTCCCCCTTTAGCTTTAGTCAAGGCATGGTTTAAGACATCGAAATCTTGCTGGAATAATTATAGTAAGTCTCTCCCTGCGTCCTGGTGCTTAGTATCAATCCCACCAGGAGAACAGCGTCTGATGTCGTTGCACATTTCTTTGGTAAAATCCCAGCCCAATTTTAGAGGTCCTGCGGAAGCCATGAATGCTACTGTTTAGTGAGAGGTAATCCGTCCACTTGTTAGAGATGGAGAAACCAGTATCTAAAAGTACTTTATGCAACCGCACGAATTTACCCTTCGCCTCGCACCCTTAGGCACGAGCGCCGATGCGCCCTTGCAGCGTCGCACGCCAAGATGGCGCTTAGTAAGCAGATCTCAAAATAGTGAGCGGCTATCCTCGCAAGATCAATCGTTGTTGATATCATGACCGACTATTCTTCCAATTCATTCGCCAATGCATTACTTTCCTCTGCGCGCATACCCTGTATAAATAGCTATCTATTTCTGCGCAATGGCACCCAATGAACCCGAGAGTCCAAGCAAGAAGAGAAAGCAGCCTGTTAATGGAGTGAAACGCGATCAGCCTTTGTTCGCTCAACGCAGACCCAATCGTTCATTGCAACAGCCGCCCGACTTTCTCACGGACAGTCTCAACACTTCATACATCCCTAGTCCTAGCCCACCGAAGAGCCCAACACGTCAAGATGTGCGCGCAAGGCCTAGACAGACGTTAGATTAATTCGAGGTCACTAGCAGCTGCTTTCAAAGCTACACCAAGGGTCAATGACGAGAACAGACCACCCTCTTCCTCTTCCTCTGATCACAAGCGCTCTTTTCAGGCACTGAATCCACGCCCAACGCAGAACGTATCTGGCCCAAATCAAAAGTCATCCAGCAAGCCAGCGCAAAGTCCTGTACCCGCGCGAACACCCAGTCCGTTGAGAGGACGGGCCCTTTCAGTCACATCGCCTGCTGCCTCTGAGTCGTCTCCGCCTCGTGGGTACGCTGAGGCCTACCAGCGCATTGTTGAAGAAGAGAACCTGGCACAGGAAGAATCAGTAGAGGACATGGAGGACATCACCGGATATGATTTCAATGAGCAAGATAGATCGCAAGATCTTGATCGTATGCGACTGCAGAGGATACAACACTCTGCATCTCCTGTATCTTTGAGGGCTTCTCGAAGAGCTTCACCAGGAGGCGCTCTCGGAGGGGGCGCACAAGCTGAGGTTGACGACAAGGAGAACATCGGGCATGACTCAGATGGTGAATCAAGCGCATCCTACATGGAGAACGTCACGGACACATCTATGGATAGCGGGTCGTCTCAGTACGCCAAAGATCTACAGAGGGTCCAAGGTGCATTGAACAGTGGAAAGAAGGCGTTCAGCAAAGCGAGGGTTGGAGATAGAGTCGGACTCACTATAGACAATCTGCAGCGCAAAGGAAGCAACGATTCTCTGGGAAGCGCGTTCAGTGCCGGGAGTCTGAGCAACAGAGGCTCTGACCCATCCGTCAACGTGCCCAAGGCCTGGGGAAGGAAAGCAAAGCCGGGGAAGGATTGGCTCAGCCGAATCAACAGCAGAAGTGGCAAGCTTACTGGTGATGTGCCCAAGCGTCATTCCTCTGGAGATCAAATTATCGCAGAGAATCAAAAACGTGAATGGGCGGAACCAATTGACGAGTGGATCTCAACCGCAGCTGAGGTCCCTTTACCCTCTGTGGAGGGTTCTTCGCAGACAGCCTTATCGTCTCAAGGCTCGACACCTACGACAGCAGTCCAGCGGAGTACCTCTTTGGACCGAAGAAGGCAGTGGGAGGTCAATGATGATGAGTTTACTGGACGATCCTTTCAGGTGTCTGATAGTCCACCAATTCGGATTCGAAGTGTTGCTCTTGATCGCATCCGAGAGCGAGAAATAGAGAGCGTCGAGAAGAGAGCGGTAACAACAAGCAGACTGGGCGAATTGCGCAAGATGTCATCCGCAGAAAGCCCGCGAAGAAGGATAGGGTTTGAAGTGATTCAGGGAGATGACAGTCGTGGTTTGAGTGAAGGTTCTCCACAAAGACATGCATCTGGCAAGTCCACTCTAGAGTCAGAGCAGCTGGATCCAGACGAAGACAACACTCCAGACCTTAACCCAGATGACACAGGAGAAGCTATTCCGGATACCCCTATTGTGATTTACAGAGCAAATTCCAATGGCATTGTCTCTTCGAGTGAGAAAAGTGCCAAGCAGCCCGAATCAAAAACGCAGTCGTCTCGCCAACCCAGCCATGAACGGAAGGACTCCCATGATCTTCTCAAACGGCTGGCTAGGGCGACGAGTGAAAGTCCCAGTCCCGCAAAACAGTCCAACGAGCCAGGCCAATCACCAAATCAAGAGGGCCAAGATCAAGTCCAGCAGACACCGCAGAATCACAGACCTACTAGCGACCTCAAGACACCGGTCATAACAGGTGCGTGGGTGGATCAGACCATGGACGACACGCCTCGGGTTTCGAGGGCAGATATCAATTTAAAAACGCCTCTAGTAACTGGTGCTTGGATCGACACCCCTCTACCTACTGGCGGTCGAGGCCCTCCAATGCCAACGCCATCTGACGCACAGGACGAGAAAGAACTGGGTAACGGCAAACTCGGTGCTGCAGAGCTGATACACAAACTCAGTCCCAATACTATATCTGCGCGCCCAAAATTGCAGAATCAGGCTCCTCTCAAGTACTCAGGACCTCCTTTGGCTAAATCTGCACTACAAGAAATCATCAACGACGCTCGAGCTCCAAACCGAGAAAGACAACCCAAGAAAACCTCTTCAGATTCCGAATCCGAAGAAGATCCCACCCTCCACCTCGGCGAATCCACTATCCAATCCCTCGAGGAATTAATCGCCAACGATGAAGACTTCTCCACCCTCCTCGCCCCCACGCCACCATCTCCCGAAACCGCACCGTCATCCTCCGAACCATCCCCTTCCTCCCAAGCTGTCACCACGACGTCCAGATCCTCACGTCTCTCCGACCTCCAATCATACACCCACCTCCTCTCCCGCCTCACAAACCTCGCCCCCTCCCTTCGCGCATCAAAAAAACAAATCTCCGCCCTCGAACGTACCATCTCCGCCTCTCCATCCATCCATCAAACCCAGACCGTAGCAGAGCGCGACCAAGGCGAGTGCACCGAAGGAGGCGAATTCCACGACTTCATCTGGCCCTGCCAGCGCTGCGGCTGCCCAGGCCGCATGGAGCCAGACCTGCAACCCCTTCTCGACCTCCGCGACCACATCACCTCCCTCACCATCCCCATCCCCCGCCTCTGGCGATGGCGCAGAGACGACTGGCGGCCTCGTCTCACCTGGCTCGGCGTCTTCACCCTCCTAGCATGGGCGCTGTACTGGGGCGAGATGTGGGCTCGAGCCCGCTTCTGCCATCCGATCTACGCGAGAAGCATGGTGGGTTATGGCGTCGACATCAACGCCCCCCGCCCGCCGTTCGTACTGGCGAAAGTGGTGTATAGACACACGGCTGTTGGGACCGTGATGGCGCCGTTCTATCACGTCGCGAGGATCATGGTCAAGCTGGTCGCGAGTCTGGTGGGCTATCTGGCGGGCTTCGTGGCGGGTGACGGGGCGAAGCAGCCCGCGAGTCGGGACGACAGGATCCCGAGACCGCCGTGGGGCCCGGATCTGAGGATGATGGACGATGAGTATTTGTGAGTGGGGTGTAGATCGAGTCTAGCGCGGTGTCCGTTCTTGAAGATGGATGCATATGGCCGAGGGCTGGCAATTGGATATCTAACCCGAAGTAGACATATGGAACGGGAGCGAAAGTGTTGACAAAGTGAATGAATCAATCAATGATAAACGGAGATGCACATGGTAGTCTCCGCGTTTTGCCATTAGGATCCACCATTTCCACGTCAGTTATCGATACAGTGGATTGGAGATGGGAATCGAAGAAATCTACTACTGGTGCACAAAAGCGCACATGGTTCGGCTATGGCGGTGCTGCCTCCGGATGTTTGAGTACCTATCCATAAATCACTGTCGCCGGGATACGTAGGTAGAACCAGGTCTTCATTCCAACGTATCCGTTCAGCGGCTGCGCTGGGGAATCTAGATCGTACAACCGGTGGCGGCTTTTTTTCATTTCTGCAGATACCGATGATCAATCTAGCCTCCTGCAAGCGATGCATCCAAAAAAAATACAAAACACCACCGTCGTTATCATAAGCCTCCGGGGGGGTTTTTTTTATATACGCCCAAGCCCCTGACATCGACATCCCTCTATTTACAGCACTTTTCCTTCTCCCCCGAGAACCCTTTCCTCACCTACCTCCACCTCTGTAGGCCTCATACCCCGTCTCCTCGCCCTGGGGTACCCCTATGTATCCAGTTCCGCCCGTCCTCCATCTATCTAGCCCATACTGTTGCTCATTTTCGGTAGTCCCAACGGGTTGCGCGGCGCTCAATAGATCCCGCTCGCTTTCGTTGCCGTTACTGTAGAGATTACCTCTTCCACCACTCGATTGACGAGATCGATCCCGGTAGGCTGGATGCATCTGTCGCGGTTCCTGCGGACTTTGTCTCCCCAAGTCACCTTCGGGCCCGGGACTCGACGCTCTAGAACTGGACGGAGAGCCGCCATCCCTTCCCAAAAAGGACCTGGGTGTGCTACTACGTTCTGACACAAGATCCTGAGCGCGTCCGTAAAGTTCTCCATCGCCACCATGCTCCTCGGAGAAATCTGTCCTGTCTTTAAAGTATCCAAAGTCGAGATGAGACTCTGGGACAACTTCGAACATGTTTCTCTCTTTCTGCTGCTCAGGCGCAAATCTTGCGGTTTTGCCGGGGACATCTCTGGACATGGGATCCATGGCGATGTCTGAGTAGCCCATGGGCGTTGACATGTTGTTCTCGGAATTGAGGCGGCCGCGGTAGACTTGCGCGATGACGTGTTGAGCTTTGGCGTGGACCATGGGTGTAATGAGTTTGGAGTAAAGAGCTGGGTGGCCAAACTTGGTACCGACACGATCGTTCTTGCGGGTCTTATGCCCTGCGTCCGTGAGGTGTTCGGGATCTTTGAGCGTAGCTCGAGTGTAGAATTCGTTCTGGTCGTCAAAAGTGGAGGCGCAATACAGTTTGAACCCGATGAGCAGGAGCGGAAGCGGCGCCATCACACCGATCATGACCCATGTGCCTGCGGATTTGAGGATGAGAGCGATGATGAAATCAGCGAATATGGTTGCGAAGACGAGGCGATTGAAGAGTATCCGCCAGTATTGACCACCAGATTCCGTTTTCGTGATCAGGACATAGAGTAGAAGATACTTTTTAAGCCAGTAGTCGACGGCGAAGTAAAAGGCAGTGATTGGGATGACGAGAGGTTGGACGGTGACGAAACAAAGGGCTACTGTGGCGTAGAAGAGGAAGTAATTGTAGTAGACGGCATAATCGATAGCCGGTGGGGCTGTCCATTCAATAGTTTGTCGAGGTGTGGGGCTCATGAACGTTCTGTTGAACCAGCCCCACGTAAGGTTGAGTACCTGTGCGAGGTCTGCGGCAGCGCCCAGATTGCGTTGCAGAAGCCAAGTCAACCAGAATGGCGATTCTTGGCATAGGCCGTATACCAAATGAAGCAGAAAGTCGCCTTGTTTTATTGCATCCCAGGCGCCCACATGATGCGGATTCAGGACGACCCCCTGTACGAACGTGAATATCACGGAGAACGTGGAGAAGACGACCAAATTATTGAAGACGAAGAAGGCGTATAGTTTAGTAGCGACATGACGCTCTCGAGAAGTTTTTGTTGTGTCACCAGCATGGATAGAGAGCCTTCTGAAAATGATGGGAAGTATCAGATAGACCAGAGAGGTCAACGCCGGAGAAGCGATACCTTGCACGATGGACCAGAACGTCGAGTGATTGTGGAATTCTTTCTTGAATCCTCCCCAAATATTGGCCAGGTTGCTCAAATTTGACAGGAAAATACCAATCAGCGCGTTGGGAGCAATCCAGATAAGGGTCAGAATGGCAATCCAAAAATTGTTGATAAATCGCTTCCAGTTCCTGTCCTTCTTCGATAAAGGTAGATTCTTCCAAATGAGATCGTTGGGTCTTGGGGCCATTTTGATCGTCGTGCCGTGAGGATGTTTCTTCTTCGCCGCATATGCCACGGTATGCGCGTCCTCGATCCTCTCATAACTGGCAAACCCGAAGGGCATAGGATTACGCTTGTCGATTGATTCTCGCACATGCTTGATTTCCATCTCCAGCTCGCTGATTCGATCAGTAAGATAATCAATCGCATCCACTTTCTGACCACCATTATTCTTACGGTATTTCTTGGATGGCGTTATTGTAGGGCGATTCGCTGGGAGGCTGTCTGGGTTCTTCAAATACTTCGCCAATACTCTCTCCAACTCCCTGACTGCCTGGTCGTGCTCTTCAATTAATTCTGGAAGCTCCTTCACATTGCGAGCTATTGCTGCTCGAGGTAAACCACTTGTCTGTTCCACCTCATCTGTCAAGCGTAAGATACCCTCGTCAGTCCGTGAGGCTGTGGAAATATCCGTGAGCATCAGGGTCCGCGAATGCAGCGCTGTTAGGTATTCAGCGCTCTCGAAATACTGCCTTCTCAATCGTGTGACTGCCGCATAGTTTCGCCACAGAAAGAAAGCCACGATGATGTTGATTGCCCAGGCACAGACAACATGAACCCATAAAGCTGGCCCTGCGACATACTGGGGAGTACTGAGGGTTAAGAAGCCGTGACTGACCACTCCGTGTACATTCTTTTTGCTACTGATGACGTTGGCTGGTAGCAAGATGGCAATCGCGACGATTGTCACCAAGGTGAATATATTCCTGCACATTTTCGTGAACCGTAGGAATACTGCAGCATCAAGCCCAACCTTTTCTACAAGCTCTGCTTCCTTTATTGAAGCAACCGGCCAGAACCAGGCAAACATGCCTTTCCCAATCCGCGGCGGAGCATGCTTGTCATCTGCATATTTCAACTTTGGGGCGTAGACGACCGAATTATGAGGTCGCATTATAGAGAAGGCGAGAGTGATCAGAATCATTGTTCCCACGGAGTATCCCAAGGCGGAAAAGACGGCGATTTGGTGAAACTAGGTGCGATTGTAAGTAAAGATGGCTTTTGCACAGGGACGTTCAAAAGCTTACAGTGTTGGAAAAAGGGTCTGCAACTAAACACAAGAGCTGCTGAGCTCCCTTCAACTGCGCGCAGTCTTGGCCATCTACCGTCCCAGCTGTTGGGTCTGACATTGTTGCGGCAGGGGAGGTTCGACTTTTCGAGGCTCGTTTGGTATGGAAGGAAGTTCGGGAAGTCAGACAGACACGACGATCAGGTCACATGAAGCTCAAGCAAGACATGAAGACTCTCAGACCGTTTGAGAGCGATGACAGCTCTCCTCAAGTCCGGTGTTGGATCTTGGCAACGGCTTGGATGCTGTAGGACTGAGAAGCTGGTTTGGCGGTGAATGCAATTGATGAGGACAGTCAAAGCAAATTGAATCAAAGAAAGGTCTTGTATAGAGGGTATACAGTGATGACAAAGATTAAGCGAATGATAGGGTGCAAGACAAAAGATTGAAGATGTTGCAAGGATTTCCATTGTTGTCTCACAGGTTATTCGGAAGCTAAGAAAGTCAGGCCCTTTTACTACTGTGCTATAAATATCCTGTTCGCTCCTTGTGAGTCTGTGACATCGCGGAGGAGCCCGCTCGTAAAATTTGAACAGAGTAATTATTCTTTCAGTGAATACGAGTAGTGGAGAACACGCTATGCATCATGGGCATCCTATCCTCATCAGGACTGAAAAATTGCAAACATTCCTACTCCCGTAAATACTGCCCAGAAGAGCTACTTTTACAATATCCTTGGCACACGACCCAGAATGTTCACTCTCCTTGAGTCCTTGTCACGCGACGACCCTCCGAGTTGACCTCGATGGGACTTCTCTTCCACTATAGCACGGGCCTCACTATCTATCCGCTGACTCATTTGGGAGCCTGAAGTCATAGATGCGTTGTGCGGAAAAGGATCCACGCGTGCTTCGATGCATGCCAACAAACGGGCGCTCAGCTGTTGTGTTGATGGTGAACAGCTATGCCTGGCTGGTCTCCTGTGCTTTCACGCTCACGGTTCTGACTACCGCCTCTCCGCCTTTGACCCGTATTGCCACTTGAAAGTCGCCTAACGCCTTCAACCTATCTCCTTCGATGCCGTTATCTTGATGCCCCAACTCATCATCCTCATCTTGGACAATGGCTATATCTTCTGCCCCGATTACGACCCTTGCTCCTCCCGATTTTTCTGCCAGGACTGCCTTTATCGATTCCGCCATATCTGCCGTGGACACAGAACCAAATATAGTGATCAATTGAGGCTGGGAGGGTTTCGGCAAAGGCACTGACGCCGCCTCAAGTTCTGCAGCGGCTGAGCTGGTGGCTCTTCTTGATCGGCTGGGCGGTTGATGAATGGGGGCTTCCGGCTCAGGGGCGCTTATGGGAGTCCTGTAAAATATGAGACTTGGGGGCAAGGATGCCTCTATGATTTCTGAAGCTCGTTGTGGCTGCTTTCATTGTCAGTCTCCGCCATCGCTCAGAAATAGCGTAGGAAACGCGTACTGCCAGGAGGTTTGTCTGGACCTCGACCACTCTCTCCTTCTCCGGCATCTTCTCCATTGGAGCCGGCTCCTCCTTCGGCTCCATGCCGAACGTAAAGTCTCGCTCGGCGACTAGACTCTGTGGCTTTAGACCTTGTAATTTAGACGTGGTCATATATTCCGCCTTTTGCCTCGGATACCAAGTGTTTCGCATACGACCCGGCTCAACAGGGCAGATGGAACCTACAATCACAACTATCAGTACACCGACTGACAATTACAGCACGTTGTGCGTCACCCTTTCGCCCAAAGCCTTTGATATCCTCCAATAGCTTCACATTGATTGTAGTTGGTAGTTTCGTAGACTTCTTCTTCCCTCGCAATTGCCGGTGAAAAGGAAACCATAACTGCGAGATGTCGCCTCCCGCTATCCACCGTATACATGATGAGCATAGATTAGATCTGTTGGGAATCGAAAGCGCAGCCATGATAGTTGATACGGGTTAGTAAAGAATGAGGAAGGAATTAAAAGCTTTGGCTTGATCTCTCAGAATCTGGAGCTAGTCTCAGCCCTACGAAGATGAGATGCGGCATGCGGAGAGAAAGAATATCGCCAGCAGCAAGTAAACCCGCCATTTCACGCATTTGCAGGTAATTGCAAACATACAAGCGCATCTAATCGCAACACAGGAAGCACGCTGCAGCAATTCCGAAGCAGGAACGCCCTTTGCCCTCGCCATACGAAGCCACCCTTAACAGGCAACCCCCACTCTGTTGGAGACTATTCTCGCTCCGTCTACTTTACCCGGCCCTCTGTTTGACCGCCGGCATAAAGACCCTCAGGCGCCGCATATTCTATCACTCCCAGAAGCCTATCCTTAGAAAGAAGTTTCCGGTCAGACCTCCCAGCTATGGCGAAGCGATAGCATACATGATGCCCGACAGACCACTCACCGTCCTCACCTACGCTGCGAGCGCCTCACTCGCCGCAGTCGCTCTTGTCTATTTCTTCAACCCCAACTACCTCATCGATAGTGACTCATCCACGAGCTCAGCGAGCACCCGCAAGAAGGGTATCGTAGGCTTGTTCAATCCAGCCAACGACTGCTTCATCAATTCCATCCTTCAGTCCCTAGCTGGTCTTGGCGATCTACGACTTTACTTGATACGAGAAATACATCGAAGGGAACTGGGAGGTCCCGAAGTTTACGCTGCAGTACCTCTCGTGGATAGCAATGGCAAAGAGGTGGACGGTAGGAAGCTCGCTAGCTTGCAGAGTGGCGAGGTCACACTGGGATTGAAGAACATGATCGATCGTTTGAACGAGCGGCCAATCTACAAGAAGACAATTTCCGCCGCGAACTTCATAAGAGTTCTAGAACACGCGTTTGGGACAAGAATAAGCAAATCCCAGCAGGATGCGCAGGAGCTGCTGCAGATTGTGGCCGAGAGGCTGTCAGAGGAATATCATGCTGGTCAAGAAGCCAGGAAAAGAGCCCGCACAGCACAGAACGGCGTTGTATCGAATGCGGAGTTGACACAGCCAGAAGCTTCTCCACCAAAGGAAGCCAACACTACGGATGGGGGTGCAGACACTGAGATTAATGACGCTACCACAAATGCGCCAACGACCCAGGAGCCTGTGAATGCAGACGAAATAGACCCTCTGGCAGAAGAAGAGGACGGTTTCCCACTTGAAGGTCAGACGGAAGCGCGTACAGAGTGCCAATTTTGCCATTTTGTACCTAAAGCGAGCCCGACAGGCTTCGTCATGCTCAATCTTATGGTACCACAGAAGAGCTCGACGACGCTCAACGAGTGTTTTGATGCTCACTTCAAAACGGAATTCATTGACGACTACAAGTGTGATAAATGCCGCCTCGAACATGCTGTGGAAGCCTACTCCAAAGAATACGAGCGTGCGAGGTCTGATGAGCGGAAAGCGATGATACAGACTTCAATAGAGAAGTTACGGAGAGCGTTGCAGGACGATCCTGAGAAGGCGCCAGAAGGGGTCGAACTACCAGACACAAAGCTAGCGCCCAAACGTAGGATAGCCCGTCACATCGAATTCACTACTTTCCCCAAAGTTCTCGTCGTACATTTGTCGAGATCCGTCTTCGATCCACGCAGCAGCTCAATCAAAAATTTAGCAAAAGTGACATTTCCAGAAAAATTGCCCGTAGGCGGATTGCTGAATCGAAGAATTTACAAGCTGCTAGGCATGGTCACCCACAAGGGAACTCACAATAGCGGCCACTACGAGACGTTTCGAAGACAGCATCTATATGCTCCTTACTCGACGCCACATGTGGTCAATGCATCTGGTCCATATAGTGCAACCCCCAGTCAATCTAGGTCGACATTACCAAGTCCGCAAGTATCTGCAGAATCGCCAAATCTGTCCCAGGAGACGAATGCTTCAAGTTCGAATCCAGATACCGCCGGGCGGATCTCTTCTTCATCTGCCTCACCCTCCTCGAACTCGCAATCACCACCTTCCACACGTCCATCATCAGGATCAATGAATGGGACGCACGCCCACAAAGAACCCGACGTGTCAACAGCCAAAAAACAGGCTCCAACAGGAATCGACGGTGTGAAAGACCGTCTTCTGAACCAAGAACAGAAGTCCAGACCTACCACAGCAAACACTTCCAAATCTTCGACGATGGACGTCAGCCGGTTCAAGCGCAAGAAACGACCTGTCGATCGCTGGTGGCGCATCAGCGACGACAAAGTCAAGGAGTGCAAAACTAGCGAAGTACTGTCGATGCAGAAGGAAGTTTACATGCTTTTCTATGAGGTGGAGAAGGAAGACAGCGAAAGGCGCTGATGATGGAAACTTGCCTAAAAATGAACAATCTTGGCACCCTAGTGCTTAAAGAGATGCAGACAACTTTGCAACAGCTCCACCTTCGTCGCCTTGGCGGTTTCAGGAAAAAGCCCCATTCGGCGCCATTGAATCAGCCCCCAAGCCAGATCGGGCTGCCTGACAGGCGACCGTCCTGCTCGTACTTAACGCTGCCGCAGAGTGAAGCGAAACGAAGCGAAACGAAGCGAGCCGCAGGCTGACACGCATTGAAACTCCTACCACCCTTACCCAGCTGCGACCGCAACCGTCTGGTAGATCTGGAGGCGAGTAAGAAGCCGCCGAAGACAGGGAGTCAGATGTAGGGTAATAAACCTGAACCTCCGATTTACGGCGACCTGATTTTAGGCGCAACAGATCGCCTTGGCTATGAAACAAAGAGAAACTCAGTCGTGTCTTCGATGTCTTTGTGGACGGCGAAGATGCGTGGCTGTGGTTGCTGCCTGGCATTTTGTGACATATGGAGCGTGCAGCGGGTAGAAGAGCTGGGCGCTTTCGTAATGAAAAGGCTTTTGTCCTGATTAGCTGGAAAAGGCAAGAGATTGAAGACTTCGGGTACACGTAATGTACAAAAGAGAGGGAGTGTCAGAGGTCAAATTATTTTTGCAAATGGCGTACATATGTATATATTCGCCACATGTCCGTACATAGCTCGACGACCATTGATCCTGCGAAAATTTCAGTTTTCCTGTGACACATCACCCATCACTCGGTGATTTGGCGTTGCACCCGAACAAGATTTTGAGGTTTAGTTTGCGAATGTCCAACACTTCGACAGAATGTAAATACGGCTAATATCATACTCCGACAAATGCTCCAATCCTGTGCAAATGCTCGATACGGAGATAAAAGGCATGAAGCGATGATATGCACGGTAAAAGGTTGAATGGATAGGTAAATGAAATCGCGTTTCCAGCGAGGTTCACGCCACATGGAATGCGTGACCGAGGACACATCCATGCCCCGACGCCCCCAAGTGAATGCTCCAAACCCATGGGTATGGCATCCATGCAAACTCCATCGCTATGCATGCAAGCAAGCAAACAAACAAACAAACAAAGATTAATTGAATCGTAGACCGGTGGATCAACCACCGGATCGGACCCCAAGCCCGGACCAGCCGAGCCCGGGACCCTTCCCCCGGAAAACCGCCTCCTTACCTCCCGGCCTTCATCGCCTGTCTCTCCTTGATCGAGAAGGGTTCCTCGGGGAAGACCCAGCCCCGGGTCCGCCTCGCCGACCTCTTCTCGCCCTCCTGGACGCGCTGCATCCACCCGTCCCGTCCCTCGGGCCCCGGCTTCCGCACGTGCTGCCTCGACAGCAGACCGCTGCTGCCGGGCGGCGGACCCGGCGGGCCGACGTCGATCCGGTAGCCGCGCTGGCCCTCCAACGGGGCGTCCCCGGCCAGCATGTGGAGGTACCACAGCGCCAGGCAGGCCGTCAGGCCCGTCTGCTCGCTCAGGCGGACGGGCGGCGCGAGTTCGAGGTAGCCGAAGTAGGGCTTTGCCTTCTTCGGTGCCCATGCGCACGCAGACGAGTTCGATTTCCGTCATGATGAAGCCGTAGCGGGTGTTGCTTTCGCGCAGCAGGCGGTGCAGATGGGAGAGGCCGGCGAGGTAGAGCGTTTGCTTGCTGTTCTTTTCCTTGCTCATGCTGCTGTTCCAGACCTCGTACGTCTTGACGAGGCCGACGACACGGCCACGGCCGAGCGCGTGGGTCTCATCGTTGGCGTAGGCAGAAACATAGAATGGGCCATCTTCTCTGTTGCGCTGCGGGACCATGGTGATGTAATGTTGGTGGCCTTGGCAGGTCTTGAGGGCAGCGTTGATTTTGGCGGCGTAGAATGTGGTAATGACGTCTTGAAGGCCGCGTTCGTTGGAGGGTTGGACTATTGACTGACTGCCATGTGGTTTCGGGAGCGCCGCAGCTGGAATGGGAACGTTGAGAAGGCCGGAGCTTTCTTCGCTGTAAGAGAAATCAGGAATAGCCACGATGGTGTCGAGGCTGAAGTCTTCCCAATCTACCAGATTTCGGATGTCCCACCAGCAATGCATATGGTGGCCAATGCTTGTGGAGACCTTATCAACCAGATCGACTGCTGGGTTTGGTCCTGTCAAGTACTCCATAACGGTCGTTGTCGGCCCATCGAGGCAGAGCTCGGGAGTGAGATCACGATACTCGGTCGGTACAGGGACATACAAACTCAGAAGAAGCAAAATCTGGCAAAATTGGCAGCACAGCGTTAGGACACTGAGATGGTTGGGTGAGGTAGACGGGACGAGTGCGGTAATTCGGATTGCCGTACCGTCGCAGAGAAGCAACATCCACGGCAGGGGTGGAAGTGGATCTGACATGGCCGAAGGATCTGCCAACATAGGATGAAGAAAAGGGTGCGGGAGAGCTGATCACAGAGTTCTCCGCCCAGGTGTCCACTGTCGAAGTGTTCGAGACTGGAGTAAGTGAAGAAGAACATTGCGGCGGGCTGGTCGTGCTTCGCTGAAAACCTGGCCTAGATGGTCGTGGTTGGTTTGGCGGATTACAATTCGTAGAAAAAGCTCGGCGATGTGTTTTGCCGCTAGAGACATCTTGATCAAGGCCTTGATCCCGAGTGCGGATTTTTGGGAGCAGGGTGGGCCCGCACGGGATTATAATTGGAGAACTGCTTGGTGTTGTTGCTCGACTCTTCGGTGACCCAGGCGAAGACCAAATAGAAAAATTTCCCGCTGATGAGTTGCGGCTATGCCCCGAGTGTTCGCCTTGGTCGGGCGTAGCAGGACGATATTGGTATGGTTTGAGAGAAGGCATGGCTTCCAGATTTGGAGTACTGTTGGACTTTGTTTCCAAGAGGGCAGCAGACTGCTTACGCGATGCGTGATAGTATAGGCTGGTATATCTTGCGCTGTGTATTAGTGGAGACCGGCTCCGATGTCTCGTCTATGATGAAGCAGTAGGAAACAGAAAGAATGAAAATTAAGAGATTCGTTGAGAAGGAACTGAGAGACGTTTCGTCGGAGGCTTCGTAACTCTGGAGAAGGAAAAAAGTGATAGGAGATGGAGAGGACTTGAGGGCGATACTTATCCTCGACGAACGCTCTCCATTACACCATTGGAGATGAAACATATCAGCAAGCTTCAAGAATCAACATACTGATGTTACAGATCTGAAACGTAACATCACTGGTTTGGGCGGACTACTAGGGCAGACAACAAGGCCATCATGGCCGTTGAAACATGGCATTCTGTCAAGACAGTACGATGTCGCGCGTCACGCCGTCAGTATAGTAAGTACGGGGCGGGTTCGGTCTCAAGCTATTTCTAGGGTACCGCGTCTCGCGGACGACCCTTGGTGTAGCCCCGCCATCGTACGGGTTGCCAGTTGGGCCAAAATACAGGCCTCAGTTGACGTATTAGAACTTTAGGAGGTAGCATTGGGCATAGCTCAGAAGTTACCAGCGCGAAGCGCTATCCCAGTTTAGAAGTTTTTCAAATAGCCAGGCGCCGGCCAAATATAGAGGAACAGAGGATTTCCGGGTCTTTCAGAAGGTCGCGAAGGTTTCGTGATTTTGGTGTCACCTTGACGCCCGGTGAATTGGAGCGTTGCGAGTGACTTTGGCGCGTAAAATCTGGGGCAGGTAGACACACGCGTTGATTGGTCCCAAGCTGTAGTGGCGCTAATCCCTTTTTGGCGGAACCCTTGGCGCCAGATGCAAGAACGAAAGAGTCATAACTCATCAGGCAAGAACGATTGGCTTTCCATGGAGCAACTCACCCATACGGGGCCTCAAGGACATCTGAAACTCTTCCTAGAACGAGTTTCAGTCTTCTTCCTGCTTCTGGTCATGCTCCTCCTGCTTTCTTCCCAAGCGCATCTAGCCCACTATGGACTTTGACTCGGGAAAAGATGCAAACCAAGGACTTTGGTTCAGCAGCCGAGAGCAAGCAAGCACCAAATCGATATCCGGGTCAGCGTGCTTTTACGAGCGATGCAGCTGTAGCGAAGCCAATCTTGGTATGCAGCGGTGGGAAAGTCATTTATGCACCTTGGTTTATCCACCATTGCTCTTCCTTGATATGGATGCAAGAGTGCTCCATAATGATGGGAGTGTTTGTCCTAGTAATCAGCTTCATCTCCTAGAAGAGTGTGCCGAAAGCAGGCCAGCATGTCCTTTTTCTTGAGGACAGTCGATGCGCGGCTTTGGGTCAAGTCGATGATCCAATATCCGGATCAAGGTTCTTCTCGCCCATTTCGTCCATGGTCTCTTCTACATTAGCCACCCACCACTCAGCCCAGTCAACGACTTTCTTCCCGTTACGAGCTTCCTCGGCTGCAAAGACCATAGCATGGCTTCTGATCACATCGTCCAACGTGCATCCAATATGCACTCGTTGAGCTTCAGCCACATTCATCTCCTGCGTGCGTACGGCCTCACACGCTTTTACAAATTGCTGCACAAGTCCTGCATCGCCTCCACCATGCCCTCCGCCCGGCTGATGAGGGTGATGAATTTGAGCATGTTCGGAAGCGAAATCGTAGACTCGGATGGCCTTGCTGTCGTACTCAATTTCTCCTTTGGTCCCATAGATTCGACCTCTTCTCTCGCACTGTTTCTCGGTCGAGGCTACCATATGGAACGTTGCAACTTTTGCGCCTCTCCCTCTGAGGCGGGACTCGATTCCTTTACTTCCATTCAAAGGGAGTGGAGTCTCTTCCCAGGTCATAGTCACCACCTGGTCATCGCAGACACTGTTGTCGGCTTCCCAGACGCAGCGGCCAAACCATCGTTTTCCATCGATTTCAGACTGTGGCGTGCTAGTGTCGTAGTCTCTTGCTAACTCCGCTTCCAGCATCCTCATGGCAGTGCCTTTCTCGCCTTGTCCCATCAAGTCTTCGATTTCAGGAGCAACAATGTTGACGGGCCATCCAGCTATGCCTTTCGCCAAGCGATCTTGTACGTAGATCTTCTTGGCGCTATACAAGCACTCAGGTTCAGCAGGACACGACAGACAATTGGTGGCATTCCCCGCCAAAGCAGGCTTCCGTGACCTTTTGAAGTACAACAGAGAGCCTGAGGAAGATACGCTGGAGGGAAGATGGGGCGGGTTTGTCGATGACGCTGGTGGCGAGCAGAGCAACCAGAGTAGCAGATCGATGTCATGGCACGATTTGGTAAGTAGAGAAGGACCCATTGACTCTTTGCGCCAATTGCCTCTGTCTTCTCGTCAGTCATAGCTTGTCTTGCTTAGACACATTCTCACCTGACGTAAGAATGAGAAAAGTGCCAATAGCCCACGGGCTCGGTGTGTTCGATTGACAGGACGTCTCCAATCACTTCATCTTCCAACAGCAATTGCCGAAGTAGCATATTGTGAGGACTGTAACGTAGAACATGGCCGATTGAAAAGATAGCTCGGTCAGGCTCACCCCCTGGAGGCTTCAGAGAACGATATATTCTCAAGCAGTCCTGCAGAGTAGTTGCCAATGGTTTCTCGCTCATGATATGTAGATGCAAAGGTGCGAGAGTAGTGATAATCTCGGCGTGCATCTCATCCAGTACACAGACAAAAACACCATCGACACCTTCCAGCACAGGCTCGCTCTTCTCCTTTCTGTTTCGTCTGTCCAGTTCGAAATCTAGAAATTCCTGCCAGGTTTCGAAAACCTCACCAGGTCTTGGCTCTTTTCTTCCAGAGACGTACTTTCGCCAGAACGAATGCCTCTTGCCGGTAATGGGCTCTGCTATGGCGCCAACGTAGCCATTGATGGTGTGATTCTCCGATATAGCAGTGGCATATGCATTGCCTCGAGAGCCAGCGCCAATGATGAGGAAGCTCAATGGCCGACTTTCTTGGATCAAGTCTGGAGGGATACTGCCGCCGGAATGACCGTTAACCAGAGCCATTGTCCACAATGTAAAATACCGAGCAATCAACTCATTCGCGGTATCTACACCATGATTATTGTCCTTTTTTGGGGTCCAATTTCTGAGATAATTTGTAGAAAGTACTCAGGGGCTCGTTCTTTCCTTCTGTAGATCTCACTCTCTTCCAGCGAGGTTTTCCCGGCGGATCCGCGCCGAAACATTTCTCACGCGTTTGCACTTTGCGGAGAATACAATGATCTCTTCCTTCTTAAAGTCTGCACTTCTACCAAAAAATCTAGCGTGGTGCTCGAGTCCAGCGACACAGCGAAAAATGGCTAGGATGCGTTCTAATGATCCTTTGATATTTATTGACTGCGAGATGACCGGATTGGACCCGGAGAAAGAGACAATCATGTCCATAGCATGCTTCATCACAGATGCTCAGCTGAAGCTTCAGGACGAGCAAGGCTGGGAGGCAATCATACATCACGACAAGTCTACTCTAGATCGAATGGGCGAGTGGTGCACCAAAATACATGGAGCGTCAGGCTTGACAGCAGCTTGCGTTGCATCCACTACGACCAAGGAACAGGCAGCGGAGGGTCTACTCGAATACGTCAAGAAATATGTCCCCGAAGGACGCAGAGGCTTGCTAGCTGGTAACAGCGTACATTGTGACAAGGCATTCCTCAACAAGCCTCCCTACAATAGGATCACGGACTATCTAAGCTACCGGATATTGGATGTCAGTAGTCTGAAAGAGGCTGCGAGGAGATGGGCTCCCGAGGCAGTCTTACTGGATGTGCCTTCCAAGAAACTTCTCCATCAGGCCAGAGAAGACATTTTGGAAAGCATCGAGGAAGCCAAGTACTATCGCGAGAAATGTTTCGTGAGGTGACCATTATCACAGCGCATATATACGGCCGAATAGAGCAAAGATTGACGTATTCCTGGTGATATTGATCCTTTTTCAGGTGGTGGCTTCTATCGGTCTTCGTTGGCCAAAAGCTACTGCGGCCAACCGCCCCACCGCGCGCTTTCAAGTTTCCGCCCCACTTCAACAAATTTACAGACCTCTTTTTCGATATCCATTGCACGCGCATTGAAACCTCTCATAACCCTACAACCGACCGCAAGTCACTACAGCTACACTATCCATCACAATGAGTGTTCAGACAGTTTCGTTGAAGCCCTTCACTGACCAGAAGCCTGGAACGTAAGTCGCCTCTCACAACATCAACAACAAACACACCGTCTCCGAAGCTCGCTGGTCCAATTCCCATAAAAGCTAACGTCTTTATAGGTCAGGCCTTCGGAAGAAGGTTACTGTCTTCCAACAACCCCATTACAGCGAGGCTTTCGTCACCAGTATCCTCCTCTCAATCCCCGAGGGCGTAGAAGGCAGCTTCCTCGTCATTGGGGGGGGATGGAAGATTTTACAACCCAGAGGTGGTTCAATTGATTGCTAAGATTGGTGCTGCATATGGAGTCAAGAAGATTCTGGTCGGACAAGATGGCATACTGAGCACGCCTGCCGCCAGCCATGTTATCAGGAAGCGAAAGGCTACTGGTGGAATCCTGCTCACCGCCAGTCACAACCCTGGCGGTACGTCCTCCACTCTCTTATTTTCGACCTCCAGCGAAGCACCGGCTAACATGTTGCACAGGACCCAAGGCTGACTTCGGCATCAAGTACAATCTGACAAACGGTGCCCCGGCACCCGAATCTGTCACAAACAAGATCTTCGCTACCTCCAAATCCCTCACCGAATACAAGATCGCCGATATCCCCACTGTTGACATATCGAAGATCGGAACCAAGACATACGGACCTCTGGAGGTCGAGATCATCGATTCAACAGCCGACTATGTGGAGATGCTGAAGGATATCTTCGACTTCCCTCTCATCAAGTCATTCCTGGAAAGCCACAAAGACTTCAAGACTCTCTTCGACGCTTTGAACGGTGTGACTGGGCCTTATGGTATTGCAATCTTTGAGAAGGAGCTAGGACTACCCAGCAGCAGCACCCAAAACTGCATACCCTCCCCAGACTTCGGTGGTGGTCACCCAGATCCCAATCTAGTCTATGCCCACTCTCTAGTAGAGGCTGTTGACAAGCACAACATCCAATTCGGCGCGGCTAGCGATGGAGACGGCGACCGCAACATGATCTATGGTGCCAACGCCTTTGTATCTCCTGGAGACAGCTTGGCCATCATTGCTCACTATGCCAAGCTGATTCCTTACTTTCAAAAGCAAGGAGTCTACGGTCTTGCTCGGAGTATGCCCACATCCGGAGCCATCGATCTTGTGGCCAAGAAACAAGGTTTGCAGAACTACGAAGTCCCAACTGGATGGAAATTCTTTTGTAATTTGTTCGACACCAAGAAGATGTCGATTTGCGGTGAAGAAAGTTTCGGCACAGGGAGCAACCACATTCGTGAGAAGGATGGTCTGTGGGCTGTCGTTGCCTGGTTGAACATTATCGCTGGTGTTGCAAAGGAGAAGCCTGGCGAGACACCTAGCATCGCCTCCATCCAACACGAGTTTTGGGGTATCTATGGCCGGACGTTCTTCACCCGCTACGATTATGAGGGCGTTGACAGTGACGGAGCAAACAAGGTCGTTGCGAATCTGACTGAGCTCATCACTACGAAGAAGTCTGAATTCGTTGGGTCGACCATCCAAGGACGCAAAGTGCTTGAGGCTGATGACTTCTCGTACACTGATCTGGATGGCAGTGTCAGCAAGAACCAGGGCATCTTCGTCAAGTTTGACGATGGCAGTAGAATTGTTGTCAGGTTGTCAGGAACGGGCAGCAGTGGTGCCACCATTCGACTATACGTTGAGAGACATGAGGGCGACTCATCCAAGTTCAAGTTGGACGCGCAGGACTACCTGAAGGATAACATACAACTCGCCGTCAACCTGTTGAAGCTAAAGGAATACGTGAACCGGGAAGAGCCCGACGTTAAGACTTAGGTCACTTTGAGTTTGAGTACTGTTGTTGAGGGAAGATTGTTCATAGACTTCGCCCCTTCAGTGCCCTATGAGCTTTTTCTGTCAAAAAAAAGTCAAGCAAAATCATGGCGAAAAAAAGGTTGGTCCTCAATACAGCCCAAGCGACACCACCAACACCATTGGCTGGTAAACCAGACGGTCATGATTGCTGCGGTATCCCACAAACTGACCTTCTCACTCCTGCAGTTCCTCTGGGCGTGGTATGAAATTTTAGCATCCAATCTGTCTTCATTCTTCCCTCTCTACCTCAAACATGAGATCTTTCAGGATCTGGAGTCAGCATCGCCTTTTCCAGTCTTCATCCTCCGTTCCTGATCAGATATCTAGCGACGTAGAGCGTGTCCGGTTCACCTCCTACTAAATGCAGCGTCCTAATCATCCTTTGCGATTAGTTAATGAAATGTGTGCTGCTAGTGTACCGATGGTAAGTCACACAAACAACAGGAGGCATTGTTTCCGAGCGATGGCTTCTAACTCATGATGATGCTCTAACTACTTGACCACTGGACTTGCCCCACAGTACATCTCAATGCTTCTCGAATTTGGGATACCCCTCCGTCTTTCCTGTCCAATGGCCGCTGTCTCGGCTACTCTGTACACATCAGCTTTCATGCTGCCTTTCCGTCTTCTACGATCCTCCTTCTGTATTATCCAGGCTGCTTCCCAAAAATGCAAGCGGTTCTCAACAGTGGCACCTTCGCGGATCAACCAGTGGGCAGTTTTGAACATCCACCATACGAGTCTACCGACTCGAAGAGTATCTAGCTGATCAGATGTAGCTCCTGTGGAAAGTGTTGACAGGCAGAACTTTGACATTGCAGAGGGTTATCTATTTCCGAAGGTATTCCTGTATGGGTTGACCTTTCTGAGGTTCTTTGTTCTTTGGGTCGTTCGAATTTGACACGATTGCTTTTGAACTTTGATTTCTTGGCTTTTCTCGGCTGACGTTACGCATGACTGTTCCCTTTATCAAGCGTGCGTAGAATGTCAGATGGAAGGTCGTTTTCCGTTCTGATGCTAGAAGAGAGGTTGGCTTTGATGCCATTCTCGCGAATGCAATCTGCTACAATGGATCGCGCTTTCGACTTCTAAGTTCGAGTTTGTCTAATACATTGAACAATACTCCGTATGTTCTCGATACGTCGTGTTATATCTCGTAGAAGGTCGTATGAACAATCAAATTCAAGCTTGTACTCAAGATAGGCAATTATGTCCCCCGAGGAAACTCGATTCAACGCCAGGGGTGTTGTCTTAGAAGGAACACGGCAGGAAAACGGGCAGCATTAGGAAAGAGAGATATAGATGGTTAGAAAGAACATAATTCCGAGGCAGCAAGACATCGACCGAGGCGATGAAACAGAGGCCGAATCAAGAGAAAATGGAGGGATTAAGTCGATTGGGGTCAATTGAGGACGAGCAGATACTGCTTCTCTATACCTTAGCGGATGGCTTGTATCAGAACTGTCTCGAGATTCGAATCTGAAACCGTAGTCGCCTGCCTATTCTGGTGGATACTCAGAAATGCATAGCAATGAAAGCTGTCATGGTTGACTTTGCTACAAGTTCCCCTCGCCCCTCGGTGACGCACAAGCGCTGCGCCTGCCGCGTGTGTTTGCCCCTCCTTGGCTCTTGACCGTTGCTTTATTCTATTCACTCTCATCTCTCAAACCGACTCCTGTTTCTTTCAACTCACCCTCAGCCATTCGTTATCCCTGTCATATACCATGTCTAGCTCTTCCAAAGGTGAAGGTGATGGCGTTGCGCCTCAGAACAAAGGCTCGTGGTCTACGTTTCTGAAGGTACGTAATCCCCCAACGAAACGATGCCTCGCAGACTCGCTGACTGCACGTCCAGTCGATAGCATCTTTCAATGGCGACCTCTCATCTATGACAGCTCCTCCGTTCATCTTAGGCACCACATCCCTCACAGAGTTCTCAGCGTACTGGACTGAACATCCATCCATTTTCGTTGCGCCAGCTTTGGAGCAAGACCCTGCGAAGCGAGCCCTGCTAGTATTGAAGTGGTTCCTCAGTACATTGAAGCAATCGTACAGCAGTAGAAATGACAAGTTTGGGTCGGAAAAAAAGCCACTGAACCCGTTCCTAGGAGAGCTGTTCATCGGGAAGTGGGAAGATGCTGCAGGGACGACGCAATTAGTATCTGAGCAAGTCAGGTAGGCAGTATCCGGGCGCCAGCATTGAACCCGATTGTTGATATCTCTTGAAGTCATCACCCACCAGTGACAGCTTACTGCA